TTGTTGACCCAGACCGATGGGTGACTTTAGCACTAAAACAGATGTTGGTGGTCACTGGGTCATTGAGAGCTGCTCCACACAGGCTGTGGAAAGAAAGAACTTGCTGCAAGGGGTGGGGAAGGTAGGGGGAGGAAGAAATTCTAGTTTTACTCTGTTCTCTTAGCATTTCAGAACATCCAGAATTTGGCTGGGATTGAAATGTCCACCGCTGTACTGAAGCTGGATCACGCTCTGGTCAGGCCGCACATGGAGAACTCTGTATGGTTGTGGTCGCCTCGACCTAAGGGTCTGCCCAGGCCTTGGAGGCAGTGCAGAGCAACAAAGATGATCCCTGTGAGCTATGAGCAATGATTAGACAAGCTAGAGCTCTTCAGCCTTGAAAAATTCTGTAACAGCAGGACAATTAATGTGGAGCATTTGCTTCGTAAAATTTAGGTTTTAGGAATCTTTTTCTACAATACGTTTCCAAAAGAGTTGAGAGTGGACGTGGAGAATTCCATCACAGGGTTGATTTTGTGTGGCTATGACAGTGAGCCTGATCCGCTAAATATTTCTTTCCTTGCTTGCTCCATGCTTCTTTCTGCCCCGGGTAGCCATGTCTTCAGGGAGTCTGGGCTCAGTCTTGAACGGCCAAATAGTTTTAAGAGGGGAAGAGGCAAAAGCAGGAAGAAAAGGCTGTTTCCCTAAGGATAGGCCTAACAGTGGTGCAACCTTGAGTCAGATAAACACTATGGGGTCTAAATCGCAGGAAATCATCCCCTTCTCTCTCTCTTTACTTAAGGGTTCATGTTGCATAAATAGGGATATGAATTGTCAATGTTCAAAGTTCTAACTTGGGGCTTGAACCCACAACCTTCTGACTCCAAGGTGAGTGTGCTACCAACGAAGCCACCTCTGACCAGGAGAGGGAAAGAAAAAACACATGAGCATTGCAGCTTCAGTTCCCCTAACTGGAAGAACCTGTGGGAACGCCGCTCTGCTACAGTCAACTTCTGGGGTGGGGGGGGGGGGGGATTCCGTGAGTCAGTGGGAATTTTTAATGAGATTCCTTAATAAAGATTCTCATTAGAAATCCTGCATTTAGACTCTTCATTTCGGCTACTTGCCCTTCTCTCTCACACCCCCCCCCCATCTCTAATGAATTATTCTGTGGAACTACCCTGAACCCTTCTGAACCTGAGCAAAATTGAAGCTCAGGATATTACTATCTGAAGCTGCTATGCTAATGTTCTTTTCTTTCTCTCTCTCTTGTTGCACCACTGAAGCTTTTAAAATCTGCTTCCAACTCTTCTGCTTGCTGACTGGCCAGGCCGCTTTTATTAAAAGTATTTGTGAAGGCTGTTGTGTTTTTTTTTCACTTTCATGTGTTTCCCATCAAATTTCCTGTTTAAATCTGTGGAATGTGATTTCTGTGGAAGGCTGAAATGCCTGCCGGGTGGAATGTATTTGAGATGAACAAAGCTTATTTTCGCTCCTGTGTTTAGTGCATTGATGTCGTACTCTCATTACAAGCAGTATCACACTCTCTATCCTAATTGCCTTCACTAAACAGGCTTAAGATTGTTCACTAAACAGGCTTAGGTTATTTTTCTTGTGTTGAATATTAAGTGTAGATTTACGTTGACTGCAATAAGGCTCTAAATATCAGTCTGGGCACCATTCAGTATTTGTGGGCAGCAAATCCCCTATCCATCTGCGTTTCATTTGCCTTAGAATTTGTTAGATGAAATGATCATTTTGTGTTTTAATATTTATAAGTGCTTATCTCCACAAAGTATTAATAAAGATTTAAAATATTTGTGTTTATAAAGAATTTGGCATCCAAAAGTCTATTTGAGAATTGTGAATAATTTCAACTATTTAAAAAATAGTTTTGTTACTGATATTCTGTGCTATTGAGCATTCTGGGATGTTACCCTGTGTGAGGGGCTCTATATGAATGTAAGTTGTTTGACTCTGATGGTGAAAAGGGGGTGAGCTATTTCACCTGATGGACCTAGAGTGGCCAAAGGTTTGTTTTTAGTGCAGCCGGGTGTCTGACACATGCAGGAACTCATCAACATGCTTAAGGGTATCCCAACCAGACAGTGAGTTGCATGCATGCCACCTACACATGGAAATTTCTCTTGAACTGGAATGGAATGCACACTCTCTCCCTGGAGGGATGCTTACCTAATTCCAGAGAATATACTTACCTAATTCCAGAGAATATTCGTCGCAGGTTGGCAAAAGCCTAGACTTGGGACCCAAAAGTGTACGTTGATCTGCTGCTGGAGCATAATCGACGAAAGCACAATGCTTGCCATTGAGAGGACTGTCTGGCAAGCTTTGTGCTGCTTGTCCAGCTAGGACCGGCCTATCTGTTAGGACTTTGTGTTCAGTGTTAACTGTGCTCTCAGTGACTGGTTTGCCCATCCAAGTCCTGTTGATGAGTCAGGCTGACTGACCATCATGATCGGTGTGCTGGAGTACCCTGGACTTGCCGGGCTCGGGAACTAGACTAACGATTCCAATGGCTTTGTGCCGTCCATCCATCTGGAATGACATAATTAAGTCAACACTCGGTGGCTTCTCTTGGGCAGGATGGGGGATTGGGGTTGTCTCTCTCGGGGCCACCCTGGGGGGCTGGAGGCCTCAATAAACTCCATGGAAACGCTCCAAGTTACACCCAGCTCCTCCCTGTACCAGATGTCACAACAGCTTAGTGTTGGGAGAAGACTGTTCCAGGTGTGATGTTTAAAGCTATTAGGAAAGAATATTATAACCATTGCTATTTAGCTCTTTCTAGCGTGAGTACTTTGAACAAAATCCACCTGTCTCCTGTAAGTCGGGGTGTTATTTCCCCTTTAAGGATTGTCCTCCTATAACTCAGGCAGGGCTGGTATAGGAGAAACTGCTGTAGGAGATTACCCCTGTTCTATCCCCAATGATAATTTACAGAGAGAAGACATTAAGCAGCTTGCAGTAGATTGCAGGGAAGCTTTGCTGTTTGTGTTTCTGCAGCAGATTTAGACTGGCTCATTCCTGATAACCTGGGCCAATAGAAAAGTGCGGGGTGGAGTGCTTTACAAATCCTGTGGAGCATCGTGAAGAAGGTCTTTAAATTTTGCGGAGGGCTAATTGGTGCTACTGAGAGACTCATTTTGCTGCTAACCTACATCCGTGTACTCAACATGTTTCTACAAAAATGCTTCATGGTCAGGAATAAGCTCCTTCAAGTATGTATTACAAAGCTGTGATATTGTTGGAATAGTCTCTCCCTCTTGCGTAGAAACTCATGGAAGGCAGGAGCCTTTATAATAATAATAATAAGCTTTGCATTTGATATTGCGCTTTTCACATCTTCTAGACGTCTCAAAGCGCTTCACAGAAAATACTGTAAACTGAATTGACTGTATATTTTGTGGGCGAAACTCGGCAGCCAATTGCACACAGCAGTGTCCCACAAACAATTGTAGATTGAGTGACCAAATTATTATTGTTTTTCTTAAGCGATAAATTGGTCATTTTCAATCCACGACTGTTTGTGGGACATTGCTGTGCGCAATTGGCTGCTGCGTTCGCCCACAAATATACAGTCAATTCACTTTACAGTGTGTTCTGTGAAGCGCTTTGGGACGTCCTCCCGACGTGAAAAGCGCTATATCAAATGCAAGGATTATTATTATTATTATCGGGCATGTGGAACAAGGAAACAGGTTTCGCCCTGCTGGGAATCAAACTCAGGTCTTTCTTGCGAGACGAGTGCTCTAACTAAGCTACAGAACTTCTGTAGATCTCAAGTAGTATGTCTGCTCTAGTCAAACACCGGACAAAGTCCAATATGAATTCTTTCATCTCCATAGATGATGCAGTGGCTCTAGAGAAGCAAATTGTCTTTGAGGTCCTGATCCACCTAGAAGGGAAAACATTAAAAATTGATCTTCATGAGGCATTTGTTGTTAGAAATGTTCTGTCTATTTGTTTTTTCTTTGTGTGGTTGTCTTATGTGCTTTTAAAATTCAATCCGAAAGGAGGGAGATTCATTTTGTAATCATACAAATTAAGATTTTTTTTCAAAATTAAGGTTAAAAGCAATTAATGATGCGTTTTCATTTAATTATATATATATCAAAAGTATTTTACCTTCCTTTTTTTATTGTCACTGCCTTGCGTTCACAATATTTCCGTGATTTCATGTGCTCATCAATGGTGAACTTGCGAACATGGTCAATTGTGTGACAGTAAACGCAGCAAAACAATTGCCCCCCCCCTTCTTCGTAAAGATCATCTGGATAGAGTACAATTCTATCTGAGGGACAGACAGAAAATGAGACGTGTTGCTTCTTGGCTTCCTCAAGGGCTTTACAAAAACTTTTTTGCACATTTTTGTATTGTACAACCTTAAAACGTGAAGCAACACTGATTAAAACTCTAGGTATATATTTCCTGAAAATGTAGTTATGTTTAAAATACTAAATATTTGAATAGTACAGCACTTACCAAGAATGTGTTGCAGTAGTGTGTGACTCAGCGGGTTTGTAGCAGAAAATGCGGAAAAAGTACACCTGCACTTTTCTGTTGGCCCAGCTGGTAACTAATCTTATTTTATTTAATATTTTAAAATATTTTCATATTTTAGTCATTTTATCCAGTTGCATTCTTGCTGTTTAGCTTTGTAGAGGGTGATAATAATGACTAAATATGATCTTCTATAAGATACTGCAGTATTTAATATGGAATTCACACAACTATCCTATATCAACTACTGTCTCCTCTTATGCAGTGCTGCTCTGGAAAATTTCCTTCTCTCATATTTTATGGTGTTATATTTCTTATGTTTTTGAGGGCTTTACAGAAGATACATGCTCTTACTTTTGCTGGGTTATTCTGTTCCAAAGGGCAGATGTAGGCAAGTTTCATAAGGCTGTCTCCTGTGCTTTTTTGGAAACGTAATACGGTTTTAAAAGTATAATTCGATTTATAATTTTAAAACTGTCGCTTTATATTTTGATGTACAGGGGAAATACAATCTGTTGAAGGGAGTAGAAAGTAGACCTGCGTGAACAAATTTGCTGCAAGGAGTGAACGGGCCAATAAAAGCATCTTTTGTTTAAGGTAAGGATATGGTATATTACTCCAGTTTAGGTCCATGTATATGACTGGTTGCAAAGGCATCTCTGCTCTGACTGACAAGGAATGGAATTCCTTCTGTTCCAGTACCATGTGACTGTCTCCAGATCCTTTGAAGCCATCCACTGTCGAGGTTTAATTGAATCAGCAGCATTTCTCAGTGCTGATGGGGCTGACGGCTTTTCACCCTGTGAGGCTAAACGGTGGTGCGCATCGATCTAGAGCTCTCTCGGATGAGGCGGACACACTGCACGCAGGCAGTTTAATGTGGACGGCTTTCATTCCCTGTAGTGCCTGCTCCAGCCCTGCTGTCACTCCTGCGCAGGCATTGGGATCGGTCTTGTTTTCTGCAGCCTCTCGCAGAGGATTGCCCGTGCAAATGCGCACAGGGCTTTTCCGTCTGAATGCTCGTGAACTGCATTCCTGCCGCAGGCCTCGTTCCGTCTGCTCAGCTCCGAGATCCCTCAACCAATCCAGAATGGATCATCGGTATAGCTTGGACAACTGATGTATATTCAGTGTGACAGTTGTACTGTGTGAAAGGTATTAGTGTTGGACTTGTTTACACCAGCAAATCAGGCATGCACACATGCACACATTTTATAAATGTATATTATTTATATGTATATTATATTTTGTGTGTCTGTATGTTTGTATTTATGTATAGACATATACAGGCACTACGCCTATATATTATATATACAGACACACACACATTCATGCACACACTCACACAAGTAACGTGATGACGGGAGAACAGAAGAAATTGGAGTTAAAAGGTCTTTCTCCTCAATTTATATGAAATTGGGGAGAAAGCTGTTTTGTTTTCACTTGCTGTGACCCTTCAGATTGGAATTTGCCTTTTTAAAAGGATGTTTTCTCTCCACACCTTTTTATTCCTAAATTTTCAGAGTCATCCATAAGGAACAGTTCCTACTGTTTACAAAGTGCTGTGTTTCGAAATGCACTCTTAAAGAGGCATTCTCACCTGGTGTAATGGCCCTTTAAGAGTGATCTTCCAGGACCATTTACTCGTGATTGGAGGAAATGTTGTCATGCTGCTCACTGTACTTGGTTTGACAAATTGTAATTTTATTATGATGACTGCTCCACAGGAGCAAAATGATCCTCTCCTGATCGCTGTTGTTGGAAATGGGGTGTGGGGTAGGGTCAGGCACAACCTCTATATTAAATGGCGATTAGCTGGTTAGTGCGGTGTGTGGCTGGCTTGGGGTGTGTGGTTGGCAAGTCATATTTTTCAGAGAGAATGCTGAGCGGGGAAAAGGAAGTGCATTGAACAGAAAATATTTCTATATTATTTTTTTTTTAAAAATCTCTCTACCTACAAACTTGCCAATGCCAGCTGTTAATTAGGGTAGTACATGCGAGATCTGTACTGTTGGCTTGCACTATAGACAGTTTTTTGTTCTGATCTTATCTGGTGGGGAATTCCATTATAAGCACAGTCCAAAATGTTAGCTAACTTGTAAACGAGAGGAGCTGAATTTGATTCCCGGCAGTTGTCTGACTCCACACACCTCTATTTACCTAGCAGTTAGTAAACAGGCCCGTCTCCGGGGGTAATAACTCCTTCAAAATAAATTTTATAAAAAATAATCATTTGGTCAATCAATCCACGACTGTTTGTAGGACACTGTTGTGTGCAATTGGCTGCCGCGTTTTGCCCACAGAATATAGTCACTACACTTTACAGTATATTCTGTGAAGTGTTTTGAGATATCGTGAAGACACAATAAGGTGTTATATCAAATGCAAGTATTATTATCTATATTTGTGGTGAGATGGCTGATGGGATGAAAGAGCTGGGATTGGGTATATCAGGCCCAGCTCTGACTGTGTTGTCGTAGTAAGTGCATTGACTGGTCCTCAATGGGAAGCTCCTCAAAGCCAGCCTCAGAACCAATCTGTAACCATAAATGGTCTTGTGGCATCACAAAATATTTCAAAACCAGCCTCTGTCTCCATTCACCTGGAGCTTATTTGTTTCAGAGGAAGTATAACTATCAAGTGGAAGGAAAAGATGATCTTTTCTCAATCCATGTTGTGTTGTCTTGTGTGAACCTTTGCTTCTGTCTCTGTAGCTTCTTGGAGTCCTTAACAGTAGCATAGTCTGATGTGAGCCAGGGGGAGGTGACCGTACATACAGTCAAAGAGGAACGTCTTCAAATGTGATCTGATAATGGGGAAGCAGGGGGCATAGCAGAGGGAATGAGGAAGAGAGATCCAAAGCTTCGGAGTGTAGTGATTGAAAACGTGGCCATTGATGGAAGGGACGAGGGACAAGCAGGAGGCGGCTTGTGTACTCTCACACACCAGGCTCCGCGATCCCATCATCTGCACCCTCACCCTCGCCCGACTCCACTGGCTCCCCATCCCCCAGAGAATCAAATTCAAGATCCTCGTCCTTACTTTCAAGGCCAGCCATGGCCTTGCCCACCTCTACCTCTCTGACCTGCTGACTCCCTAGCAACCTGCCCGCTCCCTCCGTTCAGCGGGCTCCGATCTACTCCATGTCTCCCGCCCGACCCACCCTACCATCGGTGGCCGGGCTTTCAGCCTCTCTGCCCCTACACTCTGGAACTGCATCCCAGGGTCTCTTCGCCTCGCTTCCTCCCTTAAGTCCTTCAAGGCCGGTCTCAAGACCCTTCTCTTTGATCAGGCCTTCGGTTGCCCTCCCACCTCTCTGCCTTCCCTCACCCTTACATCATCCCGCCCCCATGCTCAGGCCCCGACACCTGACTGTTCAGCACTTTGGGATGTCCTCCCGACGTGAAAGGCACTCTATAAATGTAATTTTGTTGTTGTTGAGGCAAGAGTTAGTCAAACGTAGGTGGCAGATAGTAGAGTGGAGAATAAGCAGGTCAGAGAGTTATGGAGATGCCTTGGCATGAAGGGATTTGTGGACAAGTGGGAAAATCTTGAAGTTGATCCGTTCTAGGGAGTCACAGAAGGAGCCTGGCTAGGATTGGTGTGAAGGAGGTACAGAGTTTAGTGCGGCTGAGTATACGGACAGTGGAGTTTTTGAATTGGTTGGATTTTGTGGATAGTGAAGCTGGGGAGATCAGTGAAAAAGGCATCAATATAGTCGAGAAGGGAAGTGACGAAAGCATGGAACATGGTTTTGGCTGTGTTGAGTGTTAGGTACGGTCAGAGGTGAGCGATATGAGGGGGATGGAGCAAAGTGTTCCTGGTCAGGGACTGGGTGTGGTATAGGAAGGACATCTGGGGATTGAACCTGAAGCTTAAGTTACGCACGGGTACGGTAAGTCTTGGGGACAGGCTGGGGCGGGTGACGAGGTCAGAGCTGCAGGTGAGAAGATGTTGATGGGAGCCAAGGAGCATGGCTTCTTTCTTGTCAACATTCAACTGCTGGAAGTTTGCACTCAGTCTAACAAGCAAGCGGCAGAACATCAGTGGATCTGCAGTCACAGCTGAAGGAGAAGTAGATTTGGGTGTCATCTGCACAAATTTGGATGTTGACCCTGTGTCTGCAGATGGAATCCACCAGAGGGATAAATGTCTATTGGCTGAGGACGAATGGGAAGATCAAATCTGCCAGGATGAGCTTCATTTCAGATTTCCAAACTTCAATAAAAGTCAAATAAATTGGCTTCATTTTAATTGAGGAGCGTTAGTCTTTTGAATCAATTTAAATTTATAAAATTCATTTGTTGTGTTCAATTCTGGTTTCCAACATGTGCACTGAATTCACTCTGGTGGTGAAAATATTGTTGGCAAACAGTGAGTTGTTTGCTCGTTCACCAGGCTTTTATTTGGCTTTGTGGGGTTTGCGAATCATAATCTGTCGTTTTGCAAATCTCACAATCTGATCCTCGTAAACTGAGAGATGGAATTTAATAGTTGTTAAATCCAGTTTCAGAATTTCAACTCTTCTTCCCCCACCTCCCCTCCCCCTTCCCTCTACACCGTTAGCTCTGTGGTGGTACCTGGAAAGCGCTTCCTCTTGTGTACGGAAGGCAGCCTTTTAAACAAGGGAACAGCAAGATACTGATTAAAATCTACTCAGGAAATGTGGACAGCTGCTGTTTTCCCATTGGGCTTCTGCCCATCTCTCATGTGTGAGTGATGTCGTTTAGCATTATTTATCACTTTGTTTTTAATTTAGATGAAGTTCCTAGAAAATTTGACTTAAAATTGTACCATAAACGTATTAATCGGAGGCTATAATATATATATATATGTCAAATATACAAATACATTTTTCACTTTCTGCTTTGAAAGAAAACCTTTGAGTATATCTGGAAGATAACTGAGCATGTGCAGAGTGATTTTGGGAGGGGGAAGAGAGAGAGAGAGCGAGAGAGAGAGAGGGCGACCGAGGCATGCACAGACATCTTGGCAATGGGAAGAATTGCAGTGATATCATGTGAATTTTTATTTACATGATTCCAAAAAAATCCCAGAGCAAATGAAGGTGCAGATATGCTGAGAGAGGCAACTTGTTTCCAGACCATTGCACTAAATTGTGTGTGTGTTTGGGGGTGGGGGGGGGGAATGGAGGGTACATTATCTATGTGTGTGTATATGCATAGCAGTAATTATACAAAATCATGTGAGTCTCTGTATATGCTATGTGGATCACAGCTCAACTCACTGAGACATGGAAGTGAATCCAAATAATTTGAAGCATTGAATCTGCTCTTTAATTAAGTGTTAGAATATTGTAATGGAAGTAGGTTTTGGCCTATGTCCTTTGGCAATGATTTTAAGCTTTCTCTTCTCGTATTGATTTGACACTGTGCAACGTTATTGATTTTTAGTATTCAAAAGACTGAGACTTCATCCGGATAAATTGGTCACTGGGAAAGCTAGGAAATCCTGCTAGGGCTGATCTTTAAATATATCAGCACAAACCCCATCGATACTGCAAAGAAATAATTGACGCAGAGACAAGTCTGCACCCTAACAGTGCAAGTGTGTACGAGACAAGCAAGAGAATTCTATTTTTATCATTTTTGTTTCCTGCTTCCTTTGGTAGGGATGGCATTCCCTGTGGATTTACTTGCGGATTTGGACCATGAAGACATCGAGCAGTCTGCAGACGAGTACATGTCTGATCTTCTGTATGGTGACCCTGACAAGCTGGAGTACTTCATGCTGCCCACCAGAAGGAAGGTAGGACCGCTACTTGTCCAGGGTTTCAGACAGGAGATTGCCACAGGGACTCGCGAGAATGTGAATCCCCAAAGCTAAGCAATGTGTCTGCATGTTAACAAGCAGCAAGGTTACAATAATAAATTACTGTACCCAGTTGATCTATCATGACCCTGGCATTGCTGACTTATCAATGCCAGGATGATGTTACATCAACTTGGTATTAATGACTTTGCCCATTACCCTGGCATTGATGACCTTCGCCAACAAATTACACAGTTAATCCATTTGTCTCCATTGGCGGCTGTGCTTTCAGCCACTATGACCCTGAAATTTTGGAACACTCTCCTCGAATCCCTCCACCTTGCCCCCCCTCTTTCCCTATTTTGAGATCACGCCTGAAGAGCTTCCTCTTCAACTATGTCTACGGTCACCTCCCCTCGGCTTGGCGTCAGACTCCTCCACTGTTAAGCAATCCAAGACACTACTCTGGGTGAAGGGTGTTATATAAATACAAGTTGGCATTGTACAGTATATCCTATGAAGCGCTTTGAGATATCTCGACGACGTGATAAGGAGCTATATCAAATAAAAGTATCATTATTATTAGCAACAGCAACAGAAAGCAGCGTATGTATGCATCGTCAATAGGTGTTCTCTGACTGTGTTCCGAGGGAGTGAGTAAAGGATTGGATTGAGATTTTATAGCTGGAGTATTTGGCTGATAAACCCTAACCCTGCCTGCCCCACTACAACAACAACAAGATTTCATTTGTAGAGCGCCTTTCACGTCGGGAGGACGTCCCAAGGCGCTGGACAGTTGGGTCGGGACCCGAGCAGGGGGCAAATGGTCAGGGTGAGGGGAAGGAAGGGAGGGAGGGGGTAGAGAGTTGAGAGGGGAACTGAAGGCACGGTCAAAGAGAAAGGTCTTGCGACCGGCCTTGAAGGAGGAAAGGGAGGAAGCAAGGCGAAGGCACTGGGGGATGGAGTTCCAGAGCCTAGGGGCTGAGAGGCTGAAGGCCCGGCCACCGATGGTAGGGCGGTTGGGGCGGGGGATGTGGAGCAGACCGGAGCCAGAGGAACGGAGGGTACGGGCAGGTAAGTAGGGGGATAGTAGGTCGGAGAGGTAGGAGGGAGCAAGGCCGTGAATGGCCTTGTAGGTGAGGATGAGGATCTTGAATTCGATCCTCTGGGGGATGGGGAGCCAGTGGAGGCGAGCGAGGGTGGGAGTGATGTGGTCCGAAGCCTGGTGCGGGACAGTACACGAGCTGCAGAGTTCTGAATGACCTGCAGCTTGTGGAGGGAGGTGCCGGGAAGGCCGGCGAGGAGAGAGTTCCCATAGTCCAGCCTTGAGGTGATAAAGGCGTGGACCAGAGTTTCAGCAGCGTGAGGGGTGAGGTAGTGCCGTAGTCTGGCGATATTCCGGAGGTGATGGAAGGCGGTGCCAGTTGTGGCGCGGATATGAGGAAGAAAGGACAGCTCAGGGTCGAACAGAACCCGAGGTTCCTGACTGGCTTTGAGAGGTGGAGAGTGCAGCCTTGGATGCTGATGCTGTCAGCGCCTGAGGTGCGGAGGCGCTGACGTGAGCCAATCAGGAGGGCCTCAGTTTTGCGCACGTTGAGCTGAAGAAAGTTGTCTCTCGTCCAGGACTCGATGTCGGACAGGCAGGCTGTCAGGACATCGGTGGTCGTGGAGTTGAGGGTAGAGGAGGAAAGGTAGAGTTGGGTGTCATCCGCATACATGTGGAAGTTAACCCCATGTCTGCGGATGATGTCACCAAGGGGGAGCATATAGAGGGTGAAGAGGAGGGGACCGAGGACAGAGCCCTGAGGGACACCGCACGAGACAGTGCGGGGGCTGGAGGAAAAGCCGTTTGTGGAAACAAAATGAAAACGGTGGGAGAGGTAGGACCTAAACCACTCAAGGCAGGGCCTTGCAGGTTGGAGGACAAGCGGTGGAGGAGGATAGTGGTCGACCGTATCGAATGCGGCCGATAGGTTGAGGAGGCAGAGGGAGCCCTGGTCGCAGATGGTCAAGATGTCATTAGTGACCTTGACCAGGGTGGTTTCTGTGCTATGGGCAGCACGGAAACCCGACTGAAGGGGTACGAATAATGAATGGGTGGAGAGGAAAGAGCGCAGCTGGGAGGCGACAACTCTTTCAAGGACCTTGAAGGGGAGGTTGGAGATGGGCCGGTAGCTTGATAGCTGCGACACATCAAGGGAGGGTTTTTTCAAAGTGGGAGTGATGGTGGCAGTTTTTAGGGTAATGGGAACAGAGCCAGAGGAGAAGGACAGGTTGATGATATCTGTGAGAAGTGGGGCAAGGAGGTGGAGCTGGGATATAAGGAGTGGAGTGGGGATGGGGTCAAAGGAGCAGGTGGTGGGTTTCAGGGACAGGATGACGTTGGTGACAGAGGGTGGGGAAACGGGTTGAAGGTGTGTAGGGGAGGATGGGTAGGAGTCAGAGTGTGGGAGGGAAGGGGTGGGGGGTGGGTGGAAGTTGGAGGGGGAGTGACCGCGGATTCAAGGAAATCCAGCATCTCCTCGCAGTGAAGGTTGGAGGAGATGACCTGCGCGGGGTGGCGGGGGGGACGGAGGAGTTGGGATGTGGTAGAGAACAGAAGCCTGGGGTTGTTCTTCGCCTCCAGGATTATCCTGGAGTAGAAGGACGACTTGGCCGAGGCTAGAGTGGAGCGGTAGGTTTTGAGGAGGTCCAGCCAGATTTGTCGGTGGAACGTTAGGCCAGATTTAAGGTAGGTGCGTTCAGCGGCCCGCACCTGGCTCTTCAATGAGCGGAGGTGGCTGGTGAACCAGGGGGAGGAGCGAGAGTAGGAGACAGTACGGGAGGTGATGGGGGAAAAAGTGTCGAGTGTGGAGGAGAGGGTGTTGTGGAGGAGGGTGAGAGCAGAAGAGGGGTCAGTGAGGAATGAAAGCCAGAGGGAGAGGAGTTTAGAAGACTCCAAGGCAGCGGTTAGGGCCTTCAGCCTATCTGCCGCAGTCTCTGGAACTCCATCCTGCAGTACTTTTATCTCATTCGATCAAGATCTTCAACTTTGACCATTCCTTCGGTCGCTTTCCAACTCCCACCTCTGACACTGCAGCACACTCCAATATTGCATTGGAAGGTAAGTGTAGACTATAGATCTGACCTGGAACTTGAACCCACAACCTTCCTACTCAGAGGTGAAAGTGCTACTAACCTGCCATGGGGAGAGGAAAAGAGTGTTAAAGAAAAGGAGTAAATCCCAAAATAATTTCGGAAAGGTGTGTTAAAGAAAGGAAATGATTAATGGATGCCTGTGACTATGTATAAAAGTAACTTTTTTTATTTGTTTCTTGCACAGATTCCAATCAGTCTCTCCTCTGTTGGTTTCGTTCCTCTCTATGGTAATGATGTGACCCATAAGGTTTTGGCCTTGTTTGCCCCAGAGGATCAGTCCGTAGGTTTGTGCTGAGCTTTTCTATTGTAAACTGACAATAAAATCTTTAGCATTTAATTCTTCTGTTTGTCCTGCATTTTAAGCTCTGACCCTGTCATTTATAAATCAACATAATTTATCCCATGCTGTACTTCACATTGAGGTAACTTTATGGTTTGGGCAGTTCTGATCCAGTATCTGGGGGATACCAGAATTGGCATTAAACTGGTAGTGTCACTTGGAGAGGCCACACAGGTTAGCTGGTGCCAGTTAGCGCAAGGGGTGATGCTTGTCTAAAGTGGGCTGGTACCGAAGGCAAAACTTTGTAAGCTGGACCCAGCAAATAAACAAGAGTGGAGTGAAAATATTGTTACATTGGGAATGAAAATGTGCTCATTGAAAAAACGGCAGAGGGAACACCAATGCCCAAAAGCCCTCAAAAATGAAGTTCACTGACTCTGTGCATGCCCGTGTTGATATGTGGGAATTTGGCTAAAGGAACTTGGAGTAGAGTTCTTGTGGGCTGGTATCACATACACTAGATTTGCTGCAGTAATCACACTTTACATCTCAACGTGTCTTTTCCAGTATTGAGGTGTCATTCCTGCCGTTCTTTTTCAGACCATATATTAAAAAAAACATTGTTGGGCTGGGGTAAAGGAAAGTTTGCTGTGAATCTAACCGATCTGCTACATCCAAGGGTTCTATATGAGAATGTATTTTATTTAACAAACCCCAAATTCACCTCAAGAAATACAGAAGGAATCGTGTCGTTTCCATTTGCCTAGCAAACTCCAAACAGCTGACAGAGGCCAGGATGAAGCTGGCTTTGCTTTCACCTTGTTTCCTCTTCTCTTCCTTCAAGCTGTGGCATTGTACGTAGTGGATAGATGGTGGGCAATCGATGACATCGTCAAAACAGCTGAACCATCCCGTCAAGGTCTCCAGCAGGTAAGTGCAGAACTCGGAGTTTGAAACTCGCACTGTGTTATCAGAAAGCAATAGATGTGCTCCATTCTAATGTTCCAGGTGCTCTCTTAAGATCCAGCTCACAGTATGATCATTTCCAATTCCTAAATGAAAACTGGAATATCATTCATATAGCACGGAAAGATAACCAATCCACACCTGTACATTTTAAATGAGCGATCAAGAATGAGGGAGAGGATTAGGAGTGGTGGAAGCTCATGTGGAGTATAAAATACCGGCATGCATAATGTGGTCAAATATCCTAGCAGTGTTGATGGATGTGTTTTGTTTATTACATTGCTACCCGTGCGTACAGCGTTTTTTGTTTCTCATGCAAGAAATAAATGTCAGTGGTGTGGAGCGATCTATGAAAAAATGTCTTTCAGTCTGTATTCCCAAGAATGTTTTAAGAATCTAGTCTGGTTTAAAAAAAATTGCATGAATTTTAACGCATTCCTTCAAATTCACTGCATATTGAGGATTAATTGTTTTTTTGCGCTTAGAGAAAATAACTACTTTTTGTGGATTGGCTACAGTCAGATTTTGGAAATATTTAGTGACTAGTTTCAATTTTATTATAATGATCTATTTGTGAGCGAGCTATTTCTTGGTCTTGCTCTGTGGTTTTCATATTTCTACTATATAAAACATGCTTCTTTTTTAGTAAATTCTTTGCAAAGGAATGGATGGATACTTAAAAAAAGAGGAATATTAAAGGATGTGAGGAGCAAATGTGTAAGTGTGGTTCGTGTAGGGAACAATGCCAGCTCAGACAAAATAGAGCCAAATAGCCTGTTTCTGTGCTGCAATATTTTGTGTGTAATTTGAAAGTGGCATTGTGAGGCTGGCTTTGCTGCAGGTGAGTTTTCACACATGTTCTGCTGTGCCACTGTTACCAGGTAAATTTGCTGGGGGAGAGAATCGTCCTATACGTACTGAATCGCATCATTTACAGAGATCAGGAGATGAGCGCAGACGAGCTCCCTTTTCTGTGTCACAGTGCTACCGAGAACGCAAAAATTCTTTGGAAGTCTGGCAAAGCAATTGGCTTCTACTCCATCAAAACAACAGGTATCGTAATCAAGGCCAGGGTTCATTTTCAAGCTAACTGTGTTTTCATCCCAGTATAATGTTGCTCTATGTTTACATACCCATCTGTTGATCCTAAATACGTCACCATTTCACTGATGTATATTGGATGTGCTGCTGACATCTAAAACGTGCTCTTATCAGTTTAGTTGCTATTGATTTTACTTGCTTTCAGCTTTGTTCTCATCTTGGTTTTGCATGTTTTATTTAATAATAGAACCTTTTTGTATATTTTAAACAAAGTTGTGGGTGACAGCATCTTGTGGGAGTGAATCATTATGGCCTGTGGTCCTGTGTACTCTACAGGGATTTAATACACAGTCACTCCACTTTACAGCATATCCTGAGACATTCTGCTGATGTGAAATGTAAGGATCGTTACCACTATTTCCATGAAGAAAATGCTTTTCATGTTGGGTGCAATTTCCAGTGGCAGTGGACAAACTGAGAGTGCTGTATATACCTCATCATATGAGAGCTTCTATTCCTCTCTTTTCTCTTACTAATGTACTGACTATTTGTTGGCATGTAGTTCCATTGGTGGTCTGGTGGTCCCCTCGTACCTTGTCCCAAATAGCTATTGTGTTTGCGTATGAAGCCATCTGACCTGGGCTCCCTAGAATTTTGACCTTTTGTTAACATACTTCTGCTGCAACCATAATCATTCTATAATAATCCTTGCATTCAATATAGTGCCTTATCACATCTCAAGGAGTGCTTCACAGAATATACTATGAAGTGAATTGACTGTATTTTTTTGTGCGAAAACCATTACACCAGGCAGCACTCCAAAGTATTGGTCTCATAAGTGTATATTTGTTTTTCTTTTAAGATTTTGTTCATTTACTTTAATGAAACAAATAATAAAATATTCCTTGCATGTGATAGATACAGCACCTTTTACATCTGGCGGTTGTCTGAGAGCGTTTCACAGGATATATTGGAAAATGTAGTGACTGTGTATTTTGTAAGGGAATGCCTTAAGGATAAGAGCAAGAGAAATTTTGGCCTCCTGGAGGACACTTGCAACAACAAACTTACATTTATAATAACACCTTCCAGGTCGGGAGGACGTGCTAAGGCACTTGACGAAACATGCAAATGGAATAAACTACGTTCCTGCCATTGTACCTACTCTAACATCAGTGTCCTTCCTGCTTCTACAGGAAGCCAGTGCAACACATTCCTAACCCAATGCTACCAGCTGCCAGTGCTAGACACCATCTTTGTGAGGAAGAAGCACAGAGGAAAGGGCTACGGACTCCAAATGCTGGAAGATTTTGTTGATTCTTTCACGGAGGATATGTTGGGTTTGAAATACCCAATTCCACCCTCTATGTATGGAGGTAAAACAAGAGTTAACTTTCATTATAAAATATTGTGCAATATTTGAATTCGGCTCAGAAGAGACCTTCATCACAATTCCATTGGTGTAGAAGAGGTATGGTAGAGATGTGTTAAAATTTGGAAGGTGAAAAACAACATTAATATGGAAAACTGGAGAATCAGTGAAAAAGGGGCAAACTCTTAGGATTGTAAACAAAAGAAACTGGGGAAAGGTTAGAAAGAAATTCTTCCTTCAGCAAATGGTTAGGGTTTAAAATTCATTACAAGTTACGATTGAGGCTGGATCAATGGAATCATTTAAAATGGAGCTGGGCCAGCACCTGAACAGTGAGAACATTAAGAGATATTTTGGGGAGAAAGATAGAAAGTTGGATTTTAATAAAGGGCAACTACGGAAAAATGGATAGCGATGGCAGACACTAACTTCTGTGGGCCATTGGACTTTGAACATTTGTGTTTGCGTTTGCAACATTGCATTGAACATTTCTCTTTCTATATTCCAACTCATTTGATTTGAAAAGGGCAGGAGGGTGACCTGCTATTGTCAGCTACCAGGCGGTATGTGAACAGCCTGGACTGACTCCCATTTTACACTCCCACGGGCTCAGTTATTAGTTGGGATTAAGCTCTGATTCACCATTCTATAGTGTCCTGAGTTGGCATCACAGATGGTGAAGTCTGGTTGTGTGCTGTGATTGCCCACACAGTGAACTCCCAGTATTAGAAAGCTTCTGTTTAGTGAGAATATACAAGACCAAGAGACTCTGATGCCAAAGCAAAAACAAGATCTAACCAATCAATCTTGCGTACTCCAACTGATTGCTAATTAACCATCCAGTTCCTTCGGGAATTGATCAACTCACTACCTCTCTGCAAAGTCTATTCTGCATATTCACCCTCTCTCTTGGGGCCCACCACACATCGTACACCAAAGCTGACGCAGTTCTCCTGTTGATGGTGTTAAGATTGAACAAACTTGTCAGTGAAATAATAATATTAAAGATAAATTGGATTCATATGTATCCCTAACTGTAGTTGAAGCAGAACACATTAATATATTTAAGAGATACATATATGAGTGAGAAGAAAATAGAAGGGTGTGGGAGAGGAGAATAGGAAGGGTGGAGTATAAACATTGGCACAGACTAGTTGGGCTGAATGGCCTGTTTCCTTGCTGTATCATGCTAGGTAATTCAGGTGCACAGTCATAGCCATAAAATGTCATAAAATTGTAAACTTAAAAAATCTATAAGTCTTGTCTTGTCCACCTTGTCTCTCAGCTCCTCTCTTCTCTTGCCTCAGTTTGTAGGAAGTACTTGGAGAATTATCCCGACGACCGGGACCTTCTCTGGGAAGTTGAGGGCATCGGACACATGTTCCAGAGAGCTCTTATTGCTGACAGACTGCAAGCACAGATTTCTGCCAAAGAAGGTAACATTAGAAACCTCTGATTGACCTTGACAACAATGCTGTAATCTCTTGTTCCACCAGAGATTAACTTTTTCCCCTCTTCCTTGAGTATAAATTGGCTCTCAAAATCCATTCTCCATGAGCTCAGCAAGTACAAGCAAAGCATGGACAGCTTCCACTGCCTCCCCATCCCTCAGAGGGTAGAGTTCAAAACCCTCGTCCTCACCTTCAAAGCCCTCCACGGCCTTGCCCCTCCCTACCTCTGACCTGCTAACCTATCAACCTGTCCGCTCCTTCCGCTCAGCTGGCTTCAGCCTGCTCTACGTTCCCCCATCCGGTCCTCCCCACCATGGACCGTCGAACTTTCAACCTCTCTGCCCCCACACTTTGGGACTCCATCCGACATTCCCTTTGCCTCGATCCCTCCCTTACCTCCTTCAAGCCGCAACTCAAAACCCTCCTTTTACCGATCCTTCAGCTACCCTCCCTGCCCTCTACCCTCCCTTATCCCCACCCCACCCGGTCCAAATCCCTGACTGTCCAGCGCCTTGGGCCATCCTCCCGACTTGAAAGGCACTACACAAATGTAATTTTGTGTTGTGTTGATACTGTTGTACTGCGGTACTTGTTTGTCCCTTGTGACAACTTTAATTGAGTAATGTGCATTATTTTTCCATATGAATAATAATAATAATAATAATCCTTGCATTTGATATAGCGCTTTTCACGTCAGGAGGACGTCCCAAAGCGCTTCACAGAACACATTGTAAAGTGAATTGACTGTATATTTGTGGGCGAACGCGGCAGCCAATTGCGCACAGCAATGTCCCACAAACAGTCGTAGATTGAAAATGACCAATTTAATTATTGTTTTTGTTTTTTTGGAGTGATTATTATTAGGCGTGTGGAGTAAGGAAACTTGCCCAAGGTTTTGCCCTGCCTGGAATTGAACTCAGGTCTCTCACTTGCAAAGCGAGTGCTCTAACCACTGAGCTACAGGACTCCACGTATATTAAATACCCTCGTGGAAGCTGGAACTTGTCTAGTCTATAAATCTTCTATCAGTACTTTCTCTCTGTATTGTTGGCACCCCACTGGCTCATTTGGTCAATTGGGGAACACTGTGGGGTTTGAATCCACAGCAACAACTTGCATTTATATAGCGCACTTTATCCAGGATAACCTCTCCTTGTGTTCTTGCCTAAATTTCGCCCACAAAATACAGTCACTACACTTTACAATATTTTCTGTGAAGCACTTTGATACATCTCAATGAAGTGAAAAGACGTGAAAAGCGCTATATCAAATGCAAGGATTATTATAAATTCATGAAGGACCTTTGCTTTTAATTGAGGGATTTGGCGTAATGATCATTTCCCTTCTCGTTTTCTTGTTTCCAGTAATGTATGTGTGTGATTCTTTATTACTTTTCCCATATTCTCTAACATTCTCTGTGTATGCTCAACGTTTCATGGTCACTCTAACTCCAGTTCTTAGCTCCTGAGATAAGCCCTAACACTTGTAACAGATTAACTATTGAGAGTCTCTGAAACCATGCAATATCCCAGCAGCCATACTAATAGTGACCTGGATAAGTTGGTTATTTCGCTATTTCTAAGGCTTGAGTTTAATACAGTAATTCTCATAGAATCAACTCATTTGTACTATTTCATTCTCCAAATTCTTCTTTCCAGGGCCTGAAGACAGTGGAGCAGCTTCCGTTCCTCAATCTTCCCCTCCACCCACAATCTTCAAGCTTTTAACACAAGCTTGGGAACACTCCATCACTACTGTTAAGCATGGTGATGGGTTTCCACATGTGTGAGATACCTGGCTGACCAGAAAATAACCATAACCACAATATTCTTTGCCTCTGACTGTTATTGCTTTGCTGATATCCTGAATTTGCTTACATTTCAGTCTCCATCTCATATCCAAAGATGGAAACACTTTGATTTTAAATTCTGACCAGCATTTGAATATACTTTCTTTTTGGGTGAGGAGGGGATTTGTTTGAGGATGAGCGGGGTAATCATTAATGGGAATAATTTGAGATTTTTCTCCTAAAGAGTTCAGGTTTATATTTTTTGATATTACACTGCAGAGATTTTTGTGTGTTTTTCTGGTTCTGAGTAAGTTGGCTGAATGCTGTCCTCTGTAGAGTATTATTAATCGGATGTTTCTTTTGCCTTTGCTGCATTCTGCAGACATGGACATTGCACAGGCTGATCAGCAACAAGCAGCAAGTGAGGAGACTCTATCCCTGCCCGTAGCTGAGAGTGAACTTCAAACCCAACTGACAGAAGAAATGGAGAATGAGCCAAAAACAATGGAACTATCTGTAGGTCCCTTTTCCAATTCATACAGAATAGCTGATGTAGACTCGCAGTGATCTAAAGTTGAGGAAATGGGGGGGCGTGTCTCCCAGTGTAGTCTCACAACTTGAGCGGTTCGGATAAAGTAGGCCCTTTGACCCATTTGATCTCATCCTTTCAAAATACCCCCATCACAGCATCAAGCTTTCCTTTTTTGGTCAGCTGCGTGTCTGACCACATGTGGAAACTCATTTTGAGTATCAATAGCAAACAACCGTTCCGTGCATCCCATCTATACTTGGAAATTCCAGAGATTTTTTTTGGAATGGAATGCACACTCTCTCCCTGGAGGGACACATCCTACTTAACGAATTCTGGAGAGTATTAGGTGCAGGTTGGCAAGAGCCAAGGCTTGGGGACACCAGAATGTGTGTTGGGGTACTGCTGGAGTCTAACCAGCTAAACCCACATAGCTTGCCATTGAGAGCAAGCTTTCCTACTGCTTGTTCAGCTTGGACCACCCTACCTGTTAGGGATTTGGCTTGCTGGGTTAACAGGAGCTGAGTGGGAAGAGTCCCTGCCCCCAGTGAATGGGGATAAGCCAGTCTGGCTGTGCTGGCATCAGCAGTGCTCTGAGGTACTGCAGACACTGCCAAGCTCAGGAATGGACATCAGAGGGCTGGCTTGATTTCGACATTCTGTCAAGCTAGTTGCCTTGGAGTCCGTTCAGCTCCAAGGAGATTCTGCTTACCTCACCCCCCACCCACCCCCAGGAGGAGAGTCACTTGTTGGTCATTTGACATCCGACAAGTGTGGGTTTGAGCCCTCACCAGGTAGATGGCAGGTAGAATCCTGTAAAATTCCTGGTGGGTAACACAGCTCAGGATTAAATTATCACCATCTTCCTGCCCACAGCTTGGTCACACATCCCTTCCCAAGCTGTACTCCTCCATTCCCTTCTCCCTCAAGAATGCATCAAGTTCCAATGATGAGGTCCACATTCTCACAATTCTACGTATGAAGAAGTTCCTCCTAAACTCCCTATTAGATACAGTAGATTGATATAAGATCAAATGCCTCATCCTTTGAATTCCTTTTGTGAAATATCTCTTCTTATTTCCACTGGAATTTTTCCAGACTTGTGTTTTATGGGATGCAATTATTCAAAGGCTTTTAGAAACACAATAATAAAAATACAAATTATTTTTTAAACTTGGAAAGTTTTTGATAGTTTTTAAATTTCTTTTAGACTGATGCCTACGTTTCCAGAGAGTTCCCGGTTGCCTCTTCAAGTGTGTTTGAAGGTACATTCTTGGGAACTGGCTCATGTGGAGGATTGTACATATATTGGGGAATGTGGACTCTGTTGGAGGCCCTGCTAGCTTTCTGTCAGGAGCACTGGAGAGGGATGGGCCTGAGCCTGGGGCAGCTGAAGGGGGAATATGTAAGGTGTTGGAGGTCTTATTTTTAAGCTGTTTTTATTGCTAAATTGGGTGATTAGAAAGGGGGCGGTTTTAGTCCTTCACAGTGTTCAGAGCAACTCAATTATAATGTGGTTGGATAGGTCCAGTATCTCGGGAATTGCCTTATAACACAGGGAGGAAAAGTGACCGACATCTAGGTTGTTGGGTCGCAGCAGATCTTACTTCCTGCCCACAGGACGCAAGTGCACAGGAAGAGACATTGGCAAGTCTTTCTGCACCATACTCATAGGAAATGCTGTCAGCAACGACCTGGCTTCACACCTTAGCTTGTGAAGGTCAGTCACTTTTCAGTGCCAAAGATGGGTGTTCTGATTTGGCACAGTATAGATGCAAGTGAACCCACCTCAACCGGGGCATGTTCTATCAGGGAAGCCCTGTATTCCCAATTTTGGGAATTCTTATCTGAAGGTTGAGGTTTCTGATGTTCTACTGAAATATTTCTGTTGACCTTCACCAGAGCTCACAAGGCCACCGGTTAGTAAGCGAGGAAGGAGTAGTCGATCCAAACGGCCCAAAGTAGAGAAACAACTGATCGAGCCTGAACAAAAGCCTCTGAATAACGAAGAGGAGCCCAGCACATTAGAGGTGCCTGAGGAGCCTTTGAACAGGTAATTGAGTGTGTGTTAAATGGACATCTATGCAGGCTCTGGTGTTGCTCCCTAAAGGCTGACATTTCTTGCAGTATAATTCAGGTCCAATATCCTTCATAAATGTCTTTAACTTCTGGGCTTCGACCTATTGACAGCAATTGGCTGCCGTGTTTCACCCACAGGTATGCGGTCAATTCACTTTGCAGCATATTCTGTGAAGCGCTTTGAGACGTCTAGAAGACATGAAAAGCGCTATATCAAATGCAAGGATTATTATTATTTTAACTTGTTCTCATGCTGGCTCCTGACGCGGCTGTTTCACATCTAAATGATGAGTCAATTAGCTACACTTAGCCTGTGAAGGTGTGGGGGAAAGGCCTTTCTAACTTTCATATTGAATGTCGACTCCTGCACAACCGATTCTCTGTAAATGTGTGGTGATTTATTAATCCTTAACCTGCCGACAGGTCTATGCAGACTTTTGTCTCTCTCTGAGTTGATGGCGTCGAAACAGCCATCACCACCACTTATAGTTAAGAAATTTTTTTTTTTAAAAACTTGTCTTTTGTCTGGTGATCGTAGCAGACTATTGCTGATACTGATAGTTTGACCAAGTGTTAGTACTAAAACTTCTATTTGGTATAGCGCCTTTTGTGTTGGGAGCACGTCTCAAAGCGCTTCACATGATATATATACTGTAACATGCAGTGACTGTGTGTTTTGTGGATGAATGCAGCAGCCAATTTTGCGCACAGCCATGTCCCACAATAGCCACTAGTGAATGGTCAATTTTTATTCTTCACACGTGAGTTCAGTTCGAGCTCTTCAAGGAAGCATCACAGGTGAGTCTGAACCTGTCCCTGCTTGATCTCCACATGCTCACCACTTTGCTGTAGTGCAAGCTTTTGCAATGGGAACCTGGCTTATTTCCTCCCTCCCTCGCGCAGGGTGCTGACAATGATTCTTGAGCCAAATTGCTGCCCAGGCTCAAATCAACATTATGATATTAAGACAACTCTCTCAACCCATTTCCTTTTTTTCTCTCTCTTTCTCCCACCACTCGCTGCCCTTTCTCTTCTCCCCCCTACCCACTCGCTTCTTTCTTCTTCCGCCGCCCACTTTCTTCTCTCTTCACACCCCTCCCCTCTTGAGGATAGTAAAATAAATCTTGCCATGTTCTTCCTAGCACTGAGCCCAACACAGAGGAAACTGAAAACACTGCACAAACAATGGAAGAGCAGGAAGAGTGCCCGGTTCTACAGGATTCTGCAGAAAATCAGCTTGAAATGACACCTGGTGATGTTTTGTTGTGCCACATTGAAGTGTTGGAGCAAGAGGCTGACGAGGTGAGGTGCAGCAGATTTCCTCTCCAGCATAGAGTAAAATTGTTCACGTAAAACCACAAGGTTTGGTCCATTTGATCTAATCTTTCCAGAATCCCCACACTACTGTCTTCACATTATGGCATCAAGCTGTTTCTTGAATGAGTCCAGCACCCTGACCTCAACCGATCTTTCTGGTAAACTGTTTCAGCTTTACTTACTCTGGGTGTAAAAAAATCCGTCCTGGTGTCTGTCCTGAAGTTGCCCTGTGCTACCCTGAACCTATGCTCTCTCATGTGCTGCCTTTGTGTATCTGAATGGCTGAATGGTTTGTCTGGCTTTATTTCTCAATCCTCATTTTAAATCTGGTATGTCTCTGTAAAGATCCCTCAGAGACATCTTTTCAAGGCTGGAGCTCTACAACAATAACAACAACAACTTGCACTTCTATAGCTCCCTCCACGTCCTGCGGATTCTCCGAGTACTTAACAATGATAGAGCCCTAGGCCGAGCCAGGGGGAGGAGGAAGGTGACTGTAGGCGCGGTTGAAAATGAAGGTCTTCAGGTGCGACCTAAGGAGAGAGCTAGGCGAAGGGTTAATGGAGGAAATTCCAAAATTTCGGGATGTAGTGGCTGAAGGCAAGGCCACTGATGGTGGAGCAGAGGATTCAGAGGATGCGGAGGAAACCAGACCTAGTAGAGTGGAGGCAGTGGGTACTGCTGTGGAGAGAGGAGGTTAGAGAGATAGAGGGGTGCCAAGGAATGGAGGAATTTAAACACTAACTTGTCCTAACTGGCCTATTACTTATACCTCTTTACCTCTGGGGATCATCCTTGATGCTCTCCTTTGCATTATCTCTAGGGCCTGGGTAGCCCCCTTTGCTAGTCTCAAGACCTTTCTCTTTGACCGTGCCTTCAGCTCCCCTCTCGACTCGATTCTCTAACTCCTCCTCGCTCCCTCCCTTCCCTCCCCTCACCCTGACCATTTCCCCCCTGCTCGGGTCCTGACCCAACTGTACAGCGCCTTGGGACGTCCTCCCGACGTGAAAGGCGCTCTCTAAAATGGAATCTTGTTGTTGTTATACGGTGGTGACCAGATCTGCATCCAATACTCTAGGTACAGCCTGATCAGAGCACTGGATAGTTTGAGTGTGACTTCTGAGGACCTGAATGTAATTGATCTGTCAATATAGCACAACCACCAACAGTTGCTCTCCTCCCCCCGATACCTTCCCATGCCAGCGCAGGAGATGCAATACCTGCCCTTTCACCTCCCACCCCGCTGTCCAGGGCCCCAAACACAGTTTTCAAGTGAGACAGCGACTTACGTGTACTACCACCAATATAGTTTACTGCATTCGCTGCTCACGGTTTGGTCTCCTCTGCATCGGGGAGACCAAACGCAGATTGGGTGACCGATTTGCACAACACCTTCATTCTGTCCGCAAGCACAACCCTGAGCTTCCGGTTTCTTGCCATTTCAACTCACCCTTGCACTCTGACGTCTCCAGCCATGGTCTCCTACTCTGTTCCAAGGTAAAGTAATAGGCGAGTTAGTGTTTTACCACAGCGCAAGCTCGAGGAACAGCACCTCATCTATCTGCTGGGGACCTTACAACCCTCTGGCCTCAATATTGATTTCAGCAATTTCAGACCATAACAACTCACCTTCCCCCTCCCCTTCTGCTGTGACCATTATCACATCATCTGGGTCTCAGACACACCTTTCTTCTCTCTGATCTTGCCTGGTTCGTTGCAATCCCCCCCCCCCCTCTTTATTTTGCATTATTAACACCTCTTTTCCCCTGTTTTGTTGCAATCTTTCCCCCTTTGTTTTGCATCATTAGCTCCTCTTTAACCCATCATCCCCAATCCTCTATCCCATTTTCTCTTCCTTGCCCTGCCTCTCCATTACCCCTTAAAAGCCTCACCCTCCCAACATGCCCCAGTTCTGACGAAGGGTCATGGATCCGAATCGTTGACTCACTTTCCTTTCTCCATAGATGCTGCCTGACCTGCTGAGTGTTCCCAGCGACTTTTATATTTGTTTCAGATTTCGCCCATAAGTATACGATCAATTCACTTTACAGTCTATTCTGTGAAGTGCTTTGAGACGTCGAGAAGACGTGAAAAAAGCGCTATATCAAATGCAAGGATTATTATTATTTCAGCTTCTGCAGTATTTTGTGTTTTGTTAGCACAGCGTTCTGTTTGCCTTGTTTATTGCTGCTTCACATATGGGCATCTTGCAAAGGATGTGATTGGCAGTGAGCTGAGAATAGACCATTTCCCCTGTACTTCCCTGTCCCAATTTGTAAAGGCGCCAAAAACAAGCAAAAACAAAGCGATTAATGAAAAGTTACTTACCTTTCATTGAGAATTAGCATGACCTCAAAGGGTTATTATACATGTCTTCGTTGAAGTGCGAGCCTCTACTTGATTGTCAAGACCCAACACCGAAACAAACTGATCGAGACATTTTTGTTGGTAAACAATCATTGGGACATGTTATTAAGAGACATGCAGGTGTGTTCAGCAACTGGTGTATACATATTTGCCCACAAAAACACAGTCATTCCACTTTACAATATTTATCCTGTGAAGCACATTGGGATGTCCTCCTGACGTGAAAGGTGGTACACCAAATGCAAGGATTATTATTGTATGCATATCCTAGGTGAAGATCTGATTCACTACTAACCTAACTGCAGTTTTAATTTTGATATTATAATTCTGACATTTAGATATTTACATCTCAACAGCTAAGAAAAGTTGAGTTCTAGTTCCACAATCAGTGACAAGTTGTTGTTGCTGCTGTTCTTGATGGAATTCCTTGTGAGCTCTGTGATTGTCTTCCCAGTAAGAGATCTCAATCCCATTCCCTGACAAGTCAGACCAGAGTATTCTGTAAAACCAAGGACTCCTTGATCACTACATTATACATTAGGAAAACCTATTTAAAAATGCATGGATTGACATAAACATTGTCATTTTCTTTTAATCTAGGATAAGGACTTTTTATTGGAGCCAGAACCTGAACCACAGCCAGAAACAGTGAACGGTGAGGTGACTGATGAAGCTACTCAGGAATCAACAAAAACCGAAGAGGAGATTCCTAAGGATACAGTGAAGCCTGAAGAGGAGATTGCTGAAGAGTCAGTGAGAGATGATGAGGAGGAGGAGGAGGAAGAGGATGAGGAGGAGGAGGAAGAGGAGGAGGTTGCTGAGGATGCAGAAAAACCTGAGCAGGAGATTGCCGAAGATGTGACTAAAGATGATGAAGATGATGAGATTACTGAGGAATCAATAAGACCTGAGGAGGAAGCTGCCAATGGAGGTCCTTCTGAGCAGCTAGATGATGAACCTGAAGATCCAGGAGCTACACAGGAACTTCAAGATCAAAATGAAGTCAATGAGATGGAAGAGGTATTGTTTCCATATTTTTTTTCATTCCTGTCCTCCCAATCCCATCTCCCTTCACATTGACATTCACAAAGTATTTCCAGTCTATGGAATGAATGAGTATAACTGTGAACAGCTTCACTCTGATGCTTCAGCTGCTCTGTAAGTTGTGTGGAAGAAGGCATTCTTGACGGGAGCAGTGTTAGTGAGAAAAAACGCATGTCCCTTCACGTATAGATGTGCTGTATTGGCCAATGTATGGAGCATGAAGTTTTGATCATGTATCTTACTTCACCAATAAAAATCCACGGTGTATCTTAGGTTATTTATTTAAATGAACAACAACAACAACTTGCACTTATATAATGATCTCTAGCATCTCAGAGCGCTTAAGGAAGTTGCAACATTAATTTGCATTTTAAGTTTTTATTATAGTATTTAATTGTAACTGAACTCAGTAGATTTTCTTAGCTCCTTACAATTTACAAGTTTGTAGTGTCTTTCATGTATAAGTAATGTCTCGAAGCGCTTTAAAGAACAAGATTAATTAGAAATTAAGTGAATGTTGTTACGTAGGTAAACCTGGTAATTAATCTGTGTTTGTCGGACATTGTATTTGGGACACTGCTGTGCATAAATTGCTAAGTTGACCTACAGAATACAATCACTACACTTGATGGTAAAATTCTGTGAATAGCATTAAGATGTTTTGGTGATGTGATATATCAAATGTTGGGATTATCATTTATTATTTATCATTAATTTGCACCCAGCATTCTACAAACAACAAATAGTCAAATTATTTGGATGAGAAGAGAATTTAATGCAGGATAACACTGGTGGCTGGGGAGAGGATTTAAAACAGGATAACATTAATGGGTGAGGAGGGGTTTAAACTAGGATTACATTAATGAGTGAGGAGGGGATTTAAACCTGGATGACATTTATTTACATTGTTAATTGTTATTTCCCTGCAGGTGGCACTTTAAATAATGAATCAAAACAAAAACAAATATTAAAATATGAAATTAGAATGGGTTGGGGAAAAACCTTGGCAAAACTAGATGATATTCTATGTTAATTGCTATTCATGTGATATAATAATCCTTGCATTTGATATAGCACCTTAACAACAGCAACGTGAACTTATATAGCACCCTCCATGCAGGGTAGCGACTTAGAGCGCTTAACTGTGGCAGAGCCTGACTCTGCCACTGTTATCATGTTGTTGAGACATCTCAATGTGCTTCACAAGTTACACTGTAAAGTGAATTGACTAGATATTTTGTGGTCGAAATCTCCCTAACTCATTCCTCCACAAGCTTCAAGCCAGGTTCCAGGAGATCATCTTCTCCCAGCTCCACTGATTCCCTCCTCATCAAATTCAAAATATTTGGCCTAGCTTTCAAATGCCTCCAGGTCCTCAACCCAACTATGTGAGCTACTATCCCAGGTATATCTGCTCGTCAAACTCTCTTGGTGGAAGGGCTTTCAGTCATTCCACTCTGCTCTCTGGAACTCCATCCTGGAATTCCACTGCCTTGACCTCTCCCTCCCTGCCTTCGATCCACCTGAAGAACCATCTCTTTAACTGCACTTTGGGCTTTTGGGCTGCGTCTTTCTCTCCTGCCCTCCCCCCAGTTCCCAGTCAGTTGAGTGAAGTTCTTTTGAGACGTTCTTCCAATGTAAAAGGCACTATATCAATGTAAATTGTTGTTGGTATAATGTCCACAGTTAAATAACACAACACGTAAACAACAGCCACCCTATATCTGTGCTTGTAACATGCTTAGCTTTATAAAAATCCTTGCATTTGATAAAACGCCTTATGTCCTCAAAACATATCAAAGCTCTTTGCAGGAATTATTGTAAAGTGTAGTGACTTTGTATGTTTATGTGCAACACTTTTGTACAAAAAGGTCCCTTTATGAGTTGGTTTCTTTAAACCTTCTGAGGTTTCCCATTGACAGAATGGGTCCTATGTTGGTTTTAAAATTCTTCTTAGTGAATGAACCTCAGTTATTAGTTGATGCAGTATTTATATCCATCTGTAGCTAGTTGGATACAACTCTACAAAGATTTTGTTTGGACAGATTGTCCACCATTAAGTATCAGTGTTAATCTAATCATATTTGGATCACTTTGATGAATACATATCTCTTAATTGGAGCCAGATATTAATCAGATTGTTTCTATGCAGGATGTTGAAGGTGCTCAAGATGTTACTGCACAGGACCAAGCGGCAGAGGCTGACCCAGTGACCGTGGTAGAAGATAACAGCAGCTCTTCCAATCATCATGCATCTGCCCCAAAGGAAGATCATTCAGCTGAAAGCACTAAGGAAATCCCTGAGCCAGCTAAGGAGGAGCCATCTGATAATGGCCACATTTCAGTTGATGAGGAAGTATCTCAGCATTGTTCTTTGGAGAATGAGGGCATTTCTGTTGATCATCCAAAAACTGATTCAGCAGCACATGAAAGTGAGCAAGGGGAGTCCAATGCCCCAATGGACCTTAGTCGAGGTCCCCTAATCTTGGTTGAACTCGATGACGTTTCACAGAAGCAGACCCCGTCAGATGAACCAAAGGAGTCTGATGACCTGAAGAGCCAGCCGTCGCCAGCTGTAGTTGAGAAGACCGCTGAGAGCAGTTCAGAGGAGACTGAGATGGAGGTGCCAGTGGTGGACAGGAGAAACTTGCGGAGAAAGGGGAAGGCAAACAAAGGACCTCCTAAGAAACGGAGCAAGGTAGCAGCTTAAGTCCAAGTTACGCCTAATGTGTGTAACTCATTATAACCTACTGTTACCGAAACTCTTAATAGAACAGAATTTCAAGAGTTTTCCAAAAAAATTGATCCTTAGCCAGTATTTGGGCCACCGGTTAAGTGAAGTGCTGTGGATCCAGTGCAGTATTCTGTGACAGCTTGATAATACAAGCCTCATTTTCCTGTACTCCATTAACAGACGCTAGCATTAATCAAACGCAAATCTTTAAAAATGAAGATCCATTTCCAATGCAGAATTTTGTTGTCTCTTGCATCCTCTTCCAGAGGCTGTGAAAAGTGGGGGAAAATCCTCATCTGTGAGGCAAATCTGTTTTGGGTGGGTTTTGTTTCCATCTCTGACTTTATTAATTCTCAAATGCTAATGTTACAGAGTTCAACCTGATCCTGCCACTGTTTAGTTTGGTAATGTATTACAGGAGAGTGATCTATAAAAGCAAATTTAGTAGCAACCAAGTTGTCTGTGTTTTTTAAAATGTTTTTAATTTTTTAAAAAAATACTTTCTATTAGCTGTAATGTTTTTATATTGTAACTAACTTGCTGAAGTCTTGGCTCTTAGTGGTGTTTCCCTCCCTCTACTTTCTCTCTCTTTCCTCTTCCCTATCCCCACACACACTACAAATTTTCAATTATACTCCAATGCTTTACTCTGTTGCATGCAATGGAGATCCTTTGTGTAGAAAAGCCTGTTTAATGCATCAAACTGAATAGGTTTAAACTGAGCCCTGTAAGTACTTGTATACATATGCTGTAAACTTAAGGTAGGAGCTCTCAGCACACAGATATTCTGGCGTTTCCAGTTGTGGAGGACTGTTTATTGTTAGGTGCTGACTGTTTAATCTTAGTGTAGATTTATTATTTGTCTGTGTTCTAACGTAGGAATAGAGTGGAGAGGGCAGGAAAGGGATTTGATTATTGTCATCATAAAAACTATCTCAAACAGATTTTTTGATCCAACAAATTCATATGATCTCGGATACTGTTTGCTACTGATGGACATCAATTCTGGGGAATTCCGTTTCTCCCTCAAACTTTGTTTTAAAAATTCTGAAAATGCAAAGCTTGCCAAAGCCTTTGAAATCGAATCAAGTAAGATCTGCCCCCACACCCCCCGACGACATCCACAGAATAATGAAAGTGAACTGCAACTTACTTTTTAAATCCAGTTCTAATGTAACCAATAGTATTGTTTTAACAAACTTCTTTCATGTGGAATTTGGTCAGCGGAGAGAGACACGGTCTAGGAATTTAAAGTAAAAAGCAGATTGGTTGAATATAAACATACTCTTGATCTCAGCTGATGATCATTTCCCTATGTTACTGTTCTATGCAGCTAATTGTAAGGATCGTTAATGAAAACGCACCTATTCATTTCCACTGCTGTGGTTTTATGGCTGGTGTGGTCCGTCACTAACTGTTTCGAATATCTGCTTTTTATTTAGTCAGAAAATACAAACCAAATCTGTTCCGTGTGCCTACTCCTCTCAGCAATAGATCTGTTGTAACTCATTTTAACATGGCATCTGGGGAGGGAATGTTGAAATATTTTAATACATTGTGCTATTTCAGTAGATAACCTTGGTGTATTTACTAATTTATATTGGTACACTAGAATGTTAGGTTTTTTGTATGATCTAGTTTTTACAGTGAATATGTGTTGTGATTAAAGTGTCTTGTTTTTTTTCTTGCTGGATGTAGTCAAATTGTGCTGATTTATTGACTAAAGATACTATCGAGACCTATAATATGGGCTTGAGTTATGTAAATTTATCAAATTGTCTTATCTGTCACTTCGTAATCAAAATTAACTTTTTGCTGCATTGAATCTCACAAATCAAACCATTTACATGTGCAGCATAATATACCTGTTGGATTTTTTCATTATTATGACAGATATTTAAAAAACGTCAATTTTATTTTCAAAACCAGTGTTGCATAATGCAAGGGATTAGAAGGGGAAGGAAATCCAACATTAAGTGTGAGGGTCGTACAATAATAATTAATAATTATAATCCTTGCATTTGATATAGAGGCTTTCATGTCAGGAGGTCGTCTTAAAGTGCTTCATAGGATTTATTGAAAGTACAGGGACTGTATTTTGTAGGCTTGGAACTTTGTCACGTTGTGCCAACACCCCAAAAATACACACACGGGGAATTACTGACAGCAAGTCAGTACTGACACCACACCATTTCTATTTAAATTATTACATTAAATTTAATTTCTTATTTAGGTTACAGTGCAGTTCATTTGACAGGGATTTTGTTGAATATTGGGTTAATTCCTAGATAATTGTCTAGCTTTGGAAAAATAAATGAAAAAAAGAAAAAATATTGCTTCTTAAAGCCTGTTTGCAAATGGGATTTCCTCAGCTTCATTGTTGCATTGCGATGAATGTAACTTTGTTTTTACTAACCAAAAGTATTCCAGCTAATGTTGGGATCTAACAGTACAATAAAACAACTTGTTGGGTAGAACACAAACCATTCAGTCTCCACACCAGTCACCCCAGTCTGTTAGGATAAGAAACTAGGATTGATGAAAAATCATGTTTCCACTTTAAAGTGTCCGTATGATGCAGGCAATTGCCTCATATTGATGTGGCAGTACTAGAACAGCATATTGAACTTTCAGATCGTTGTTTTCTGCTGATGACCGTAAAAGGGTTCAGGCCCATTATATTCTCTTCATGTTGAATTAGGACAACGCAGATAAGAATTTCTAGCTGTATTTTTAATTTCTACTTAAGATAGTTTTGAAAGGAATTCACAGCGCTGTAAATGATGTGAATCCTTTCCCTGCCTGTCATGGTGATGACTAAAATGGTCTCCTGTAAACCTATGTTTGTAATTAAAAAGTACTTTTCTTCAAAATTTGCCTTGGGAACCCTTAAAATGTTTTTTTGTGAGAATGTGCACTTTAAAAATATATCAAGTTTGTGCATGGAATTCCCTGAAGCAATTTAAAATACAGTAGTTTGGTGAGACAGGATGGTATAAATGCAACCTCTCTGCTCACATCAACTGGAGTTGCAAGTGATAGTGCTTCAATAACAGTACCGATAGGTCACGAGAAACAGTACAGTAAATCAGACCCTGTCGTTGAGTAAAGCATGGGTCTCAATTATTCAGACTAGAATAAAGCTGTAGAAAAAGAACACAAGAAGTCGCAAGGAGTTTGCAAGAAAATGGGAAAGAGGACGAGGCAACCTAAAGATCGCTTTTAATGTCAAGGATGCAAAATTTTATTGTGGAAAGCGTTTCATACCTGTAACCACACTTGGTTGCGGTGGTTACTGGTGGTGCTCACTGTGGCGGGGAGGCTTGAAAGGTCATTGGAGCTTATTGTAGTGCTGGCACGATAAGATGAAGTGCCCGTGGTCACTGCTATTGGAGGGCTGGGAAACAACAGCCTTCTGCTTTGTCCCCTCTCCCGAAAGGCTTAGGCCACAGGTCTGAGACATCTGGGAGGGTGGCTATTCTTCCTGCCTGCACCTCGACAACCAGTAACCAGTGGAAAACCTGGCTGAATTTGTTTTCCACCCTCCTTAGACCAGAGATACTAATGCAAATTTGTAACACAGCAACCTTCGCTTTGGTTGATAATCCACTCAGTCGGCCCAGATTTAGAATCAAACTTGAAACCTAATGGTCTCTATAACTTTCTGTTAAACTGGGTACCCATGGGTCATGGGGGAGTTAGAAATATAAAAATCTACAGCACAGAAGAAGGCCATTCAGCCTATTGTCTGGACACAGAGCAGTTATGCTCTAATTTTCCTAATAGGTGGTGTGCGTATATATAAATATTTTGTAACTCCTTCATTATGAAGTCTCCATCCTTTATGGAATAAATATACAATAATTTTCATATGTAGTATTTGTAAAATTAACTGCAGTTCAGTGTACAAAGATGCCACATTAAATTCCAGTAGAGTTAATTTTACAACAACAACAACAAGATTCCATTTATAAAGCGCCTTTCACGTCAGGAGGACGTCCCAAGGCGCTGCACAGTTGGGTCATGACCCGAGCAGGGGGGAAATGGTCAGGGTGAGGGGAGGGAAGGGAGGGAGCGAGGAGGGGGGAAATGGTCAGGGTGAGGGGAGGGAGCGAGGAGGGGGGAAATGGTCAGGGTGAGGGGTGGGATGGGAGGGAGCGAGGAGGGGGAAGAGAGTCGAGAGGGGAGCTGAAGGCACGGTCAAAGAGAAAGGTCTTGAGACCGGCCTTGAAGGAGGAAAGGGAGGAGGCGGCGAAGGCACTGGGGGATAGAGTTCCAGAGCCTCGGGGCTGAGAGGCTGAAGGCCCGACCACCGATGGTAGGGCGATTGGGGCGGGGGATGTGGAGCAGACCGGAGCCAGAGGAACGGAGGGTACGGGCAGGTAGGTAGGGGGATAGTAGGTCGGAGAGGTAGGAGGGAGCAAGGCCGTGAATGACCTTGTAGGTGAGGATGAGGATCTTGAAATCAATCCTCTGGGGGATGGGGAGCCAGTGGAGGAGAGCGAGGGTGGGAGTGATGTGGTCCGAAGCCTGGTGCGGGACAGTACACGAGCTGCAGAGTTCTGGATGACCTGCAGCTTGTGGAGGGAGGTGGCGGGAAGGCCGGCGAGGAGAGAGTTCCCATAGTCCAGCCTTGAGGTGATAAAGGAGTGGACCAGGGTTTCAGCAGCGTGAGGGGTGAGGTAGTGCCGTAGTCTGGCGATGTTCCGGAGGTGATGGAAGGCGGTGCCAGTTGTGGTGCGGATGTAAGGGAGAAAGGACAGCTCAGGGTCGAACAAAACGCCGAGGTTCCTGACTGGCTTTGAGAGGTGGAGAGTGCAGCCTTGGATGCTGATGGTGTCGGCGCCTGAGGTGCGGAGGCGCTGACGTGAGCCAATCAGGAGGGCCTCGGTTTTTCGCACGTTGAGCTGAAGAAAGTTGTCTCTCGTCCAGGACTCGATGTCGGACAGGCAGACTGTCAGGACATCGGTGCTCGTGGAGTTGAGAGTAGAGAGTAGAGGAGGAAAGTACAAGATGAGTTCCTTTGAAGTGCGATGACTTATGTGACTTATGTGACCAAACATGGCAATTAATCCATGCCACAAAATTAATGACCAAATGATCATCTCCACCCACACCCCTCTGCATTTGATGTCAGACTAAATGATGAGGTCAAGTACTGATATGGGACTCAGAGGTGAGAATGATACTGACTGAGTCGCACTATTTGTATCTTCTCATTGGTATCAAGATTAACTCTGTAAAAGCTTTGTAGCTTTTAACTCTTAAAATGTTTCACAGCTTCTAACTCTTAAAATGTTTCAGCACACAAAAAAATCCTAGTCAAATCCGACCTATAGTTCAGTACTGGAAATCAAACAATAAATCCTTGCTGTTGGTGATTTGGTTTCACAATGTCTGGAGCTGCCGACTACAACCGATCATGTCTGCCACATTCTTAAATTCATTTGGTGCTGAGACTGATGTTTGCTGTGGCCCGACTGCAGAACTGTCAATCATTACCATAAACCAACTCCTTTTTAATTTGTATCTGGACTGCCGTACTAATTTAGAATTACTGCAGGATAAATAACAATGGTAGACAGGATTAATTCAACCTGCAAGAGATAAGTTTTTTTTTAAAAAATGAAACTTTAATTATGAATGAAGCAAGTTGTTTTCCAAAATCATTCTTGGATCACTTCAAGTCTGAGTTGTAATGCGGCAATGAAAACACTCCAATTAATTGGGTGGTTTTAGAGGATAAGTCTGTCGGGTATATTCAGTGCAGTAATATAAAATAATCCTTGCCAAGGTATAGATCTTGTCATGTTTTAATGTCAATTACAGGTAATTAAGTGTAGTGACTGTGTAGGTAGTTCTTGTGGATAAACTGACTTTTGAACTGCATGAATTTTGAAATGATTAATGTGAATTGACAACTATTGGATACCAGAACCTAAAATAGCAGAAATAGTTGAACTATTTTATTCCCAAACAAGCTCTTTTCTTTAGCCTGATGGCATTACAGTAAAATCAGTGTACAACACGAGTGCTATCTATTGTGTTATTTAGCCACAAACTTTCTCTCTCATCACTGAAGACGTTTTATCTCTGCTTCACTCAAACATCCATTATTAATGCCCAAGACTCGGCCATAATGTTGACAGGCTATTTGACTGCAAGAATATCAGAGCCAAGCTTGGTCCCATCTTCACCATCACCCGTTTCCATGGATCTCTGCATAGCGATCAGGAGCAGAAACTTTGCCCCACACTGAATAGCACAGGCCAAGATTTGAAACTCCATTTCAGGTTTCTAAGGTCTGGTCCTGCCCTGGTCTGTGCCTTTACCCCTAAGCCATTGAGAGAGCATTTGTTGATGCAGTTCTCTAATCACCTTACACTGAACACAGCTAAGAGCGACTCCCAGAACTCTATTCATTTCTTTTTTCTTTCCCCAATAAAAAATGGAAGCATAGATTCCACCCCACACAAATAATTGCTGGCAAACTACCCTACACAAGTTAAAGATGTCTTGTAAACTATGGTTCAGCCAATACAGATTAAAATCTAAGAAAGGGACATTTTTTTTGTTTGCTAAGGGCAATTGAGAAAGTGCTACAGACCGTTCCCAGCTTGCTTTTTTCAATATAATTATAGCTCCTCATTTTGTCTCCTTGTAGGTCTATCACCCCCGTGCGGTCAAAAGAAAACGCTGAAAGGAAATCATTTATCAAGTTCGATGAAAATCTTATAAAGCATTTTCTAAGTTTCTGAGGTGAGAAGTTTGTGGCTGTGGAAAGGCAGTCATAAGATCAATCTCTGCTTTAAAGGTGCAGGGAATTATAACTTGTGTTGATGTTTTGTTTGTGGTTACAATGTGCAAAATTTGTATTCTTTCTGCTTCTTGAGTTTATAATTTCCAATTGGTTTTAGACTATTTGAGTTTTATTTCGTCACCACACCCCACCCCAAAAAAAGCTTTTTATATATCCCTGCTACCTGTTACATATATCCCTGCTACTAAATCCTCTGTCATCTCATTTCCAGTCGGTAGTGGAATGACAGATTTATGCTGCCTCAGGGGAAGCATCTGCTCTAAGGGGACCTAACTAGGATGTAACAGCGTAAGGTATCTCCAGTGTAAGAGATCTTGCTGTAATAGAGCATACTAACAAAGTGTATCACAAGACTGATGGCTGTGGGTGAGGGGATTCCCCCTAGATGTTCCTTTTCCTGCAGCAAAAAGGACCAACTGAAGGGACAGTTGTGCAGCCAGCTCTGGGGCTCCATGAATGCTGCCTTGACATTCGCTGGAAGATGGTAGACAAGCATTCATCGGGAATCTTTGCTGCCAGCGCCTTGGGATGTCCTCCTGACGTGAAAGGCGCTATACAAATGTAATTTGTTGTTGTGGGGACTCAGTATATAGGAAGCCAGGGTTCAAATCCCCATCCCAGCACTCTGTGCCACTGCACCAACACGAATGGTATTTAATATGCAGCACTAGTTAGCAGTAGTAAGTCTGACAAAGGGAACTGATAAGACCCATAAAATATAGTCTGATTGAATAATATTGCTTGCATTATGGATGCCTTGCAGCTGAATGCCATATTGTTTGCCACTTCATAATGGGTAAGCAAATTGGTTTCCTTGGCTTCTCAGAAAAATAGTTTTACTCCCAATATGTGTGCTATATTTAATTGTGCAAGTACAATGATATTGTCAGTCTTTGTTACTTAACAGTGACTATGCTGTAAGAATAACTAACGTGTTTCTGGGGACTAATTTGTGTGATCTTTTCACAAACAATTCCCAGGATGCAATATTAGGCTTTCCATCCACTAGGAAAGCAGGGCTGGTTGTTATGACCTGGGCAAATAGAAAAGTGCAGAAATATTTGCCAAAAAGTACAGGGAAATTTGACAATTTTTGTGGAAAATTGCAGGGAGTTGATTGGTGCTATTAAGGTACATTTTACTGCCAACCTTCATTTTTTCACTTCATTGATAAAACTAAAAATGAGAAAATAACACATTGTTATTAATTTCTTCTATAACAAAAACTGGGTGGGGCGGCATGGGACACCACCTGGAGATCCACCAAAAACCACAATCAGGACCAATGTCTTGACTGTGGGGCTACAGGAGTTCACCATCTCCTGCTTCTGGGGGCCCAGCACCACACACAGGCAGTGACCCAGAGAAAGGAACATGAACACAGACACAGAGAGACACACAAACACAGACACAGAGAGACACACGAACACAGACACAGAGAGACACACACACTCAGGCACAGAGAGATGCATATTCTCAGAGAGATACACACTCGGAGAGATCTACCTTCATAGACACTCAAACACACACACACACATAGAAGAGACGCACACAGACACATCTACAAACGCATACATACATACATACATACAACAACAAGATCACATTTGTATAGTACCTTTCATGTCGGGAGGACGTCCCATACAAAGGAGAGACAGACACACACACAGAGGAGACGCACTCAACAGTGGAGCTTTCGAGTGGAGTGAAGCCCATTTCCTGCTCGTGCCATACCCTGCACGTGTGTCTGGAGCTTCTCAGCCCACAGTTGCATTGGATAAACTGGCAGAAGCCCGGTTTATAGCAGATTCTGTGGAAAAATTGCGGCCGCACTTTTCCATTGGTCCAGGTTATGACCTTAGTCAGCTTGTCTGACCAGGCTATTAGTACAGACTCTTACAAAAAGCATTTTTTTTAAAATCAGTGAACTAATTCTCAGCTGTAATGGTAATTACCACATTTGTTGCAGTCCTTTTTATACACCCAGCTCCAAATTTTTACCGAGACTTTTAAAACATTCACCAAATCTATCCCAAGTCTGAAGTAATGGTGCTTTTCTGCTGTATTGTTTATAATCATCAAAATAAAAATGGCCATATTGTCATGATTTTCTGATCTTCAGTGAATTGTATATAAGCCTGACCACAAGATATAGAAGTGGTATTTTGCCTCTTAGCATTGAATATTTTGCTAAAGTGAGAGCATGGTGCAAATATTTTACTAAGTGCATTGTAGTGATACACACTAGTAGATCACGTACCCAAGCAAAAGGATATGGCAGACAGATATTGCACACTTACAAGGCATTTGTCCTTTTAAGAAAGGTGAAGAGTAAAAGACAATATATGCAAAGGTAGATGTATGAAAGGTTGGATATTGAATGTGTGTTTACATCACACATGAGCTTAGAGTTTTGCACAATTTTTTTTCTCCACTTATTTTTAACATCATATTTGACCTACTTCAGTTCGTAAAGTCCAGGAAGCATTCATGATCGTTTCATCCGGTGCTTTCTTCCATTTGAATTATTGACATTGTTATCCTCTGGAACCCTGTCCCTTCAATGTTGTGTTACAAGGCAGCATTAGCCATTACTTGGAACAGGTGATATTCAATGAACATTTATTCCTTCTATAGAAGCTTGCAAGTCCCAGTGAGGAAGCGAGGAAAAAAATGTACTTCCATCTCTGTGTTTCTATCAACCATCAACGAATGCATTTGCTCAACTCGTCCTGTGCTGCAGTTCTAGCACATGGCAACAAGTGCTTTTTCAGTTTAAAATGTGATCTGATATTGCTTGTGTAAATAATGTTTACATTATGTTGTTTGTGTAAATAATTAAGGACTAAAGCCCCTGAGTTACATCATTAGTTTCAAAAGCATCAAATCTAATTACAATAATTGCTTACTTTGTGAGAATACTTACTTATGAATTGCTTACTTATGTGTGAATCAGTAATAACAATTTGCCTTTCAAGCTGGAGAACTTAACACATTTTACAAGTGGAAGCCCAAGTAGGAATAAGATGAGGGAATGGTTATGGGCACAGCTTAGATGGATTTTGAAGGCAGAGGGAAGGGAACAAGGCAGTGTGATTTTAGAAGTTTCAAAGTGCACGAAAGCTTGTGATGATGGGGAAGAGGGCATAAAGCAGCACAGAAATGGTAGACAGTGACTGAGGAGTGGAGGTAGAATATTGCACTATTGTGGGGCAAAGTCATGGGGTAGTTGGGCAAGGAATAGGATCCTGAAGTTGATCCAGTGGGGCTATGGAGCCAGCTGACAAGGAAGGGCTTACAGTCTGGTGCAGGAAAGAAATATGGCTAGAGTTCTGGATGATCTACAGCTTTTGTATTGGGGGTGAAACTGGCACAGGCAGATAAAGGAAAGCAGACTTGGTCAGAGGCCAGAAAAAAGACAAGAGTAGATTTGAAAGAAGGCTGAGGTTTCTCAGGCTCTATGGGCTTTAGTGGATCCAGTTAGACTTGAAGAAGCGCTTATAGGAATTGAGCAAAATAACCTGAGTTTTGTTTACACTGAGTCAGAGAAAGTTGAGGCTTATCCAGGACTTGTTCAGCAGATTGCCTTTCTGACAACAGTGGTCTTGGAGTTGTGGGTACAGGCAGAAAGGTGGAGTTGGAGAAGTATAGGCTTCAGATTTCACCGCTATCCACCTTCACTTAAGTCAGGAGTGCTGTCCCAAATCACAAATTTGGCAATACAAAAAGCTATATTGAGGCTGTGCCAGTTGTTTGCTTATTACAAGCTATACGTCTGACACACTAAAAACAAGTCAGAATAATCTGAAAACTGGTTCAGTTTATTGTCTCGGCCTTCAGCATGATGTTATTTGATAAAGAAATTAAACGAATACATTAAGGCTATACAAAATGCTGTAAATTCCTGGACCCACACCCATTATAGCACAAATACTATTAAGTATTTCTTATGGTCCAGTCATTACTCTTCCACAGGAAGGTTGGCATCTTGCATAAGGTCAAAATTCAGCTTTCAAAATCCATCCCTGGAGAATAACATTACAAATTAAAAATCCAGTCTGTTTATTGTTCATGGTACAGTTCTGTGTCCTGATGATTTTAAACAAGCAGAACTGCATTAATGCAGCCGTCGTTTTCAGGGTTATTGGTCACTTGAGCAAATTTACCTGAGGAAGAAGAGGAAACATCAGTTTGGTTCTTGGACACTCTAGTTTCACAACAGCACTTTACACAAAAACAGCCAAGTGTTATGCTATTAATATAACTTACAATATTATTTTTGGCAGATTCAATACATGATGTTTAGCAGAAAGCTAATCAGTTCCCTGAAGTGTTTGTAGACTGTTGAACATTGAAGCCATTAAATTTCAGTTGATTTTGAACAAATATAAACCAGCAGGAAGAGCATATTCCCAGTCTCTATAGGCTAAAACATTTTCCAACGTTTTGAATGGAACTACAACTAAACAGGAACCACACAAGGAAAAAGTGCAACAGCACTAGGGAATGGTTTAAGTTAGTACAGTGGAGGTTACACTTGGAAGCACGACACTCCACTTCTGTGATGAGGGCAATATTTATGTTTTCATCAAGTCGGACTCAAACGTATTGCATTACCAGGAAGCACGTTTCTACTTGTACAGCTGGAATAGCAAGAAATGAGTTTAGCAAAAAGCAAAAGATTAGCAAAAAAAACACAGTACTCCAGGAAGCAATTTACATCTGAAGGAATTCTTATTTTAAAATAAGGAGTGTGTGATTTGTTCAGGTTGGTGCTAGCCGAGAGACAAGCAATAATCTGATGAATAAACAAATTTATCCATGAATACACACCAACCTCCAGTGGGATGTCTGGAGTACAATTAAGAGGGATCAGGTCCCTGTAACGGTCTCTAGTATTCATACAACTGAAGCTCAGTCTATGTCTATGGAGACTTGTGCCCATATTCAGAAATGGAGGATATTTCTGATTCTTTAATACGCATCAGATTAAAATGATGGAAGCACACGATTTACCATATCACGTTCAAACTAAGATCGTCAACTGACCTTCCCAGTCAGTGAACAAATGATTGATTATTTTAATGTCAACAGAGGACACTGTAAATGTAGTGTGAAAAATAACAATTTACTCTTCTAGAGAACAAATGTTCTTGTCTCTTCAGCAAAACAGCTGACAGTATTTACACAGCTGAGAAAGGTGACCTGGTGGGTAGCAGTTTAGCACAAGCATAGTGCTGACAACCTCCCACCCCACCACCTCCTGAATCCCAGTATTGAGAGGTGAAGGTGATGTTCAAAGGTCATTAACACCAGACCGTTCTTTCATTCAATATTTCTTTAAGGGACGGGCAAAGAGAGAAAGAATTAAAATAGGATTATCCACAAACGTATTTTTGGTATTTAAAAATACCCAAACATTTTAAATACAGCACAGCAAAAATACTGAGACCAGACATAAAGCAAAAAATTAGAATAGGGGTAGCAATCCTGTTTCAAATGACTAGCTATCCAAGCGAATGACTCAAATGGATCTTAGCAGGCCAAAATACAAGAAACAAGTGATGCTAGGTATCTATAGACCTTTTGTCAATCCTCAGGAAGCCAGCAATCTGTGACCGAAGAGCCTTGAAGGCAGTAATAGAAATGTGAATTGAGAGCATTGCAATAATCTGTCCGGGGAACACATTCATTTACAAACCCTAGTTCTGCCTCATCAATATTTGAGATTTTAAATCAACAAATGAAACTTTTCAAGATGAGCTACCATCTGGAAAAATTATCGTCAGTGGCAGAAACCTTAACAGAAATTGTAATCCTTTAATTGCTGGAAGTTAATTTACGGCCAAGACATGACTGGGTTTGCAGAGTTCAGCTACAGTATTAAAGTGAGACAACAGTACAAGGTTTAAAATGAGTTGTACATTACTCACCCCAAACAACTTTGCCTCCTTGTGTGACTAGGCCAAGCTCACTTACGTTCACTTCTATGACAGAACCTTTGGTAATAACACCTATAGGCAGAGAAATAAACATTGAGAAACTCAGGTAATGTCTGAGATGGAGATTAATAACCAAGGGGAAATCCCTCCTTGCTTGACTTTGACCTTCAACTGTCTGAAACAGCCTTGAACACATACACAATTGCTTCTATGTAAACAGAGATATGTCATAGAGATATGATCTGCACCGTAGAAACAGATAAGACATCTCGTTTTGTGGACCTCCTTAACCTAACTGAATTAAATTCTAAATTTCAGTCACAACTGTAAAATGCACATTTTTTCTTCTTACGATTTGCTATAGGCTTTTACTGTACACATTACTAAGTAAACCACCTAAATCTGGAACAAATGTGCAGTCATTTGTCAATGAATTTCAGTTTGATTTAAATAAATTTAAATAATGGCTTCACAGATGGAGAATTTAAAAGTAGCACTTTGAACAAGGGAGACTGGATCCTTAAAATAATAGATCCTTACGTCTTAAATCTGTTTTTTCCCCACTAAACATTTAACCACAGTCGAATGGTGTTTATCCACTTCTGTCTATTAACATAGGTCTTCCAAGTAGAAGTTGAACATGGGGCTTTCAAGACACTGCCAAAATACTGATGTGCTTACATACAAAGCTGTAGTGCAAGGTTTCTATGGATGCGTGAATGAGGCTGCACAATACTAACAACCATGCACATAACTTTGCACATATTGCACCAGCAGTGAAAGCAAGCACTGCAGCTGATTTATATTTCAAGTGATGTCCACATCATTAATTTATCTGCAAAGACGTCTGTGCAGGGAATTGTCACTTTACTCTAGCATAACAGTTGTCAATCGGCTGTGATTTTAAAAAAATTGCAAGGGATTTCAACCTTTATAGTCTGCTTCTTTCTGGCTATAAACATTAATAAATACCTCTTTAGAAACAATTTAGCTGAGCATTAGTCTGATTTCAAGAAAACTACCTCTTCAGAATTAAAAATGTACATATCTCCTAATCAATTCATCACATGTTGCAGTTACCTGGTAAAACATTAGCATGAATTTTCAGAAAGGCTGTTTTCCAGTCAATCTTTCTCACAAAGCCTGGTTATACACAAGAATTAATTTTATTGATTAGGCATCTCTGTTTAATAGTTACTTTACCTAATGTTGTATATAAAGGCGATGATGGGTTCTTCTTTACGGCAAGGATGGGTAAACAGAATGTTGCTTTCAGTTCGGGATGGGTAACGTGCGCCTTCTTAAAACGTAAACCCTAAAACAAAGTACAACTGTTTATCATTCCAGTTTTACAGCAAAGGAGCCCCAACCGAGACAAAAAAAGTTTCTCTAATGTGAAGCAATGTTACTGGATTACAAGAAGTAAGAGTGACCTCGTCCTCTACCCTCCCCACTTCCCCCTCATCAGGCTCAGCCACTGTTAAGTGCTCAGAGACCCTGCCCCGCATGAATATAAATGCAAGTTGTTGGACATGCTATTTCAAGTAACTTTGGGATGGAGAATATACTGTGAATTAGCCGATTACTATAACATACATCAATCACACAATTCTGTGAACGGATTACTGGAACATATAATTGTCATGTATGGACAAGTAGCTTCATAAGCAGACGTGAAAAGTTTTGTCTAAAACACGTGAGAGATATCAGCCTGGATCTGGCTGCCTGTTACGGTCACTCTGATTTCTTGAATCAGAAGGTTGTGGGTTCAAGCCCATGTCAGGACTTTGGCCTCAAGAGTCTTGGCTGACACTCCAGCGCAGTGCTGGAGAAGCACTATATTGTCATTAAACTGAGTCTGCTTGTTGAGGTGGCATAAAAGATCGTGTGGTACCATTCAAAAAGGGAGATTCTCCCAGTGTCCTGGCAATAATCACCCAGGTAAAAAAAAATTGGTCACTTCATGTTCATTTGTGAGATGCTGATGTGTGCGAATTGGAAGCCATGTTCACCTACAAATACACAGTTGCAACATTTACAGAAAATCCTGGGAAGATGTTTCAAAATAAAAGCAAATACAAATATTATTACTGTTAAGAAACAGACTGGATAATATTTAATTAGGGTTTTACTGCCCATTTCTAGAATAGCATCTTCATATCAATACTTAGCAAAATCATCTAATTCAGTGTACAAATTCAAAAGTACCAAACCAAAGCGAACATGAAATCCCTTCTTCAAAGAAAGTCTGTAACTCACCATAGGCCTAATGAATCTTTCATATTTGGGTGGTTTCCGAGTGAATCCATCACCAACAAAGCAGACTTTAGTGACCATTCTCTTCCAGGCCTTCTTTCTCCTCTTTCCCGTTCGGATAACTTTCAATACCTCAGTTTCACCTTGGGCACGGACTTTGGGCAGCGGGACTTCCCATTTACCCTGCCAAGGAATGATTCACAATTTCAAATTAGCACTGCAACTCTATAAAGTACCTTAAAAAGTACAATTACATTTTATGAAACTTTTTCACAAAGAGCAATGTGTTCCCTTCCCTAATAAAACTGTCCTCCTCAACACTTTTTAAAATATTTGTAATATGTTACAGAATACATCCTCTTTCCACTCACACAATTGGGCAATGTCAGTCTTTATTCGTGGAGAGTAAAGAAAACATTGACCAGTTATTCATACAGAAAATCAAACTTCCCCACGGTTTACATTAGTACACCACAAGTGCGACACCCACAGAGATCAAGAAGGTTTCAGCTTCAATCCCTCCTATGTGTATAGCTAGCTCATATCAGCTAAAACAATGGTAATAATCCTTGAGGCAAGGAAAAAAAGGATTAAAAATGTCTACACTTCTCAGTGATCCACAAAGGGCAATTTGTGCGGGCTTCAGCTCTGGACAAATTCTGACTCGCCCACTGACATTGCTCACATATAAAGAATGGCCACTTGGACAAGGCCCAGAAGGTTGTAACACCAGTAGAGAAGGTAAGTGAAATGTCAGAGAGTGAAAAAAAATGGGAGATTGTTCAATGGTGCTGTATCAGCGGTCGTGGAAACTTTTCATCTACAATATCGCACCACAGCATGACAGTGTCTCGCATAAAGACAGAGAAAAATTGGGATCGAGGTGAAATGCTTTCTTTTGGGTGTCTTTTCTTGGATTTTTGTCAGATGAGCAAACAGCACAGTAATGCGTTGTTTTTCAAACACCATTCAGCCCAATTCCCTGTACCATTTTATGTCACTCTTCAAATATCTATCCATTTTCATATAAATGTTATGACCCCAGCCTCAATAGCCACTTGTACAAAGTATTCCACATTCTAAGAACTATCTAATGAACATCACTATAAACCCAACATCACTTACTAATGTTTGTATTCCTTCCAAAGGAACAAGTTACCCTCTCAAAAGGCACCTTTAGCACTTATGCAAGAATCTTTCTATTTCTTGACTTACAGCTTTCTCTTTTCTCTTTTGCTTGATCATGTTGGAGAGAACTTTAGCCCGGGATTGGCCCTCTCTGTCAAGCAGATATGGTGGAACGGCTCCTTTGGGTGTGTTATCATCATTCTTCTTTTTTGTGTTTCTCTGTTCATGCATCTTGATGCTGCAGGGATCAAATGAGCAATGAAAACTTAGAATTCATGAGAAATTATTTTGCATTCCTTGTAATTTTCTAAAAAAATATATTTGCCGCTCTTCCTTTGCAAACCATACGTTCTTGAGATCCTTCTTACGCGATGGAGCCACAAGGCCATTAAAATCCCAAACCAAGTACCAGTGAACTTACTATTACAGAATGAAAATCTTAATTGTGGGAGTAAAGCTCTCAGCCAAAGAATTTAATTCTACTGCTGAAAGCACAGGTTTTTTTCTTAAAAAGAGACTGTCTTAATGAAGCATTGTTTTTACTTCTGGCGAGGGAAAACAGCTGAGCATTGTGCAATAGTGCTGTTTTCACTACACAATGACAACAGTTTTCTCAAAATCATTACCAGCAACAACACAGGATGTACCACTCCACCTCTAATCTCACTCTTTGTGTCACACACGAGCAATGGCTATGCAAATGAAAACGCGACCTGCTCTCAAGGGGTTCAATCAATGCTGCTCTGAAACCAACCAATATGTACAAAATACTATGTCTGACTCTCCTCTGCCAAGCTCAAATCCCATTATTATTTGGTCCATTATTTTACTGCTGAAAGCGGTTTGTCATAACCATCCTTCAAGTAGAATTTATTGTTCTGTATTCCCTTTCCTTCACCAGTTCTTTCTTTACTTCTTCTGAATGCAGGAAACCTTGCAATTGAGTGTGAACCTCTAGTATCTGAATTTGGTGCCTGTACATTGGATAAATAGGTTAACAATTGCTGAGACTACCACAGCCGAGCCCTGCTTGTTCCTAGTGTCCAAACATACACATTTTCCCTAGAGAAGTGAAAAGTAATTACAACAACAACAACTTGGATTTATATAGCGCCCTCCACACCGGACGGCGCCTCAGAGCGCTTCACAGTAACGGATCCCGGGGCCGAGCCAGGGGGAGGGCGAGGAAGGTGACCAAAGGCGCGGTCGAAAAGAAAAGTCCTCAGCCGAGACCTGAAAATAGGAAGAGAGGGGGTGAGGTGAAGGGAGTGAGGAAGGCGGAGTCTGACACTGAGCCAGGAGGAGAGTGGATTGTAAGCACGATCACAAAAGAAGGTTTTTAAAGTGTGGAGGGAGGCGACAAGGCGGAGGGATTGAGGGAGAAAGTTCCAGAGTTTCGGGGCATAGTGACTGATTGAAATGTGGCCTAAATATGGATTCCAACTATTCATTGAGCGATTTTTAAAAAAGTTTCTAAAATGAAGAATGAAGTTGAAACTAATCACCTCAGTTGGTGTAAACATTTTTATACAATTTAATACTGCTAGCTATGGCCTCCTGACAAGCCTTCTGTGCCAGGGTCACCTGGCTTTTAAAGCTGGTTTATATTAATCTTTGAATTTGATAATAACACTATCATGTCGCTGAGATATCTGAAAGTGCTTCACAGGATATATTCCAAAGTGGATTGACTGTATTTTGTGGGCGAAACGTATATATAGACTTTATATTCAACTACTGCATGTTATTTAATGATCTCAAGAACCTGAGAGATTTATAACACACTGTAACAGAACTAAACTGATGAGGTAATTAAAAAAAATTGTCTTGCCAGGTATTCCCCATATAATCATGTGTGCTAGCAATTTCTATGGAAAATCTGTATTCCATAGAGAATTATTTGTATGCTCCCCATCCCTCAGAGAATTGAGTAGAAAGCCCTCGTTCTCACCTTCAAAGCCTTCCAGGGTTTTTCTCCCCACTACGTCTCCGACCTCCTAACCCCATATCAACGCTGTCCACTCCCTCCGTTTGGCTGACATCGGGCTGCTTCAGGTCCCCCACACTTCCTGCCCCACCATTGGTGGTTGGGCATTCAGCATCTCTGCCCCCACACACCAGAACTCTATCCTGCAATCCCTCCAACTCACCCCTCTCTTGCCTCCTTCAAGTCCCGTCTAAAAACCTTCCTCTTCGGCCGTACTTCGGCAACGCTTCCACCCCAACCCCTGACCCCAGCTTGGATCCAACAAACTCCAACTCGGGTCCAAAAAACCCTGACCCTCCAGGGCATCTTTCTGACGTGAATGGCGCTATACAAGTGTAATTTCTTGTTATTCAGCACTCTGCTGCCTGAGTACTTACCCAGACCAAACTCTGTACCTCCATCTCACCAGTTCTGACCAGACTCCACTGGCTCCCCATTACTGAATGGATTAATTTCAAGATCCTTACACTCGTGTTCAAATCCCTTCACTCCCTGGCACCTCCCTATCTCTCTTGACCTCCTCACTCCCCAATCCACCACCCGCTTGACTGGCACCAGCCTCCATTCCACCATTAGAGGTTGCGCTTTCAGCCACTATGCCCGGAAACTATGGAACACTCTCCCTCAATCCCTCCGCCTTGCCCCCTCTCTCTTCTTTTTCAAGTCCAGCCTGAAAACCCTCATTTTTGACTGTGCTTATGTTCACCTGCCTGCTGGCTCGGAGTCAGACTATGCCACTGTTAAGCACTCTGAGATGCTACTCTGCGTGGAGAACGCTACATAAGTGCAAGTTATTATTATTGTATTCACTCTATGAACAATTCTGCCAACTGTGCTATGGCAGGACATGGCATTATAGATGTTTAGAGTGAGCATACTGTAGCATGATGTCTGACTGTATTAACTATAGCAAGAAGCTAACACAGAATTCGGTCATGCCTTGAGCCATAAATTTGTTGCTTATTCCTACCTCAACAAAAGGCCAGTGTAAGCAGTGATTAATAGGTTGCTGCAGATTCACATTATTTCTAATATCTATTTCTAAGTTATTAGGTGCTACAAGCTACTTTTATAAACACTTCAGTCTTACAACGTACAATGAAGCGTTAGCCCAACTGAATTTCTTGTCATACATTTTCTAGTACAGACCTTAGCTTAATGAAAACAAGTCTCTGCTGTATTTATATTTGAAGCCCACGCAATCTTCAAACATTTAGACTCTTCAGTTAGGAAAGGAAATCCTCACAATATTAGAACAGGGAGATTTTAAAATGATACAAGTTCTCATTTCCAAAAATATGACGTGATCAAAAGTAGCTGGTATACGCAAATACAATTGAGCCCATTATAACATGATAGTTAGGGATCCTTAAAATCCCAAACAGTGTTACAAGGTACATGATTGTTGGTCAATACAGAGAAAGCCAGCTGCCTTTAAAACACTGGCTGGTTTTTTGCACACTAAAAAGGGGAGCTTTATGGATTTTTTGGTAAGTAAATGTCAGGGTCCACATTCCATTCTGCTACAAGCATACCAATGTTATAATGAAGTTTCTTATACCGTATTGTTATACGTTTCTACCATATTTTCAGTAACTGATTTGTCACAGAAATGTTGTCAACTGGATTCAACAGTGCCATTTTCATGTATACTGATGTGAGGCACTGATTTGTTGGTAAGACAACTACATGCACCATTATATGTAAAGAGGGCACTTAGTGCACAGCCTGTATAAGACAGGCACAGGGATTTCTCCGCAGGTTTGCTCTTCTGATTCCTAAATAGTCAGAAAGATGTCCTAAAGGTACATGGTTTAGATTAACACTCACGTCTTCTTCATCTGTATTTTTTCTGCATGACGCTGTTTATGGTAGAGTTTGGCCTTCAGACCAATCATTTTCTTGGCCTTATGTGAGCGTTCATGCGCCTCACGGCTCTCCTTCTTCCTCTTCTTCTCATGGTAGTCCAAACGATAACCATATCGCTTACGATGTAACTCAATATATTCGTTCTGTGGCTGTAAAAAAAACACAAATGCATTTCAGTACATTTCTTATGTTAAAGATTGAGTTTTACAATATTCATGGTTTTATTTTGCAGGAAATATAGTTGTAATAACAGTTCAAATTTGGAACAGCAAGTTATATTGAATATTACTCACTTATTTATCTACTTGTACACATTTCCTTTGAACTACGTAGACCTGATTGACTGATCTTTTGTAGAAATACAGACCTCTACAGGTTACCATCCTGAATGATTATGGAAGTGAGAAAGAAATTTACATTTCAATTTGAATACAAGTATAACATAAGGCTAAATGCTTACTTTGCACCCAGTTTCCAATTTGCACAACACTAATTCACATTGCAGCTGCTAATGCAAGGACCATGTTTAAGGACTATTTCAACACAAAAATTTAGTCAAATTAAAAAAAACAAAGATCAGAGTTAAAAACTGAATTCAAAAACCGAGCAAAATTACCAAAAGGCAAAAAGAGAAATTGGGGCTACTCACTAACGAACTCTTTAAAAGAAATTAGCTGATCATTTGAAGTTGAACGACTAAAAGAGTATGAAATAAGCATGATTGGCTTATAAAACCTTGTGATATGTATATATATATATATAGCTTTGTACAGAGCCTCACTCACTCCACAATGAGCCTACCTACCACCTGTTTGTTCTGGTGGATGTTAAAGATCCTATGGCACTATTGGAAAGAGAAGGGAGTTTCCACCAGTGTCCTGGCCAACAATCCCCCACACCGTTTTGTGGGTGTGGGACCTTGCGGTGCACAGACCGACTGTCGCAATAGTTTACGAAACACAGTGAGTGCACTTTAGTGGGGTGTCTGGTTTCTGGGGACAGTGCCCAGATGAGGTATTGTGTCCCTGGGGCCAAATTCGCCCTGTGTTAATAATAATAATAATAATTATAATCCTTGCATTTGATAAAGCGCTTTTCACGTTGGGAGGACGTCCCAAAGCGCTTCACAGAACACACTGTGAAGTATTTTTTAAGAATAATTTGTGTTGAGTTCAGCAACAGACTGAGCCAGAACAATTCAACTCGAAAACAGAGACACTCGTCAGAGAAACACGGCCATTATAATAATAATAATAATAATCCTTGCATTTGATATAGCGCTTTTCACGTCAGGAGGACGTCCCAAAGCGCTTCACAGAACACACTGTAAAGTGAATTGACTGTATATTTGTGGGCGAACGCGGCAGCCAATTGCGCACAGCAATGTCCCACAAACAGTCGTAGATTGAAAATGACCAATTTATTATTGTTTTGTTTTGGAGGGATTATTATTAGGCTCTGTGTGGAGTAAGGAAACTTGCCCAAGGTTTCGCCCTGACCTGCCTGGAATTGAACTCAGGTCTCTCACTTGCAAAGCGAGTGCTCTAACAACTGAGCTACAGGACTCCATTAGCCCACCAAGCTTCCCCAGCACAGTACCTGACAGCCTCAGGGATTGTGGGGAGCTTCAGCTCCATTTTGTTTTCACACACACACACACACACACACGTGCCCCCGGATTTGGTTCACAAAAATATGGACACCCCCTCCACTCCCCCACTCCCGGGGTAAATCCTGTAAAAGCGCTTGGACTCGTCTGGAAGACGTGGGTGAGGTTCTATGTCACACAGAATGTAATATAACGGTTATTATCATCGCTGCCCCTCGGGGCCCAGCTCGAGCCCACAGGGCCGGGCTTCCTCCCACAGCTGAGCCTGGGCCGCGGGCCTGACTGACTGACTGACCGACCCCCTTCCTCACTCACTCACTCACTCACTCACCATGACGGCGGCTGTGTGTGGCTCTCAGGCTGGGGCTGACGCGGGCTGAGGTCGGGGTGGTGGGGGGGTGTCCGTGTCCGCCGCTCGGTTGTTCCTCTCAGAGACACGCCGCCATATTGGGCGGAAAGAAACCAAGGAGCGCGCGACTGGGACAAGAGGGTACCCGCGCCAAGGAGGTAGCGAAGAGGCAAGAGGGGACTCAGACAGGCGCCGCTGCTCCGGCGGGGGGGGTGAATGAGCAGGAGGACTGCCCGTCTCCAAGGCTCCTGCAGTCCTGGATGTGACCTTAATGGAGAGACGCGAAGACTGTGCTCTTCACTGGGGGACATCTGTGTGGATCGGAAGGTCAGGGCGGGGAACAGAGGCCCTGAGGCTCAGGCTCCGGCGGGGGGTGCAGGAGCTTTCCTGGTCAGTATTATGATGGAGATGTTAAATGCTGTGTTTGCTGTCGCTTCTGTCACATTAGAAGGTCTTCAAAGAGCTTCACAGAGAATGTCTCTCCCGTGTAGTGACTGTACAGATGTCTTCCAACATCGCTGTGCTCCCCTCTTGGTGACGTCATCCACAGACATGGGGTCAACTTCCACAGGTGTGCGGATACCACCCAACTCTCCCTCTCCGGCTCCCCCTCAACTCCAGGACCACTCCTGACAGACTGTCTGTCAGACAGCAAGTCCTGGATGAGCAAATTGTCTACCGATGAAGGTCAACAAGATCGAGGCTCTCCGGATTGGCATCTTGGTTGAGCCTCAACTATCCTTTCTGACCCGCACCCGTGCCATGACCCGCTCTGCCCTCCCCCACCTCCGCAACATCGCCCGGGTCTCCGCCACTGTCTCGCACCGCAGGCTGTCGAAACTCTCATACACGCATTCATGACATCGAGGCTCGACTATGCAAACTCATTGCTTGTCGGCCTCCCCAACTCCTCCCTCCACAGGCTGCAGATCATCCAGAACTCTGCAGCCCGTGTCCTCTCCCGCACCAGACTCTGCGACCCTATCACCCCCATCCTCGCCCGCCTCCACTGGCTTCCCATCACACAGAGGATACAGTTCAAGATCCTGGTCCTCACCTTCAAAGCCTTCCATGGTCTTGCTCCCCCCTACCTCTGCACCTTCCTAACCCTCTACCATCCTGCTCGCTCCCTCCGATCAATGGGCTCCGGCTGCTTCACGTCTCCCGTCTCGCCCGCCCCACCATTGGTGGGCGGCCCTTCTGCCACTCTTCCCCCATCCTCTGGAACTCCATCCCGCAGTCCCTCCAACACGCCCCCTCCCTTGCTCCTTCATGGCCCATCTCAAGACCATCCTCTTCGACCATGCTTTTGATCACCCTCCTTCCCCCAGCTCGGGTCTAAAACACTGACTGTCCAGCGCCTTGGGACGTCCTCGCAACATGAAAGCCCTATACAAATATTGTTATATAACTTCTTGTAGGCTAACAATTTGCGCACAACGTGGTCCCACGAGCAACAACAACTTGCACTTATATAGCACCCTCCATGCAGGGTAGCATCTTACAGTGCTTAAACAGCCATGAAGTGACTGGTTTATTTGGAGGATTGTTCCCCAGGTCACTTGGAGGAACTTATTTCTGACTTTAAACAGTGTCACTCGATCTTTAACATCCGCTTGGAATGGCAGGCAAAACAATAAAAACTTGCTTTTATATACAACGTCTTTCATACAGGATATCATCTGTACCGTGTTGTAGTGATGGGATTAGACAAAAGGGAGAGGGGAGGTGACTATAGGCACAGTTGAAGGTAAGTCTTGAGGAGGGATTTGAATATAGATTAAAGAGTGAGTGAGGTGGAGGGATTGAGGCAAGGAGTTCCAACATCAGTTTAACTTTGATTTTGAAGGGCAGTATGTCTTGGCAATGCAGCACTCCACCGGGAATATCAGCCTAGGCTATGAGCTCAGTTCCTGATGTGAAGCTTGATTCTACAACCATCTAATGCAGAGATGAGCCAGGCTGACACTAAAGAAAAAAATCTGAAGCAGAAACAGAAATCGCTGGGAACACTCAGCAGGTCAGGCAACATCTATGGAGAAAGGAAAATAGGTCAACGTTTCCGGTCCACGACCCTTCGTCAGAACTAGGTTCTGAGTTTTGACGAAGGGTCGTGGACCCAAAACATTGATCACTTTCTGCATAGATGCTGCCTGACCTGCTGAGTGTTCTCAGCGACTTCTGTTTTTGTGACACCTTATATAACCTCCCTCATCCAAATTAATTTATGAACACATGATTAGTTATTCATACTGTAAGAATTAATAGTATATAACTTATGATGACTCCGTCCCAAATGAAGCAATGTATATTATCTACTGTGCAATTGGCAGTGGCATGTTTTTAGTGTACAAAAAATAGTTAGTGCTGTAATATGTAAAGTGGTGACTGTTTGAGTACACATTTGATGTTGCGTGTATTATGACTTACAGATTTTTATGCAAAGAATTTGATAAGAAAAAGAAGATGATGCTCTTTGTGACAGGGCTGCCACGAGTTGTGACTCACTCGTCCAAACTGCGCTATGTGGTAAGATTAACATTGAAATAGATATGTCCTTTGGCAAGAATGTATATTAAGAGTTAAAACAGTGATGGCCAACCTTTATGGTTGCTGCTTTAACTGTTATTGTTGGCCAACGAATTAAATTTTCTTAATTTAATATTTAAACAATGAGACTTGGTAATTTACATGAAAAAAACTCAGTGGTTCAACCCGGCATGTGTCTCACCCTCCAGTTTTGTCAGTAACATTTTCAATGGTATTTTTTTTTCTGAAAACTGTGGTGTTCGTTTGTGCCACAAGTAGTGAATTTATCAAGATCGTGTTCATGTTTTTCTCCACCCAATCTAATCCTCTTTTTTGCACATCCTTATCACCATTTAAAAAAAATCTATGGAACTTTGCAGCAGCGAAATCCATATTCCAGCCAATTTCAATATAAATAAATCTTTTTCAAACTCCCATTAATTTTTTTGTGATTAGAATCTCATTGCACTTTTCACAATAGCATTTCCCAAAAGGTGGACATTATGCACTAGAATTTATTGCAAACTGCTAGAACATTGCAACAGATTGTATTTTATATGTTAACTTGAGATTGTCGAGATAGCATAGAATGTTTCAAAAGTCTGCAAATGGAAAAAAATGGTCACTGTTTGTCCCGGGACCTGTTGGATTAACTGGTTGTTGTGCATTTTCAGTATCCTTCATGCTGGCAGCTCAGGATTGCATGTAACAATAGAAGGAATGTGCAAGGTGAAAGAAGGTACAGCTCTCATCCAGGTAAACTAAAGCAGAATTAGTTTGATAATTAGTAGCACTGATTAGGACCTGCATTTGCCCGTATTAATATAACCACAAAGGGCGTGTTGGAGAAGTGAATCACAATTGGTAGCAGATCCATCAAGCATAACAGTCACTAAGCTCCTAAATTACTCCTCATTTGAAGTACTTAAAGATGATTTGTCGTAATAAGCTTCTATATCAAATCTATGTTTTGTTGCAACTCTTTTAAAAGTGTTTTTGATTATTCGCTGAGCATATACAATCATTGTCGTGTCTTCATATAGGAATATAAATTCTAACTCCCATTGTTTTGCAGGTGACGTTAAGTCTTTACGCACCATTATTAATCCAGACATCTCGAAGTAAGTATGGGCTCCTACAGTGATCACAGTTCAGCATTTAAAATCAACCCAATACCTTGCTTAGTGATAGATGCTTTTCCTTGCACCATGTCCCGTGTTGTGTGCAATTGTGTCATAGAGAAAAACAGTGAGTAGCAATACCAATCTTTACCACTTGAAAAGGAAGAATATTAAAGGTGGTGGGGAGTGAGCAAGTGAGTGGGATTAGACGAGGTGGCTCATATAATGAAAAACAGCAACACAGGCCTGATGGGATAAATTAAATGTTTCTATCATTCTGTGACTGGTGGAAAGGTGGAAACACTTCTCGCTTTGCTTGAGCATTTATATACTTGTGACTTGTTCTTCACAAACACAGTATTGTGATATAACAATATTATCATAGAATCATAGAATGTTACGGCACAGAAGGAGGCCATTCAGCCCATCGAGTCTGTGCCGGCTCTTTGACAGAGCAACTGACTTTTATTAACCCCACTCACCAGCTTTCTCCCCATAACCCTGCAAACCTGTCTTCTCCAGATACCTATCCAGTTCTCTCTTAAAAGCTGTTATCGAATCGGACTTCACTACCCTTTCAGGCAGATCATTACAAATTCGAACATCTCGCTGAGTGAAAAAAAAATTTCTAACCTTCCCTCTGCTTCTTTTGGTAGATATCTTAAGACTGTGACCACGGGTCACAGACACACCTATCAGCGGAAACAGCTTTTCCTTATCTAGCCTGTCGAAACCTTTCATGATCTTGAAGACCTCTATCAGGTCCCGCGTAACCTTCTCTGCTCTAATGGGAAAAGTCCTAACTTTTCCAGCCTGTCCTCATAGCTAAGGTTCCCCATTCCTGGTATCATTCTCGTGAATCTCCTCTGCACCCTTTCCAGTGCCTTAATATCCTTCCTGAGGTAAGGTGCCCAGAACTGGACGCAGTACTCCAGCTGAGGCCTAACCAGTGTTTTGTACAGATTAACCATAACCTCCCTACTCTTATACTCTATGCCCCTACTAATGAAGCTCAGTACACCAAATGCCCTTTTTACTGCCCTATCTACCTGCTCTGCCACCTTCAATGAATCGCTTACTTGAACGCCCAGATCTCTCTGTACGTTCACCCCCTTAAGATTGAGCTACCAAGCCTATATTGCCTCCTATCATTTTTCCTACCTAAGTGTATCACCTCGCACTTATCTACATTGAAATCCATCTGCCACATGTCAGCCCATTCCACCATTCTGTGTATGTCTGCCTGCAGTCCGTCACAATCTTCTTCACTATTTACTACCCTACCTAACTTGGTATCATCTGCAAACTTGGAAATAGTGCTCCCTATGCCCAAGTCCAGATCATTAATATATATTAGAAAGAGCAGTGGTCCCAATACCGATCCCTGGGGGACACCGCTGCACACCTCCTTCCATTGCGAGAAACACCCATTAACCACCACCCTCTGCATTCTGTCACTCAGCCAGTTCCTAATCCAAACGGCTACTGTCCCCTTAATACCGTGGGCCTCCAGTTTTTTTATTAACCTCTTATGCGGTACTGTGTCAAAAGCCTTTTTAAAATCCATGTAAATAATGTCCACCGCATTTCCCTCATCAACCCTCGCAGTCACCTCTTCAAAAAATTCTATTAGATTTGTTAGGCAAGATTTGCCTTTAACAAATCCATGTTGGCTGTCTCTAATTACCTCGTGTTCCTCTAAGTAGAGCTTTATTTTGTCCCGCATTACAGTCTCCAGTAGCTATTATGCCTAAATAACATAGAATAATGCTAATAATTATGCTTTACAATAATATGTAGAGAATTACATAGAATCTACAGAACTGGAACAGACCATTCGATCCAATTAGTCGCTGTTTATTCTCTGCATGAGCCGTCACCCATTCTAATCTCCCCCTTCCCCAGCGTGCCCCCATATCTTTCTATTCCCTTCCCCATCGTGCATGCATTGAGCAACCTCTCAAATACATTGATTCTTTCTGCTTCAACCACAGTTTTTACCAGCGAGCTACACATTTTCATCACTCTCTACTTAAAGAGGTTCCTACTGAACTCCCTTTTAGATTTGTTCAGGGCTATCTTTTATTTCCGGCATTCATTTTGTTAAGTAATTCACTTTCCCTTTTGGATAAAAATCATCAGAATCCGCAACATTGGAATTATGGCTCACATTGATGCAGGAAAAACCACAACCACCGAAAGGATGCTTTACTATGCCGGATACACCAGGGCACTTGGAGGTAAAAATAAATTAGTTGGCACAAAATAATGAACTGTTTATGTAAAGCTATCCTCATCCACTGCAGTATATAAAAGTAGCAGATAAGGAAGAGTGATTTGCACTGTGGACAAGCAGGTTAGATTGTAGCTCAAAGTTAGCATGAGGAGTGTGTGCTAGAAAGAAAGAGACTGAGATAAAACACAACTTGGAAAGTGGAATAAGTTAAACATAAAATATTTATATAAAAACCTTTTATTTAGTTTGGAAACTCCTTTGTCTCCTCTCCTTTTTTGTTACTTCCCAAGTTGGCCGCCACGATCTAGCTGACATAAGATAGCAGGCAATCAACTCCCAGACTCTGACTGCTGTTGTATAACTGCCTTGTCTTACTTATTTTTAAATATCTCCTCCATGTGGCAGCCAGTCTTGTACTCAGCACCTCTCCCTGAGAGCATAGCTTAGTCCAGGAACTTGCCATACATGGTAAGAACAGGAATATGAGATTAGTATAGATAGCTCCATTGGGGAGCTAGTACAGCACATACACACAATGGGATGTGTTAGCGCCTTCAGTGCTGAAATTATTTTTTCGTACATTATTGGATGTTGGGTGCCAGCCCATGCTCAAGTCAATCCATTTCAAAGGTCTATGTACCCTGTAATATGTCTGATTTTATATTAAACACACTTTTACTGAATTATTGGATATAATTTCCTCTTGAATTTATTGATATGAAGTGATTGTGAATTAGGCTTCACTTCTTAACACACTGTTGTACACAATCTTCTTCTCATCACATAGATGTGGATGACGGGGACACGGTGACTGATTTCATGGCACAGGAGCGGGAGCGGGGGATTACCATCCAGTCAGCTGCTGTTACTTTTGACTGGAAAAACCATCGAATCAACTTGATAGACACACCAGGTATGGAAGCACAAAATGGGAGATGGACGTGTAGAGATTGGTGCGGTTGAAGTTGTGGGTAGCGGAAATTTGTATGAACAATAGCTTGTGGATGGTGAACTAGAGAGATGGTGGAACTAGGGACCATTTTGCATGTTGAGCTCCCTATCCCTCATGGATCAACTTCAAGATCCTCGTCCTTATCTTCAAATACTTCCACGACCTTGCACAATCGTGCCTCTGCGTGATCCTACTCCTTGACCTGTCCACATACTTCATGCTTCATGTCCCTGCTCGCTCCACCCCCCAATGGCGGGTGAGCCTTCAGCTACTTTTCCCCTCCCTCTGAAACTCTTCCCCTCCCAACTCCTTCCACCTTGTCCCTTCCCTCTCCATATTCAAATCCTTTCTGAAGACCTAACTCTTTGAATGTGGTTTGACCACCTCACCAGCTTCCTCCCAGTCTGGGCTCCTGTTCAGTCTTTATAAAACATTTTGAGATTTTTTTCAAAGCACTTCACAAAGTACAACAACAACATTACATTTGTATAGCGCCTTTCACGTTGAGAGGACGTCCCAAATATACTGTAAAGTGAGTTGACTGTATATTTGTGGGCGAAACGCGGCAGCCAATTACGCAGAGCAATGTCCCACAAAAGTCGTGGATTGAAGTGACCCATTTTATTGCTTTTTTTTCTTGAGGGATTATTATTAGGCGTGTGGATTAAGGAAATTTGCCAAGGTTTCGCCCTGCCGGGAATCAAAACCAGGCGAGTGCTCTAACCACTGAGCTACAGGATTTATGTTCTCCTAACATGAAATATGCTATAAAAGTGTAAATATTGTTGTTAATGTTTTGCTAATGATACTTTAAGAAGATAGTTTTTTTGGTGGAAATTGAATTGTATACAGCAGTCTATTTGGAAATTAATCCAAAATGCTTATATTGACAAACAATATGAAGAATGTGATGAAGTCATCTCCTGTAGAGACCGGTAGTAAAGAACATCTAAGTTGTAACAACCAGCAAAGGGTACAAGAATACTTGGAGGTCAATCTGATTCGTATTTAGTTTGTGTCAGCTGAGCCCAGTTCATATGTCAAAAATAATCTCTTACAATTCACATTTTCTGTACCTAAACAATATGAAATTTCACTTCTGAGGCACTGAACTTTACATCTTGTATCTGGTCAGGTCACGTGGACTTCACTGTTGAGGTTGAACGTTCTTTGCGAGTACTTGATGGAGCTGTGGCAGTGTTTGATGCTTCAGCTGGTGTGGAGGTCAGTAACGTTCTCTTTAAAGAATGAATGGTCTCAACACTATCCTTTTTTAAAAAACAATCCAACAAATGCTTTTGCATCCTTTTTGTTTTTTCTAGTTTCCTCCACCGAAGGCAGTGACTCCTTCTATGATAAATAATAATAATCCTTGCATTTGACATAGCGCCTTAGCATGTCTTCGAGACATCTCAAAGCGCTTCACAGAATATACTGTAAAGTGAATCGACGATGGGCGAAACGCAGCAACCAAAAGCGCACAGCAGTGTCCCACAAACAGTCGTGGATTGAGTGATCAAATTATTTTTTTGTATGTGTCAGCCATCAGGCTATATTTAATCACGTGGAGCCTCACAAGTGAAGCCTGACTTCCATTTATGTACATTTGCCAGTAGGGGTCACTGTTTACCAGTAAAAGTGATTGTTTATTTCTCTCTCCTCTCCCTTGGGGTGAGATACCGAGGCCAATCATCGCACCCTGCACTCCTCCCTCATACAAATGAGCCAACTCAGCCCAGGCCAAGAATTGAACTTGAAACAACTTGCATCTATTGTTGTTCAAGGAATAAAACTATGCAGAACTCTCATTCTCACTTTCTTCTCATGGTGTTTTTTTATTATTATTGCTTTGAGTTTCTTAAAGGGGAACTGCTTTTCCTAAAGAAGCTTTCAGCCACTATACCCTCTCTCCTGCTCCTTAAAACTCCTTTGCTAAATCGCTCAGTCTCATTCGCCCTCACTCACTGCTTTCAAACTCCCTCCCCCCAAAAACCTACCTCTTTTACCATATTGTGGAGTCCTGTAGCTCAGTGGTTAGAGCACTCGCTTTGCAAGCGAGAGACCTGAGTTCAATTCCAGGCAGAGGGCGAAACCTTGGGCAAGTTTCCTTACTCCACACAGAGCCTAATAATAATCCCTCCAAAAAAACAAAACAATAATAAATTGGTCATTTTCAATCTACGACTGTTTGTGGGACATTGCTGTGCGCAATTGGCTGCCGCGTTCGCCCACAAATATACAGTCAATTCACTTTACAGTGTGTCCTGTGAAGCGCTTTGGGACGTCCTCCCGACGTGAAAAGCGCTATATCAAATGCAAGGATTATTATTATTATTATGGTTTTGATGCTTACATGGTGATGGGTTTCCACATGTATTAGACGGTGGCTGAACAAAAAAAACACAGCTACTGTAAATATAGCTTTGGAATGTTTTCTGTGTTGGTAGCTTTGAAATACAGAATTGTGTAGCATTTGCCTAATTTAAATATACTTGTGGTATACTGTACATATATATTCTAAGGCACAGCATTGATTAAGTGCTGTGGACATGAAAGGTGGAAAAATTCTTACTTCTGGTTTATCTCTGATATAATCAGTGTGCTTTGTTTGGTAGGCGCAAACCTTGACTGTGTGGAGACAGGCAGATGAACATCGTGTTCCACGTATTTGCTTCTTAAACAAGATGGATAAGCCTGGAGCCAGGTAAAGCTTACTGAACATTCACAGTATGAAATGGCAGCCAATATTCCCAAGTCAGATATATAAGGCTGTTTCAAATACTGCTTCAACCTTAAAAGTTTACATTTCTAAGGGACACCGTGACTGGATTGGAACTATCTTAAATTGCCCCAAAAATATAAGAGATAAAGTAGAAGAGTTTCTGGTTTCATAAATACAGTACATTTCTGTGGACTGGGAGTTAGCCATTTCAACTCTGATATTGGCATAAGGATTGAAGCATGAAACAGTGAGTTATAAATTAGAGAATTATAAACCAGTTAGTTTAACACTAGGCAAATATTTGATAGGAAAACGAGATAGATCGAGTAGACATGTTTAGACTTTTCAAGGCTGTTGATTGTAGGAGGAAGGGAAGATAATAAAGTAATAATCCTTGTATTTGGTTGATGCAAATCAAAAATTCCAGTCTTAAGGTTCTGGGAACGAATGCTATATGGGTAGGAGAGATTTAGCAGGTGGCAGGTATTTAGACTTGTGAAAATATGTAAAAGCATAATTATTGATGTAACAAGATTTGCAATGCTTTATCGAAAGCCCTTGCAAAGATCAAGGTTTAGTGATTCAGCTATCGAATTCGCTAGAAGAATCAAATTTTGGACACTGGAAGAAAGTCAGTGAATGTAGATTAGAAGCAACAGCTAAATCCTGCAATGGGACAGGTTATATGATGAATGGAGAACACAACTTCTGTGGAAAAGCAACACATTGACAGAGACAAAAGGCTCTGGGGAATGCATATTGATGAGTGTGATGATCATGATTGACCTTTTACAACTAAATGGTTTTCAATAAAGCAACTAAGGTTAGTATACAATACTCAATACTTTGTTTCTTGTACTTTTGCTGAGTTTTTGTAGAAATAAACCCATCCAAAAATAGTAAGAAAAGTTGAAATTTATGGTTTGCCAGCAACCAGGCTATGGTGCCCTTCATAAGAGTGTTTGCATCCATACTGTGGTAATCCTCAATTATTTCCTCATTAATGGGATCTCTTTCATTTCCAGTTTCTGCTATTCTGTGGACAGCATCAAAAAGAAGCTAAAGGTGAAACCACTTCTGCTGCAGGTAACCATTTTCCTTCTCAATTTTCTCTGTTTACTGTGGGGGAATCATAACTGAGTGTGTTTCTTCCCACATGCCTGGATTTCAATGTGATTTTCCAGATTGGTAATCTATCAGCATAGTGTAATAAGAGTAGAATTTCTGATTCAGATACATTTTATAAGTAAAATATGTGAGTAATGGTATAAGTACTATATAAAGGTTTCTTAATATGGTTGTCTGCATTTTTCTTTACTTTTTCGTTTTTGAATCTTTCCCTTTTTTGGTACTTCTCACATTCATACATCCTAATCCCTGACTGTTCAGCCCCTTGGGACGTCCTCCCTACAAGAAAGGCACTTACAAATGTAATTTTGTATTGTATTTGTATCTTCAATGAGGATGAATAACATACTAAGCTCTCCCATCTGCTGGTGCCAGTGTTATTTTGTGAATCCGTCACTGGGGTGCTCACCTGATCTGGAGGATGCTGAATCACACTATTATTGATTTCTAATATTGGGACATTTCCACTGATGAAATATCAAGCACAAAGTGTCTGAATGTGTTTTTTGGGTAAGATTACCGATTAGAGATTATACCGATTGGGTATAGAGACCGGAATATTCAGAAATAGAAGCAATAGCTACTGTGCTTTGTAATGGTGATCGTGATGACGTTGTTGAGTTAATGTGACCTAATCTCATCTATATTCCTTATCTAGCCTTTGAGCTTTAAAGGTTTTACCCCTCCCCCTACTCCCCATTCTATGTGACCAGGATTCATTGATAGGCCAGGTATTGATATATGACTGGTTGTTACAAAAGCACATCTTCTTTTACTTAGAAAGGGACTATTCTGTTCATTGTTTCCTGTGTGTTTCTTAATTGCAGCTGCCTATCGGAGCAGGGAGGACATTTACCGGAGTGATTGACCTTGTCACAAGTGAAAAAGTTATCTGGGGCCCGAAGACAAGTGATGGTGACGGAGCAGTGTTCAATCGACATCCTCTAGTGACAGCAGATGGACCAAATCTTTTAAAGGAAGCCAGAGATGCGAGATATGCCCTTATTGAACAAGTAAAGTTTTAAAGTAAATGTTTGAAGTGTTTAATCTACAAAATACCCAGTTTATATATGAATGATTAATTCAACATAATCTTACCACATTTTTAATTTATTATTTTATTTCCCTGCCACTGTGTGATAACAAACCAGCAGAAGTGTGGGTGTTTATCATTTTAAATCAAATGAAGGTTTTAGAATTCCCTGTAGCCTTTTTCATTGGCTGTAGTCTAACTAATTTTTTGTACAAGTTAAACGTCACCTATTTAGTTTTATATTTAATGTCTCAGTTTATAAAACCCAGTATCTCATTATTTTCTTCACAGTTTTGTCCAATTGTCTCCCCACTTTTACAGATTTATGCCTGTTAACACCTATCAATCTGATTTTCTTCTCCTTTTAAAATATTACTATTTAGAATATAATTCCTTTCCTTATTCTTCGTCTCAAAGTGTACAACCTTCCTTTTTGTGCATTAAGCTTCATCTCTCACTTGAGCACATTAATCACCTCACTATTTGATTCTGTTTCAAATTCAGGGGTGAAATCTATTATGAACCGCAGGTGTATACAGCTGTGCTATGTGTAAACGTGCATACAAGGAATAACAAGCGTCCTTAATTATATAATTAACCAAAGAAAAAGATTATATCGTTAATCTTAATTACAGAATTAAGGACTCCATATTTCACTCGATGCACATATAAGTTACACATAGTACACGGAGCTTATACTTTGTACATAATAGAATGTCTTTTGGTAAATACCCCATGATGTGTTTTGGTAAATTTCATCTTAACCTCTTGAGCTGAGGAAGGATTTTTTTTCTTAGTTTTTTCTTAACAATTTGCATCCTTAAAACACTTTTATCCAAGAACAAATTGACCTGCCGTTAGGTATACGGTTAAGTGCCAACAACAACAACAAGATTCCATTTATTGAGCGCCTTTCACGTCGGGAGGACGTCCCAAGGCGCTGTACAGTTGGGTCAGGACCCGAGCAGGGGGGAAATGGTCAGGGTGAGGGGAGGGAAGGGAGGGAGCGAGGAGGGGGTAGAGAGTCGAGAGGGGAGCTGAAGGCACGGTCAAAGAGAAAGGTCTTGAGACCGGCCTTGAAGGAGGAAAGGGAGGAGCAAGGCGCAGGCACTGGGGGATAGAGTTCCAGAGCCTAGGGGCTGAGAGGCTGAAGGTCTGGTCACCGATGGTAGGGCGGTTGGGGCGGGGGATGTGGAGCAGACCGGAGCCAGAGGAACGGAGGGTACGGGCAGGTAGGTAGGGGGATAGTAGGTCGGAGAGGTAGGGGGGAGCAAGGCCGTGAATGGCCTTGTAGGTGAGGGTGAGGATCTTGAATTCGAGAGTAACTACAGAAACTGAAAGGGAGATAAAATATTCACAAAGCTTTTATATTGGCTTTAAACTGAATAGGAGAAAACCATAGAACTTTACAGCCCAGAAGACCATTCTGCCCATTGTGCCTCTCTGATCAGTTCCATTCCCATGCCTTTCCCCCATACCCTTTTATATTTCTCTTTTCAGATATTTATCTAATTCCTTCTTAAAAGCTGATATGAAATCTACTTCAATCACCCTTCTAGATAAGGAATTTCTTGTCCTAAAAACCCTCTGTGAGAAAAAAAATTCTCCTTTCCCTTTGCTCTTTTGGTAATTGACTCAACAAGCAGCGGAAATCATTTCTCCCTGTTTACGTTATTAAAAATCCCTAATAGTATTAAAAGTCTCCATCAGGTCTCTGCTTAACTTTCTTGAAGGAAAAACATCCCAGTTTGTTCAGTCTCTCCTCATAAGTAAAACCTCTCATCCCTGTTAACATCTGAATGAATCTCCTCTGCACCTTCTCTATGGCCTTAGCATCCCAAATAGGAAGGAGAAAGACAACTTTGGTAAACCCTATCCAATCATCAACCTTGCATTTGGTATTACGCCTTACACGTCAGGAGGACATCCCAAAGTGCTTCACAGGATATACTGTAAAGAGGGGTGACTATGTTTTGTGTGTGACTGCAGCAGCCAATTTGCACACAGTAATGTCCCACAAAAAGTCATGGAGTGAATGACCAAGGGAAGGTCTAAGGGAAGAAGACTCCCTCAACCATGATTGTCGGTGATCGATGAAATAGATTAACTGAATTCAAATGTTTATTTGAGAGCATGGCATCTGCCAAACATCACAGGAGAATATTCAACCAGAGTTATATGCCATAGATGTCATTGTAGCATAACATTTACGAAACTCCGCTCTTAAATTCCCCAGAACACAAATAGTCCTTTATCAACACATACGTGTGCCGTAGAGGATATTTCAGATATGATATTATTTTGATTGTTGTATATGCCTTCTGGAACCCTTGTCTTGCTGGAAAAAAATAAGTGAGCAGAGAGAGAGAAGGTTTTTTCTAAATTCCCAATAGAAATTCAAGAATCAAGTTTTCATTAAGAGCGAAGATTAAAGGAGGGTGTGATTGAAGTCTTTAAAATGCTGAAAGACCAGTATTGTAACTTCACATATGTATGCGAACACACCATAAATCATCATGTTTTCATCATCTTAATCATGTTTGCATGATTTATCCAACACTGTATCCTTCTGAAGCTCCAGCTCAAACAGAACTACGGAGTTTTCAGTAACTATGACCCCATTTTGTAGGACTCTACCAGAATCCCTTTGCTGTTTGTCTATTTTCCCTGCATTAATACCCCTTTTAAAAGCCTATCTCTTTGATCATGTCTTTCATCAGTCTGCATCTTCAAACTCTCTTTCATTCCCATCCTGCTTGGTGATCCAGCGCCTTGGGATGTCCTCCTGATGTGAAAGGCGATATACAAATGTAATTTGTTGTTGTTGATCCATATTGTCACTGTAAAGAGCTTCGAAACAGTATCCTTCCTGCGAGATGCTATATAACCTCAACTTTTTGTAAACCAGGTTGTGAAACGTAAATAGCAAGCACCGAATTAACAAACATCAGCTATTTCTCCATAAAACACTGCTTATGTCAATGTAGGTGAAAAACTATTTTTGCAACCCTTTTTATTTAAAAATATAGATGAAACAAAAAAAGTATTGAGTGGTTTAAAATGGGTGTTGGTTACCAGTAAACTCCCTAGATTTACCTCCAAATTGGCACCAACTTGTCGGATTGCTAAGTTAGTTTTGTTTAAGTAGACACTCATTTGGCAGGTAAAAATTAGATGAGATCTATTGTACATTGTCTCTGACATGAAACGGACTGTAACCATGACATTGTACTGAATCGTGCAATTTCTTATTTAACTCGTGCTGTTTTCCACTTTATTTATGGTTATTCTCTTTTGCGGGAAGTCACATCTAAGTGATTTACAGTCAGAAGCCAAACATTTGTGCTGATTACCTTTTAAATGCAGACCTCAATGTACATCAATCTTGTGTATTCAAACTGTATATTTATGGTACGTATGCTCAGGCAAAGCAAAATTGATTCAATATTTTCACAAAATCTGCCTCATTAAGATGTATGCTGTATTGATGCCCCGTATCAGATTTAACATGGACATTAATGGTGATCGGTTCCCACAGGTAGCGGATCTGGATGACGAATTTGCTGAGTTGGCTCTGAGAGAGTTGTGTGAAAACATAGAAGCAGTTCCTGCTGAGAAGGTGAATTTGCTAAACTCTCAGTAGATTGATTCCGTGAAGGCTCCAAAACAAAAACTTCAAATCAGGTTATGGGTTTGAGTCCCTGGGGTTGCCTTTCAATGAAAACCTCATGGAATCATACCCCGTTATACTGCGCTTTGGAATAGCATGGGTCAGTTAATAGCTGGTGATCTGTGGACTTGTGATATACCAGAAGTGTGATATGTTTGGGGCACGGCACACAGACCCAGGACGCCTTATGACATCCCAGCAACTGTTCGAGATGCTTAAGAGAATGGTTGCCTGTACGAGATCAGTGACCAGCAGCCCTTTACAACATGGGAAAACCCCCAAAGTCGGAATTTATGAACCCAAACCACCACATTTACCAAATCTAACTATCTGATTTGGGGGTGAATTCTGTCAGTTTTTGACTGGGTCGTTAGGTGGCGAGCCTCAGAAAATGAGGCAGCCCATCTTGGGAAGGTAGCAAAACTGAGCTTATTAACTTGGCAGTCACTCTCCCTGCTACTGCTGATAAAACATTGACTGGCTAGCTTCCATGGTGTCTCTTTGGAGAGATGCTTGTGTTTGGTGTGATGATTGAGCCAATACTGGTCCCAGGTTGATCCGTGCTCTGTGCTGTTAGCTGATATCAGCAGCGAAACCACAAAAATTGGGCTAATGCTCTGCAGTTCGGGAGATGAAAAATCAATAACGAGTAAGAATCTTGTCATTTTCAATACAGTTAAACGCAGCAATCCGCCGAATCACACTGAGTCATGCAGCCGTGCCTGTATTGTGCGGAAGTGCACTGAAGAACAAAGGAGTGCAGTTGCTGATGGACGCCATCTCCATGTACCTGCCGTCCCCCAATGAAGGCCAGCATGACTTTAAGTGAGGATTCAGGTTTCAGGAGCATCGATGCTTATATGTCATTGGTGTGATTTCCATCCAGATTTGAGCTTCCTCATGTGAAATCCAAACCGGTTGAACTGCTTCTAGACATTATGGTCTAGTGTCAGCTAAGAGGGAAACAATAGAGGGAATATCTAGGTGATTGAGCAAGAGGACACAGGTTTAGTTTGCCAAGAGCGATTTGAGAGCAGTCACCAGGAGGTAGCTTAAAAGAATTTGGACAAAACAGCCTTCAAAACTAAAGCTATAATTAAGAATTTGCTAAATTTGGTTCACTCTGAATAGCAATGTAATTAGAGTAAATCTAGACCCAGGTGGAATTTTTTCCCTGTGATGTTTTTCATGAACCCATGACTCACTGCAAACAGACGTGATTTTTCGATACTTAATAAATGTGGCAAAAAAAGGTGGTTCCGAACTGCAGGCCAAATGCCACATTGTGGGGTTTATTCTGTGTTTCTACTGCGTGTGCTTCTATTACTTTGGCAGCGATTCGCTGTGACACATTTAGTACAGATCTGGAGTTGAACCAGTGCTGAAGCCTGCTCCTGGCACCATTTGGAAGAGGTGGTTTCAGAGACAGTTTAATTTGTCCCACTGCAGTATTGTGCAGAGGGTGAGGATCAAACTCCTGTGGCTCAGACCATAACATTTAAATGAGAGTCAAATTAAATATTTGAAGAATATGAAAGTTTATGGAGAAAAAGCAGAGATTTCAATGTAGGAGAAAAATGTAATGTTCCAATTAACACTGATGTTCAGTGAATGCTTCGTTGGATCTTTCTTGTAGCAGAAACCGTGAGACATTCATATTTTTTAAAATTCATTTGGGGATGTGGACGACATCGACATTTATTGCCCTGAAAAGTCTCTGGTTGTCTTGAAAAGGTAGTGGTGGGACCTATGCTTTAATCCACTGCCGTCCTTGTGGTAATGGTGCTCCTCCTGGAGTGTTGGGTAGAGAGACCCAAGATTTTGACTATGGAGAAAAGGTGATGTATGTCCAAGTCAGAATGCTGAGTGACTTGGAGGATAATGTGGTGGTGTTTGTCTTGTCCTGAATGGTGGTGGAGATAGAAGACACTGTAGTCACAGTACATTGATGAGAGTGGGAATGAACCCTGACTAGATTTGCTGGTGTGCCAATTGAGCAAACCGCTTTGTCCTGGACAGTCTCAAGCTTCTCATCTTAGTTATTTAATGAGGGAAGAAGCATGATCCCAATGAGAAAAGCTATAATCCTGCATGATTTAATGAGCACTCGTTTTGTTTAGCTTTTTATTCAGATGTTTGACCTTTCACGTGGTATTAAAAAAGAAAAATATTAAACATGTTTCTATCCCGCCATTCCATTTTCAGACAGTGGTATGGGGATGACCTGTGTGCTCTTGCCTTTAAAGTTCTTCACGACAAACAGCGAGGACCTATAGTGTTTGTCCGCATCTATTCTGGGTCGATGAAACCTCAGTCAGCCGTTTACAACATCAACAAGAATTGCATGTGAGTGGCTAATGTGCTCCTGTAAATGTCGATTGCTCCACATCCTCTTTCATAAATTATTTATTAAGATACTTGTTTTAAATCAAGATTGGCACTTATCCAAATAAATAATTTCAAAAGTAAGTGATCATTTAAAAAAAACTTTAATAATAATACTTACATATGACAGAATGCTTGGAACAAGAGGAGACCAATGTCATTCAGCCCATTGAGTGTGTTCCATCCGGTAGTTTATTAGATCCTTTAATCCCGTTTCTCTGTCTTTTCTCCAAACCCTTAATATCATCTCTTCCCATGTACCTTACTATCTCCCTTTTAAATAGCTCAAGTGATTTTAACTCTGCTGCCTTCTGGCGCAGTGCATTTCACATTGGAAATGTTTTTTGATCCAACTTCTACCGATCCTAGCTTTAATTTTGAAATAAAGTTTCAAATAAAGCACTGTTAAGCGCTCTGTGACACTACCCTGTGTGGAGGGGGCTATAGAAGTGAAAGTTGTTGTTATTGAAGTGCTGTCAGATTAATCAATTCAGTCCAACTCATACAGATGTTTTCTTTGAGGTGAAGTTCAGTATTCCTTCAAGATGGGGCGAATCTATTTTCATTTGAAGGGTGAACAATATTTGGAAATACCGTATTGCAAGAAAACCAATAATGTGGATGCCATAACAGACCACAGGATGATGCTGTTCTGTTAGTGTCATTTAGAAGTGGTTTTATGTTACTTATTTATATCAATAGTTCCAAAGGTGAAAAGTTCTATTTAACTTGATATTAACATTGAAAACGTGCTTGTTGGGAAAACATCAGGAGAAATGGAACCCAGTGTCTTGTTCTCATTCTCTCTCCAAATTATGAAATTTTAATCTTGTGTTTTTTTTGTCCCGACTGTGCTGTTCAGGGAAAGAATGAGTCGTCTTTTGTTGCCTTTTGCTGACCAGCAGATTGAGATCCCATCATTACAGGCTGGAAATATTGCACTGCTTGTTGGACTCAAACAGGTGAGAAGTGTCTGCAAATTGTCCTTTTGTTTAACTGTGAGCAATCTATCTATTGAATTTCATTTCCAGGTGTAGGTGGGTTGCATGGAATTCTCAGTTTGGTTTGGATTCCCTTAAGCATGGTGATGGGTTTCTGGATGTGTCAAAAAAAATCCTTTTACCTTTTTGTTTAACTGTGAGCGTAACGGTCTGAAACATAGGAATGCTCATTTTCTATGTAAATAGAATTGGTTAGTTCAGACCAGTTATAACATGACTCATTAGATTGGGGATGCCTGTTATACTAGAAGTGAGGTAAGTAGTAACCCAATGACCTGGAAGCTGCAGCCGTTTACTTGCAATTTCATGGACAGCATTGTGGCAGGGTTAGACGGTACTTGGGCAATGCTTACATAGTAGAAAATATACACTCTTGTCAAATAAAACCTAATAATAATATCTGCCTTTAGATCTTAAAATGCTCTTTCACCTAATGCTATGTTGTCACACTGGCATTATGGTTGTCACGACTCAAGTGCAGTTTCTGTGAGATGACGTGACTTCCAGTTACCGGCAGGTGTCGCTATTTGTGAATTTGTTTGTGAGTATCTCATTCTTAGATCCATAAGGAATATGGAACATCAATGTTACCAAGAAATGCCATCAGGCTATATAAGTTATATATCCCTTTCGTGCATTTTTGGGTTCCCCTTCTTTCCATTCACTTTACCCACTGTTGTCTCTATTTACTACATTTTACAGCAGTACGCAGGCTGAATTTGTTGTCTGTTGCAAGCCAAATGAGCTTTGCTGCTTGTCTGATGGTAATTTCTGCTTTCCTCTCAAGACAGCCACTGGGGACACAATAGTTTCATCAAAGGCATCAGCAGCAGTTGCGTCCCAGCGAGCAGCGAAGGATTCTGGAAAAAAGTGTGATCAGAACAGAGAGCAGGAAAATCTTGTGTTGGCAGGTGTTGAGATTCCTGAACCAGTCTTCTTCTGCACCATTGAACCCCCTTCATTGGCCAAGCAAGCAGGTGAATGCAACGTTTGATTCACGTATAACCAGTTTAATCTCCACTGAGGTGTCAACCTGGCTCAGTTGGTAACACTTTCGTCTCTGAGTCAAAAGACTGTGGGTTCAAGCTCCATGTCAGGACTTTGAGCTTTTAACCTGACACTCCAGTGCAGTACTGGGGGAGTGCTGCATTGTCGGAAGTGACTTTGGATGAGATATTAAACTGAAGTCCCGTCTGCTTGTTCAGGTGGATGGCAAAGGTCCCATAGACTATTCAAAAAGAGAAAGGAGTTTCTCCTAGTTCTGGACATCAATCCCTCAGATAAAATTGGTTACACATTTCACGAGGGACGTTTGGCATTTATGGGACATTGTTGAGCATAAATTAGTTGCTTTGTTTGACTACAAATACACAGTCACTACACACTAAACATTCTGTGAAACGCTATGAGACATTTTGACAATGTGATAAGTTTGAATGCCAAATATAATTATTATTTTTAAAATCAGTAAAAGTATCCTTGTATTCAATGCAATACTTATCCTCTGCTAACCAAAATATGTTAACAGTGTGAAATTAGCCTTCAGGTTATTTATCAATAATAAATAAATTAACTTAATTTAAAAATATATTTAAATTGTATTTTTTAAAAAATGTTTTATTAAAATTTTTTACAAATATTTCCTCAACTGTCCATCGCCTTGGGACACCCTTCCGATGTGAAAGACGCTATATAAATATAGTTTTGCTATTATTATTTAACAAGCCATGAAACTCTGTGTTATAGATTTCAAAAGTCTCTTCCACCCCAGTTTGTAACCTGAAAGGTGTTTGTGCGCCAACACTGTTGTGTGGCTGCTGGCAAGGTGTCCTCAACATAAACAGCATTTTCTTCAGGAATCTCCTATTAAGACTTGTGAGAACTCTTGTCTGAATCAAAGTCTCAAGGGCCTGTGTGCTAGGCAGGGACCTGGAGAAAACACAGTAGTCGGCACTTTTTGCCGGAGATTTTGCAGTGGTGACGGCACTGGAACTTTTTAGCTGTGGCAGCAGATTTACATGTTTTCACAATACAAGTTCTCATTGGTGCTCCTAGATCTGGACCGTGCTCTTATCTGTCTCCAGCGCGAAGATCCCAGTTTAAAGGTGAAGATTGACCCAGACTCCGGGCAGGTGAGTTACAACATTGTGAAAGATTTCAAAACGTTAGCATATTTCCGATGCTTTTTTCGCCTGGGTGCAAAATTCAAGGTCGAGAAAATTCAAGATCTCTTCAAAACAAGAACAGCAAAAGAGAACAAGAAATACAGAAGTAGAGACTATAGCACAATCTGTTATAATGCACTTTGTTACAGTGCTTTATAGTTTGCAACACAAATGGTGTGTGGACCCTGCTCACTGTCCATGGGAAACACACAGAAAGTGACATTGGCAAGGACTCCATGACCTGGAATTTAGCCATTTTGGTTTCCCACCCGCTAAAAATAGCTGTCATCTAGACCACCAGCATTGCCACTTCTGGTATCCTTTGCCTTTTTCTTCTACTCAGGAACTGTCCGCCTCAGCTTCTCTGGAAAGCTTTCAGTCTGTGGAACAAGCATATTGTAGATTCAATGCAACATGCCACCGTGCTATTTTATTGCAAAAGGGATTAAGGGATATGGGGATAAGGCAGGGTCAGGTTATTAGCTGGAGTTAGATTAGAAGATCAGCCATGATTGAATGGCAGTGCAGGCTCGAAGGGCCGAATGGCCTACTCCTGCTTCTACATGTTATGTTATGCTGTACTTTGCCTTTATGGCTAGATGTGATAAAATGACAGCTTGCATGTATGTAGAGCTCTTCATGTGGGATAGCTTCTCTGGGAGTTCTGAACAGTGTCTGATTTTGACACCGAGCCAGGGAGGAAGTGGAGGTGACTGTAGGCAGGGTCAAAGAGGAAAGTCTTCAGGTGCAATCTGTAGCCGGGGTTTGACTGCCCATTGCTGGGTGAAAGGAGGTTATGAGATTAATGCAGTTATTGTAATATACATAACCGACGGTATTGTCGAGACAGAATAGTGTAAATTAATTAATAATTTTACCAATAGAGCAGGAAGCCAACTGGTTTTGAAAAGGGTAGTTGACTCCTACTTTCGACCATTTTTGTAGACTATTCTGTGTGGAATGGGTGAGCTGCACATTGACATAATCCATGATCGAATCAAGAGGGAGTATAAAATTGAGACTCACCTTGGACCCCTCCAAGTGGCCTACAGAGAAACCATATCAATCTCTGCCAGCTCAGCAGGTAAACACATTGTACTTTCTAGTTTATTTAATGGTTTCTCTGAATAGACCAAGTCTATGCTCCAGAAACAAAAAGTCAGGTCAACTTTTGAATAATAATAAAGTTCTTTGTATAGTAAATTGCAACAAACTATTACATTAATGATCAAAATCAAGTGAAGCAATGATTCTGGAATAATGGAAGTACTGTGTGGAGTATAGTTGTTTTTAAGTTTCTGTTTTCTCAACCTTGGATTGATTAATGTTGTTGCCCTTTGCCAATGTTCTACTGCTCCAATAGTCGGGCATCGAAAAGTCATTTGTCTAACTGCATCAGCAGTTTTGTTTTTAAATGATATTTGTGTGTGTTGAGAACATTCTTCCTAAGTAATAATAAACCTTGCATTTGATATAGCTCTTTATCATGTTGTCGAGAGTCTCAAAGTCTTTCACAGAAAAATTGTAAAGTGGAATTTTGTGGCCAAAATGTGGCAGCCAGAATGCGCCAATCTGGGCACAACTGTGTCCCGCAAACAGTTGTGGATTGAGTGAAATTTTGTAATTTATTTATTGGAAGGATTATTACCACCAAAAAGTGATCTGGCATTTTAAGTTTTAATCAGTGTTTTTTACACCTTAACACTCACGTAGCAAAACACTTTGAGACTTGCTTCTGTTGCATAGATACATTGGACAGAACCGTGGGGAGCAAACGCAACCTGATAACAGCTGAGCTGTCAGTTCGCCCATGGCTAGGAGAAGGCCCAGTGACGAAGCCTCTGATTGAGTTTTCAGACGTTCTCCAGGAGCAACTTTCCACAGAAATCTTAGATGCTGTGGAAAATGGACTGAACACTTCATTTCTGCAAGGTGCCAAACAAAATGTTTAACTTTTTTTGTTGCCCTTCTCTTCATTCTAATGGGATTAAAATGAAACCTCGGGTAACTTGGCAGCCATGAGTCAGCCATGAGCCTTGGCAGTGAGTGTTCTCAAGATAATTTAGGAGAAGGATCTTCAGATTATTTAATAATAATAATCCTTGCATTTGATATAATGCTTTATCACATCTTTGAGACGTCTGAAAGTGCTTCACAGAATATACTGTAAAGTGAACTGATTATATATTTTGAGGACGAAATCCTTCCAGAATTTGAACTCATTCCTCCAGAACGCCAAGTCTGTTTTTGGGGGGTCAGCTGAGCTGGCTTGATTCCGACCTTCCGTTGCCAAGCATGTCACCTTGGAGCCCAAGTTTATCCATTTGTTTCTCACATCTCATCATCCCGGTAACACTCATCACACTCTCCTCTATTGGATCAGCCTTGATTCTCTCCACTGTTTGGCTTTTTGGGCCTTGACCGACTATTCAATCATTGGAGGCATCATAATTGAGCTCAATCCTAGCATTATTTAAAATTCATGTATAAACATCCTTCCAGCATTTACTTACTACCATACTGTATAGAACTGTACTGCCAATTATATGCCATTTAACATCGCAAGTGTTGTTTACCTTGTTTGTAGGCCCACTGTTGAATTTCCCTCTTCAGGATGTGGTGGTCACACTGGAATCTCTCCATGTACACCCTGGGACATCAATGCCAATGATTTCAGCTTGTGTATCTCGCTGTTTGCAGAAGGTGAGGCCTTGGCACACACATCCTAAAGCATGCAGTTGTTTATGTGGCAAGTGAATTAATATTTGGCACATTCATGCAGCAACAATCTAACTGTAGTACAAAGAAACAACCTAATCCAGGAGAATAATGTCCCATTGACAATATATACCGGGATGTACTGCAGGTCAGGCTGTCCAAAAAGCATGTTTAAGCCATGTGTGTGCCCACAGTTTTATCACTAACCTCAAATGACTCCAGAACATTTATTACATACATTGTTTATTTTATGGTTATTGTACCACAAGTTATGTGTGTGATTAACATCCTACTGTAAGTCTTTCCAGCAACAATTTCCATTTGAATCTGTTCTACAAAGGATGGCTACCACTATAAAAGGAATAGATTCCTCAAAGGTCTTTACCTCTTAGTCTGAGAAAGGCATATGAACTGCAAAAATACAATGTGAAAGAGCCCCAGTCCTATTCTTGCATAGCTATCTAAGGTTGTGTGTGATTGCATTCTAGTCAGTATATGAAGTTTGTGGGACATGTAGAGAAATGGGAGGTTATGCACTGCCTGTTTCTAAAGGGAAGTCGGCCTTTTCGAGCCTCATTAGAGCAACTGCAAAACATATTGCAAAATACCTGAGGATCTGAACAGTCTCTGTTCCTCAAATTAGTATCTGATAAAAGTTTGAATAACTACTAAGATGCCTACAGTGAATGTTATAAATTGAATATGTTGTCAGAATAGGTTGGTTCAATCCCTGATTTGTGCTGAGTGACCAGTAGAAGTAATACAATTGACCAAAGCGCTTAGGGGGAGAAAAAATCAACCAAGTTTCCTGCCTTTGAGTGTGACCCCGGCTAAGAAAGTACATGTGGATTTGGAGCTAGAAAGAGATATGGTTTTCTGAGATGATGTTAAATCACTGCTGGCACTCTCCGACTTGTCTCACAAGATAATGCCTCCTACCTTGCCTCCTTCAAGGCACGCCTCAAGAACCTCATCTTCGACTGTGCCTTCAACCATCCTCCTACCCTCTCGGCCCTCCGCGCTCCCCTCCCGCTCGGACCCTAATCCTTGACTGTTCAGCGCCTTTGGACGTTTTCCCGACGTGAAAGGCACTTTAAAAATTTAATTTTGTAATTTTGTTTGTATATTTTGTGGTCAAAGAGAATCAATTGTACTCCTATTACAATTTTTACAAAGAGGAAAGTTTTGAGATGGGCCTTAAAGAAGGCAAGTGATGGGGCAAGGCAGAAGGATTCCGGGATGGAGTTCCAGAGGGTGGGGGCAGAAAAGCTGAAGGCCTGACCCCCACTCATAGGGTGGGCAGTAAAGAATTGGTTGTTTTCTGAGACAATGCTATTTTGTCTGTGTGCATCTAGGCACTGAGGCGTGCTGGGAGCCAGGTCCTAGAGCCAGTGATGAACCTGGAGATCACGGTGGATGAAGACCATCTCAGTGTAGTGCTGGCCGACCTCGCTCAGAGAAGAGGAAGCGTCCAGGAAATCCAGAGCCGTCAGGATAACCGAGTGGTATTGGCATGTGTCCCACTTGCTGAAATGATGGTAAATTATGAATTGAGCTGGATATTAGTTCTATTATTTATTGACAAAGTACATATCAGCACTTTTATTTTCTGCTAAGTGTAAACACTACATCAGTTGCATTCAATCCAAGGATAAACAATCCTATTCCACGATGAGATACTGAGAACTATTCCAAGTTGCTGCGATTCTGAGATTCAAAAATGAGTTTTCAACAGTTTGCACTTGTTTAGGAGAACGTCTCAAAGAGCTGTGGAAAAACAGAATGGAGCCTGAGCTGGGTGGGAGATAAGGGGGTCAAGCAGCCCTTGTGAAAGGTGCCACGTAAGCCTACGTGAAAGGCGCCATTTAAGCTCAAGTTGTTTATGGCAATTGCGTACGAGCTGGTTAGTTGTTACAAAATAAGAAATCTGTGAAAAAGTATTCTAAAATGTTTCTAACCTTTATTATTTTGGAATAATTTGCTTTTTTTAAAAAAAAGATTATTATCCTAACATTAAAGTGAATCTTTTCATACCCCGTCCCCCTTTCCTTTTTAATGATGAGCATTTGCTCATACATCTAAATGCTTGTGAATGATTTCAGGGTTATTCGACCACTCTCCGCACATTGGCATCAGGCATGGCTACATTCACCTTGGAGCTGTCGAGGTATGAGGCGATGACTTCACAGGAACAAAAGATGCTTTTCAACAAAATGACCGGAGTCATGTGAGTGCAGAACAAAACCATCTACAAAGTCCATGTTATGACTGATGACATTTGGGAGAAGGACACCTACGGTGATTTCTCAGCTTGGAGCAGAAAATGATTGACCTCCAGAATGCTATAGAGAATCTTGCAGATGTGGAAAGGGTTTCCTAGAACATTCAGCCACTTTCTAGGCAACAGAAGTGGCTTCTACCCAGTATATCATGTCAGATGCTAACATTTGTTTCTGATCCCGGAATCTACAAGTGCTGATAAACACACTCAAGACGACTGAGGTGTGAACTGCAAACTCTAGTTGGGACTCAACTTACAATATGAAATCACAAGGCAGCTTTTTCTTACTTCAACTAGATTTTGATTTCATTTACATCTGGATCCATGGATTTTCCCTCCCTCCTTTTCTGAATGTGTTTCATTCCCTTTTCATCCGATTGTAGTATCTAACCCAAGTAGTCGTTATTCATGTGTGAGCCTGGCCAGTTATGTTGACAGCCCATCACAGCCCAAGTCTGAACCTATCTGAGCCAGCGCCACACACATGCACCTCCCACCAGAGGTGGGGAGGGAGGCTGCAGAGCAATTAGGAGTGGGAACCCATTCCACAACCCAGACACCAATTATAGTTCTCTCACCTGCTGCCTGGGCAGATATCAGCTAACTCAGCACAGACCAGGATTCAAACCTGCAACTTTACTTCACTGTCGCAAAATGACTGAAATGTTAGCCTCTCCAAATGGCCTACTTCTGTAAAGGGGAAATAAACAAATGACATCCAAGTTTATTGGATGTTGGCAGATCTTTTAATCCAACGTATTGAATTAAGATAACAAAAGATGAGCACTATCTACACTCACATATGAGTTAATAATGTACATGGTGATGAAGTTCTTGAGTTTTTTTTGTTATCTGAACTTGAAATATTGGGAAAGCAGTTTTAAGTTCTCAGATCCTTTTCACTTGTGAGATGTGTTGATCATCATAAAACCAGGAATGGGTTTAGCAGCTTGTTCCAGTCCTTATACTGTTATACCACGATTCCTGCTGCCAAAAGTGACAGTTACCAATGGAATTGTCTGTTGTAAATCCTACAAACAGAAGTAAAGTCTCTATTTTCTTTTTTCCACAATTCTTTTGCGTATTAATGGCAGTATCCCCCTACCTACCTGCCCGTACCCTCCGTTCCTCTGGCTCCGGTCTGCTCCACGTCCCCCGCCCCAACCGCACTACCATTGGTGGTCGGGCCTTCAGCCTCTCAGCCCCCAGGCTCTGGAACTCTATCCCCCAATGCCTTTGCCTTGCTTCCTCCCTTTCCTCCTTCAAGGCCGGTCTCAAAACCTTTCTCTTTGACCGTGCCTTCAGCTCCCCTCTCGACTCTCTTCCCCCTCCTCGCTCCCTCCCTTCCCTCCCCTCACCCTGACCATTTCCCCCCTGCTCGGGTCATGACCCAGCTGTGCAGCGCCTTGGGACGTCCTCCTGACGTGAAAGGCGCTTTATAAATGGAATCTTGTTGTTGTTGTTGTAGTATAAAATACACACCAAATAAACAATTTAAACCACTGCTTGGCGGAAATCTGTACGAGGTGATTTCAGTACTGTGAGGCTTCACGGAGGTGAGTGAAATCATTTTCCCCTCCCAGCCTCAGAGTAATGAAGACATTCCCACATTTATGTTCCAGCACCTCCCTACCTCTCTTACCTGATTGTAGAGCCCTCTTTTGGCTGCCCCCTTCGCTCAGTTAACATAAGCCAGCTGGATGCTCACCGACTCCCCTCGTCACCTTTGGTGGCTGTGCTGTAGCCACTGTGCTAACCTCTGGAACTCCCTACCTCAATCTCCCTGCCTCTCCCTCATAATCTTAATTCCCACCAGATGCCCTCTAGTCCCTTGCGGTGAGTAAGTGAATCTGGCAGTGAGTTTTTGACATTGTGAGTGGTATTAAAGCTAAGTGCTGATATTGTTCACACACTTTTCAGCAGAATCACTTGACAACAATCGGGAGCAGAAAAGTGAGCGACACTTTTGGACATTCCATGCAATTGCAGTGGCTCAGATGGATTTCCTGAGATCAACCTATTCAGCATTGACTCAAGTAACTGATCAGTATCTGTCACCTGGCCTTTTTTTAAAAAAAAAACTTTTTAAAAAAAAAATGGCCCAGACAAGGTAGAATTAATAACTAAGGAATAGATTAGGGTTAGTTTGGTTAGAGTCTCTTCAATGATTGTAAACTTCTGAGGTGCCAAGAATGTTCTCACTTGTTCAATGTTCTATTTGCCAATTTTATTTGAGTAATGGAATTGTTCCTACATCAGACTTTAGTGTAAAAGCCAAGCATGTGAAAGAATACTCCTGTTGGAGTATCTGTACAATTTCATAACCCTGTTTACTGGCTCATGTGACCCTGCCACAGCACTGCAATAAGGTTTGTGATGTCTACATATTCTCCCCAGAGACGAACCACTTCCGTTCTCAAGTTCCTGGAATTGAAACAAGGAATGAAGAAATAAGTTTTAGATCACTTGATTTTGTACTCCACATAATATTGTGGTGTTGACTGATTTCACAACTCATCTCTGTGAAGTCTCACATTACTGAAAACACCCCGTACAGGTTTCTGGCAAAGCAACCAAGAGTTTAAATTGTTTTATATAGTTGGTATTTCCTGGTTTAAATCATGTTTTTTAACAGCTGAATAGCACCTGGACTTGCAAACTTGCAAGAGATGGGCTCTGATTGTGAATTGCTAATGTGGTCGTTTGAGTCATGGAGTAAGGGGGAGGCATTAGGTCAAAGAGCTATATCATAGGGAGGATATTAAAAATCCTTGTTTGATATAGTGCCTTATTGTTATTATCACATGCATTATGAAATGGAGTAACTTTGCAGCCAGTTTGCACACAGCACTGTCCCACAAACAGCCATGGAGTGAGTGACCAATTTTATTTGGGGGATTTGTTGGCCAGAACTCCCTTCTCTTCAAATAAGGCTGGGGGATCTTTAATATCCACCTGAACAATCAGATGGGACCTTGGTTTAACATCTCATCTTAAGAACCGCACCTCCAACGTTGCAAAACATCTACAGCACTGCAACTGGAATATGCGATTACAAGTCCTGACATGGAGCTTGATCCCATAACCTTCTGCCTCAGAGGCAAGAGTGCTACTGAGCCAAACTGAGCCAAGCTGATACAGGAAAATTAAAGATCAAGTCACTTGACAGTGAGATGTTTTTAAAATACAATTGGTGTTAAGGTGTTAATCTTATAGATCAAAGATGTTTAAATTACCATAATTAGAAGACAAACAGCTCTGATGAAATGAGTGCATTGAGTTAAAAAATATAGAGCAGTTGGTGGGGTTACTAAAACCAGGGATATATTCATTTTTTAAACTTTTTTGACAGTTTCATTCCCATCCCCGAGGCCATAAGTGGACTGGCAGGTTTTACTCTTATTTCAGGATATGGTTGCATTGTTTAGAGTCTGCTGCTGCCTTGCCCTACAAGCAGTGCCTTCAGCTACTTAACTGTAGTTTTTTTTTAAAAAGACAAGTCCTTTCAAACTGAAAACCACAATACCAGAATTAGTATAGCAACATCAAGTTTGCAAATATTACACTTTAGACTTTAGTTTCTTTTATTGTAAAGCTATTTTCATTTCATCAGTACTGGCATATCTTTGCCCAGACCACAATATTACACCCACTCCCACAACACAGCAAAACGTTGCCATTGCAAAACTAAACTACACATTTTTGCAGAAGTTGCGAGAGAAACGTGGATGTAATAAGTCTAATAACATTGCCTAGTTTGGTCACACCGCTTTCAAAAAGTAGAACGAAACTTGATTTCAGTCTGATCTGATACTTCAGTGTATTACTGAAAGAGCAAAGCATTGTCATCAACCCAAGATCCCATCTGCCTGTCCAGGTGGATGCCAAAGATCCCACAGCCTTCAAAGAGTTTCTTCCAATGACCAAAAATCTCCCAGATTAAAAAGTCACTTCAAAGTAATCCTTGCATTTGATATTTTTGCATTTAATATAGCACCTTATCACATCTTCAAGATGTCTCAGTGCTTCACAGCATATACTGTAAAGTGAATTGTGTGCAAAATGTGGCAGTCAATATCCCATGGCAGTGTCCGACAAAGTCGTGGATTGAGTAGCCACTCAATTTTTTAAATTTTTTTATTAAGGATTATTATCCCCAGAAAGAAATCCACCAATCAACTTACAACTGGGTTCCTACTTACTGCTGGGTAAGGTGTCTGGAGTAAGGAAACTTGCCTAAGGTTTGACTTCATGGCAGTTGTGGGACATTGGTTTGCCTGTAAATAGTCAGTACACTTTACAGAAAAAACTGAAGCACTCCCAAGGCACTGGCTATATTAAATACTAATACATCAATTACCTTATGGCAATTATGTAAACCACCAAACTGGACTACATTCCAAAAAGATTATAGGCAAGGTAAAAATATATGCTCTTGTTTGAGATACAGAAAGCCATCAATTGCAAAGCTCATTAGTTCCAATGATTTTTAAAAAATGTTGGAAACCAGTGTTAAAATATAACAGGCTTGCAAAAAATATTTGCAAACAACATCCCACATTTGTAAGTCAAAATTTTGACTGCTCACCACAGCAGAAATTGAGGTCTCTAAACTGGCAAGAGCACCAAGCACAATTAATGAGGCACCTCATGATCGACTTGATGAATCTGTTTTTCTTTTGCGGTAGACTACTTGGCCAAGTTATACTGGATACCAGAACATTTTTGGCAGAAAAACACAGAATTGGCAGACAGTGCATGGCAACAATTCGGTAGAAATTTGTGCTTTGAGATTCCTTGCCAGATTGTTCAGATTTTTTTAAAAAAGTGAATAATCAAACATTTAACGTCAATTTCAAAATGGTAAGTACTGCTGCTGAAATAGATAACAGTGGAAAAGCACCAAGTAAAAACTTGTATATGTTGACATTGGAATACTCTTCCCCTATCCCTCCACCTTGCCCCTTACTTCCCCATCTTCAGGTTGCGCCTTAAGACCTTCCAATTTGACCTTACCTACAGTCACCTCCCCCCGCCTCGGCGTCGTGCTCCGCCACTGTCAAGCGCTCTAGGATTCTGCCCTGCGTGTGCGGTGTCGTATAAATGCAAGGTGTTGTTGTTGTATCCCTTCCATCAACAATGACAAAACACACTAAAGATAATCTGTTATATCGGTTGAAGAGCAGCACTTCAGATAACAAGAAATGAGGATCAGAATAGATAATACTTGAGTTTTAAAGACAATGGCACAAAACAATTGAAGTTGGACAAAAATATTGAACATTTTATTGTACAATGCCTTTGAATATTTATAAAAAATCAAACATTCATTCTGGTTAAAAATACTCATGATCATTCTCTATAATTTCAGTGTCGTACAGCAATTTTCTTCAGTTCAAATGCTGATTTCAAAGTTTGCTATTTTGTTTCATTTTCCAAACACTCAGCCTTTGTATTCATAAGCACAATGGCCAACAAACATCGGCTCTGCGGGTATCCCTCGTCTAAAAATGGGAAAAAAAGGATTTTTTAAAAAATATATCAACTTCCAGCTGTATTATGATCAACTAAATGTGATGGAGATGCTTTAAATAAAAATCAAGGCTCTATAACATTCAAAACAGCAATGGTGGCATTGGTGGAAAGCCATTTAACAAAAGACATTTTGCATTAATCTACTTCTTTTGGATCGTTATTACTCAAACTGATTGTCAAAGTTGCAGAGAGCTGGTCAAGAAATGTTCACATTGGACTCTCCTGAATTATGCACTGTATTTTTCTCCCTTTCCTCTTAAAATTATTTGTTTTCCCATTGATAAGTCAGGTTGACAATGGCATCACACCAACATCACAGCTGAAACAGATCCTATTTTCAACTGATTGTCACCATTCAGCAGATGTCTGGATTAGAAACCAGGAATGGAAGCTATTCTGATTTTGTACTTCCTAACCCTGGGTGTGCTGAACCCAATTGTGGCACTGCTATCACTGCACTAGTTACTGAGCAGAGATTAAAATTTAATTATCTTCTGCTTTGCATAGCTGAGCTCTACACTGAGTGATGCCTTCATTTTATGAATTGAAGTTATATTAAAAAAAGGCACAATATGTGTAAATATAAAAATTTAAATCTTTGCTTACCGGATCATGCGACAACGGTGTTTAGTAAGTCTACTGTATGCATCTCCCAGAACAGTTACGTTTTCCTGGCTCCAAAGTCGTTCACCAACAGCACTCGCGCGAGGCCTTCCAGGAGCAAAACAAGTACATTTCATAAACATGGTATCTTGGAAAATGCACAAAAGCTTAAAAAATTACCCTTCATGTCATTTATTTAGTGCCCACAACTAAAGGGAGTTCACAATCAGTATAATGCTTTTAACCAGTTCCCACCTGTGGTGGACAAAGGAAACACACATTGGGGATTCCAAACAAAATGGTTTGAAATACTCTCCAAAACAAACAGTTTTGGGAAGGTAAACAGAATTCAAAATGCATTGAAACAGCCTCTGCAATGAACAGCCAAAAAAAATAAAACCAAGCTACCTACTGCAGTGATAAAGTCAAAAGTAGATCAGATCTATTTAATTACATTATACACTAAATGCAACATTTCAGCATTCAAAAAAGATACAACACAATCTGAATTAAACAATAGAATAGGTTGCCAACCATAATCGTGGTGTGAGGTTTGTTCCATCCACGTATTCTCCCCAGAGGCAAGCCTCTCCACCAATCACCAATTTCTTCTGGGCAGCTGTTCCTAGATTTGGGGGAGGGGAAAAAAAAGGATGAAATGGTAGAAGTGTCTCCAACTTTGATTTCTTGTTCAAAATTTCCATTCTATGGAAATTAAACCCATATACCCATAGATAAACCCATATATCTAAGTGGGTCCTTAGATAGTGCCAGAACTTCCATTACTGATGAGCAAATTAGTGTTAAAACACTAGTCTGATTAATTTGTGCAGTAAGATGCAACACTTAACTATTGCTCTCGCTCTCAGAAGTGAAGATACATTTGCTATTAGTACGCTTGCAATAGACTCCAGGGGACTACAGCACTGAGTTTTAAATGTTCTTATTTCTGAACACATTATACACATACCAAGGTTGAAGAATTTAAAACTATTAGATTATGAAAGCTTAGATCAATATTTAACAATATTTATATTTGTGCTAATGGCAAAAGTAAGCGAGAACAGTAAAATGATACTGACATTCTCCACCATGGCTTGCTTATATTTCATTTGGAAAAATTATTGATTGTTAATGCATGGATTACTTAAATCAATTAACTGCACCGTAACAGTAAGTATAGTTCAAGAATAAATCAATGTAAACAGCCACTTGAAAGAAATTACCTTTAAAAGCAATACAAATGTGTATTTATATAGCACTTTCGGGATACATGTTGGGAAGCATTCGACAGTTCTGGCTTTTGTTTGAATCCCAAACATTATGGTTCTTACAAAATCTGGCAGAATATTGAATTCACTGTTTTTCCATCCCAGATTGCAGGTTTCCACTTCCCAAAGCATTTACTTGAAAGATCTCATTGGTTACCTGTACATTGTTCCCACCTGGCTTCTTCAACAATGGAGTTCAAGAGATGGATCAGGCACAAGAATTACAATTCCAAATAAAGCAATAACCAAACATCCACATTGTACAAATACAACAGGAACCTACATTATTATGGATGTGATCCATAGGTGACTTATGTTATGTAAGAGAATACATTAATTCAGATTATATCCATGCATAAAGACAAATTACACTAGCACCATTAATACACAATAATGTTTTTGAGGCATATGGTTGTAGAGCAAAAAGTGGTAGGAATTATGAGATGGGGGCATTTTAAAATAGATTTTTGAAAGTATGAAAGTGGTTTACAATGGGGATGTCACCAGCATACAGGGTGGTGATTTAACCTCCAATGAGTCCGAGAAGGCTAGGATAGAGTGAGGAAAATAGGGTTGTTTTAAAACAAACAAAAAAAAGCATCTTGAAACCTATTCACTGAACTGGATAAGAATGGGACAGAACTTAGGCTATGGAGACAGAGTTAAAACGTTTGAGAAAGTAGGATTGAGGGGTCCCAGTGAGGAGAGATCAGAGTGCTGGTGCAGAAGTAAAATTGAGCATCATACATAAAAGCTAATCTAAAATTTGTAGATTATGTGGCTGAGAGTCAGATGAATAAAACTGTGATGGTATGCGAAAGGTGATCAGGACATGGTTAAAATAAGGGAGAAAACATTGTGGGGACGATGGAAAAAAAAGCTCAGCTTTGCTGAGGAGCAGTAATGGAGCCATCAGCACTGTTGAAGATAACTGAAGTTGACTAAAGATCAGCCAGAATTGCAATCATGCAGAATGTTATTGATAAGCCATTATAATTATAACTTGCTTGCGACTGTCACTTCATTGCTCAACAGATATGCCAGACTACTTTTGTATTTATATTTTAATCCAATATTTGATGACAATTATTTATGGAGAATAAGGAAGCCTTTGGATGACTAGGCCATTGTACACCTAAATCCTGACTGACAACGATGAGAATCTGTATAGAAAATTACCTTTTCTGTATAGTCTTAAGTGTTAGTAACTCTTGGACTAACAGGAAAGGTTTCTTTTTCAAATTGACAAAAATGCATCCGGAAATGTAACCAGAAATGTTATCAACCCTCTTTATCACCTTCTTCCCCCCACCAGAGATATTTTGAAAACAGGCAGAATGTCTCATCCAAAAAATGGACTTTGTTAGTAATGCTATCACCCTGAGATCTTCATTTAGAAGGACGAGGAATGAATGACTACTTACTGTCAACATTCAGTTCAAATACACATCTCATTAGGTTATAATATAGGTTCTACTTCTAACGCTCAAATTGCCTTGGTTTTCAGTACTCTTACACAGCACCAGATTACTTGAAACCATAAAATTTTGTTTAACAAAAGTAGTTGGTCAAAAATAATCAACAGCCACTTATTGGTAAAAAAAACTAATTTAGTTTAGGGATTTACTTGAAGCAGCAATTAAACTCAAACTTTTACTTAGGACAGTTTTCTAGCAAATCTGCAATTGTTGCCATTTGGACACACCAGTGAAGTTCCTTGGTTCCACTTTGTAGATCTGCTGCCAATCTTGCCCATATGCGATGCGATTTAGATACCACGGAGAGGAAATTAGAACATGAAACCCAGCAGCTGTTGCAGTGGCCAATTCCTTCTGGTATTGGGCTGTGTTGCCTTTCCACACGTGAACAATGGTGTCTAACTTCAACTACAAACCAAAAATTATTCACATAAAGAAACCTTAAAAAATTATCAAAAATATTTATTGAAGCGGGCAAACATCAGCTTGCACCACTAAAATCTTCAACAGTTCTGACTTCCATAAGGTCTCAATGTGGATATGACCGGCTTCTAAATTATATTACATATATACCAAACCATTTACATTTATTTGTGCAATTGTATTTTCTCTCAACATAAAATTGTTGGAAACATTCATGAAAAGTTAGAAGTAAAAGATAGTAAACAGCAAGCAAAGGTTTCATTATGAAGCTACTAAGACCAGTTTAGTGACTGCAAACCTACCAAAGATGCAGCTGGGATATTTAAGTAATGAATCAATTAAAACTTGTATATTTACACATCACAGTGAAATTCAGTTAATTGAATATCATACAACTGAACAGTTTAGTTTATTGAATAGAATTTAGAAATCCCAAACCATATCTAAGAATATAGGTCGGTCAATTGCCAGGATAATTTGTTTTTTGCCAGGATAATTTGTTTATTAATCCAAATTCAGTCACAAATTACTCCCTTCTACAGTACAGTGCAAACACTGGTATCCTCTCCTTCCTCCCCAAAGAGGTCACTGGTTTATTTACGGTTATATGACTTGTTCGGTTTAATGAACAATTTTCAGGTAAATTGAGTATTCAATTAGTAGAATTTCACTGTACAAACTAATTGAGCAGCCAGATCAAAAAGACTATGTTCAGAGCATACAAGTTTCTATATCCATTCTAGAGCTAACCAAAGTGGTACTCATCAAATTTCTAACTTTTCATAAAAGTTAAACATCTAAATGTTTAGAAGATTTTTGCAGAAACTCCTGCATTCAAAAATTCTACACAAACTGCATCAAATCAGCTGCAATAAAATTGTATTGGATAACTTCACATTGTAGAAACTTTGCACATGTTCTCGCCTTTGATTTGAGTTTTCCCCCCAAAAAATGCTGCATCTTATAAAACGTGTAATGAAAATCGCTCCACGTCTAAGCATCGCATGGCCTTTGGACTGTCTAATTTGCACGGATAAATTGGTAACATTTCTTGTACCACCAAAACCAGATTATGAAGGACAAACAGTAGCCTACTTTCTATATAAAATACATTCATTTTAAAGTAAAAGGGGAGGGAAGATTATCCTCAGAATACTTTTTTAGTTTTCCAAAGTTTATATTGTTTTATTGGCAGTTGTAGTCTCATTTTGTGACTTGCAATATATTGATTTCAATAAGTTTCACTATTCTATACTAATGACCCCTTTGGTCACTTCCCATTGTTTAGCAAGTACAATCTAGAACTGGATCAAATGTACAACTTAATATAAAAATAGATGGAAACCTGTAGGACTAGATCATCCTATGTTGGTGAACATCTAAACGTTACCTTTCAAAAGATCTATTCAGAAATCCTTAAGATCATAGGAGCATTATGAACTCCAGGTGCATCCTAGGTGTTTATAGTAACATGCAATGCAACATTTACAGAACCATTCCTCACTTCTATAAAGGAAATAACTAACCATTGAAATGGAGAGGTTCAACTTGATAGTATTTCACCCAGTCCTGTCCATAGCTAACGTAATCTAAATACCATGGTGCTGCCAGGATGGTTGTGAACCCAGCTCGCGTTACTTTAGCTAGTTCTCTCTTTACATTGCTCTCCATCCACACTTCAACTACGGTGTCTGGTTTAATCTGTAAAAAGAAGCTAGATTTAACTCTTTAAATTAGTATTACAAATGATCTCCATCCAAAATTGTTCCAGAATCAACCACACAAAAAAAAGTTTTCACAACTTGTTTAATTTTATTTCTCAGCATCGCTCAATTCTCTAGTTGTGCAATCTCCCAAATGAATCTGACCCAAAAGTTTGAATGTTTTTAAATGTAAGCTGTGATTAAATAGAACCATATAAAAAGGGAATTAAATGGAAACAAGAAATATATTAAAAGTTTGAGTTTTGGATGAACAGAATACTTGGATAATGTTCAGACGACAACTGTGCAGATACCTAGCCAAATTCCTTGTTTTTGTGCAAAAATTCTGTGTTGTTTTCAGAGATATGATTGAAAGCTTAATTTCAGTTCATTATAAGTAAGGACCATTAAAGGCAGTATTAAAAATTAAAAATAATTCTTTGTTGCTTTTTTTTTTAAAAAGGAGATTGGTGAAAATTGGGATTTATTTTGGAACCAATGATAAGCTCAAAAATTTTTGCTTTATTGATAGGCAATTAGTACAGCAGCAAGACAATTATCTACACTAAGTGGGACTGTTTCTGATACAGATAAATCACCAGTGTGGTTAACTGGACCACACAAAATACAAATCATCTGCAGTGCAGACTAAAAAACTACTGCATCAGGTGTAATACAATCACCATAGCAACACCTTGCCAGCCCTCAAGATCTGTCCCTCTCACCTCAGTATCCCACTGAACCTAATTTTCCATCTCTTTCTACAAATGTTTCTATCGCCATCTAACAATATGCTGTACATAAATAGAACACATCAACACCACAAGAACAATTTATATAGAATCTTTCATGTAGTCAAACGTCAAAAGCTTTACAAGGATAGGGTCGAACACTGAGAAAAGAAGAGGAAGGGACATGTTTGAGTGGTAGAGGCATGGTGCTCCAGATATTAATCCTTATATTTGATATAGTGCCTCATGTCAGGGGAACACTTCATAGGATTTTACTGTAAAAAGTGGTGATTATTTTGTAATAAGGCTACAGCACCTTATAACCTCTTTGAGATGTCTCAAAGTGAGTTACAGGAGATATTGTAAAGTGGATTGACTATTTTGTAGGCGAATGTGGCAACCAATTTGCTCACAGTAAGCTACCACAGCAACCATGGGAACCTAGTAGCTAAAGGATCAGCTACCAACAGTAATACAGAGAGGGCTGGGGATGGGCATGAGGCCCGAGTTGGCTGAGGAGAAGGGTGAGCCGAAGAGTGGGGGTAGGAGAAAGTCACTAAGGCAGGAAGGGATTTATAGCTGAGGGTAATGAGTTTTTAAATACACTAAATTTGGAAGAAAAATAGATTTGAACTGATTGATTCAAGTAAAGCTAATATTTCAGTGCAAATAGGTTAAACAGACTTTAATGGTTTTTACTTACAAATATTACAACTGCAGACAAATAAATTAATTTAATACTAACTTTAAACTACAGTTTGAGTTAAGATTGATGGTTTAGATACAAAATAGTTTTTTTTTTAAAAACTCTAACATCAACATGAATGAGTATGTTGCAGAAGTATCAAAATGAATCAACTGCAGAAAACTGGTAGAAAACGTGGGGCAGTAAAATTACTAAGCAAATTATAGTAGAATAGACAGGACATCTGAATACAAATTAATAATAAACAAAATAATAACCTTGCATTTGGTATAGGTTTTGCCCTGCCAGGAATCAAACCCAGGTCTCTCACTTACAAGGTGAGTGCTCCAACCACTGAGCTACAAGACTCCACAAATTAAGTTCTGATATTGTGAGGAAAGTTAACAGAACTATATTCATATATGTCCTTTTGTAACAGGATCCTACAAACTCAATAATAGTTACACCAGTGCTCGAAATGAAGTAAAACAAGGGAATTGAGTGTTATTACCATTTACGGCCAAGAATAATCGGTGTCTCCAGAATGTGCTGAAACTACACAAGACTCGGGTCCTAAAGTAATTATACCTCATATTGCTGTGATAAAATGTAAACAGAATACAGACTATTCTGGTACAACATCATTCTGTATTTTACTACAGGTCCCTCTGTGAGTCTCTGATGGGCGTAGAGAGATGGGTACCACTGACTTAATTCAGTTAAGGGAGGAAAATGACCTAAAGGGCCACGTTTATAGGATATGAGGAATATGGATCAGTATCCGGATGAAGAAATTAAAAAGCCAGCAACCAGAACATCTGTAGTATTTTATAAGATTGACATTTTTGATCATTTTGACTTTATAAAATATCAAATGAGCAAAGCTTTTTTATTTATCATTTGTAAAATTAATTTCACTGAAAAGTCCATATTGCAAGATTTTCTGCAAAATAGTTAGTTATAAAATTACCAGTTCATTTATTAACGCTTTTTTTAAAGAAAAACTGGATGCCCTGAGACATTGTAAATGCAGGACAGCAAAAAGTAAATCTGTAGGTTACTGATGGAACCATGCAAATCATAAGGGCATGCAACATTTTATAAAAAGTTCAGCAAAGAAGTCTCCAAGAGATTTAGAACAGAAAAGGAAACATTACTCAACCCATTCTATCTGTACAATTTCAAATCTCACATTTCTAGGTCAACATTATAAATAGGCTTGCCAGTTTTTGATTTTAATTGGTAAAATCAGTATTCAACAGGTTTTCCAATTTTCTCCAAATCGAGAAGAATGTATTTCTACGGTTACTTTCTTAAAAAAAAACTTTGAACTACAAAAATGGCTCACTTCTGGATCATAAGGTCACCAGACATTACTCTATAGTTTCAAATTCACAGGAACCACCATCCTTATGACTTGAGAAGTTTCACTTTAAAAAAATCCAAAACACCCAAGGTAAAATAAGATGTGATGCATGTCTAAATTAAGAAATAAATCAAAATCAGGCAAGACTAATCATAAATGAGTTTGCACATCTGAAATTCTAGCTACCTTAAGTTGTTCTAAGCAGTTTATTAATAGCTAGATTAACATTACACCAGTGCATCTTCAGTATTAAGTTATTGCCCGTTACCTGGGAATTTAGTGGTTTTAAACTAGATTCAGCCATGCATAGGTCAAATGCTTCATGTACTTACCTTTACCCCATTATCAAAAACCTCTTGCCAGATCATATAACCCTTCCTATTGGCAGATACAATATCCAGGACACTGCAAGTAATATACACTGAATCAGTCGCTGTTTTAGAATGGCAAATAAACTGGTCACAAAAAGTATCAAAAGACAACGCTATTTTTAGAAGATTTTTACAGCAGCAATTTCAGTATAATAAGTGTGCAGGTTCAAACACGTCTTCAAAAGACCCCCATTATCACCACCATTAGTCCTTCATTGTGTTTGAAATCTTTGTAACTTCCGTCCCCAAACTGGTTGGCAATTTATGTAAAATGTAAACCTTTATTTCCAAATTAGTCAGTGGAAACCTTTGTAACAGGAAATGCTACACAAGACCTCCCACTACAACAGGGTTGTCCAATACGTTAGCCACATGTGGCAAATTTGGAAACTAGATGTGGTGAAATTGCATTTTTGATTAGTAAATAAAAAATGAGTAATAGACACCATCATTGGGCAAGTACAATACTCATATTTACATGGTGGATGCATGTATACTTTTGATCTTTTTGTTGATAAAGTCAACGATTTCTATTGGACAACACTGTGCTACAAGAACAAAAATGTATGATACTTCCAAGAGCAGATAACCAATAAATAGAGGATTATAGGACAACTTCAGCAAGTTTAAATTCCATCTTCCATTTTAGTTCTATAATAAAGACAGTTGGGATCAGTCATTATGGATAAGGAAACAAGAGGACAGTTGATAATCACACAAAATTGACTACAGCGCTGGACTAGAGCTGCAAAGCTTAATTTCAGGACACAGGTCAATAAGTACTTCTGTACCCAAAGGGTAATGAAATAACTAACAGATTGCCAGGAAGTGTGGTTATTTCCAGGATGCTGGACACAGCAAGATGCTGTGATAAAGGCATTCTGGAAGAATAAAAATAAGTGAGCAGAAAACTCTTCTGAAATTTCCTCTATCAGGAGTTATGTTATCACTTTAATGCCACATTGTGCCAGACTCTGAACTATTCTCAGAATTTCTCTTCACTTGTCAGTCTCAAATTGTTACATAAAAATACACTACATTGCCAGTTCAGTTACATTGCACAGCACTGCAAGAAGCCTGCAACCTTTACCCCATCTCAGGTAACGATCAAGGACTGCAATTGCACTTCGGGGCATCCTCACAATGTGAAAAGCACTCCATAAACATGTATTGTATAACCTCACAAGCATGTGGGCAATATTATTGGAGCCAGATTCTAAATAATGAGTGTGGATACACAACATTAATTCGACTACATGTGCAACACCACCTGAAAACATAAAAAATGCATAATGTCCAAATGTTTGGGCTGCATTAATGCAAAGAGCAATTCCTCAAAATAGAGGTTGTTAAAATGAACCGTACTTAAATTGAAAAATCAAGAGATTACTGCATGATAAGTATTGTAAAAAAATTATTCTATGACAAAACAGGAAACCTAAAATGATTTACATCTCACGATGTGTATTTAGCTATCGATATTTAATTACAGTGCTGCAAGAGGGGAAGGAAACAATTTTTACCTCTGAATGTAGAACGATTCAAGCTTTCTATAATCAGTGCCAAAACCATGGCTCTCCATAAACTGTTTAACAGTGGGATTTGATCTCCTAGAAGGAAACAATGCAACAAGAACAAAGCCTTGTAATATTCAATGGCTTTATGAAATACATTAAATGGATGGTACACATTAAACGCATGTACATTCAAGCATGAAAGGCTTACACAATCTCAGTAAAATTACTGAGTTATACGAGATTTGCTGGCAGCAGAACTGAACAAACATTTTAAATTCACATGGACAAGATCAAGAAAATTACAAGTTTTCATACCAGCAGGAGAAATCCACCTCATCTCCTCCCAAGTGAATGTAGTCATCAGGAAACGTGCGGCTGATCTCTTTAAAGAGCTTAGTCATGAAGCCAAAAGTCGTATTTACAGCGGGGTTGACAGGTCCAAATGTTCTGCTAGGCTCCTCACCATTGTAACATTGAGTAAGGAGATCGGCTTGACCTAGATAAACGCAAAATGCAAGTAAAAAAATTATAGAAGGCCTGGACTGTCAATTAAATTTAATTGTAATGTTGATGTACAAAACAATATTCATTAAGGATTTATTGGTGTGAATCTTCATGCGACAAATTCTTAAAACTTAGCTACTGAAACCTGATTGAACAAACATTACAGTCAGTGAGATTGATAGTTCACCTACAAAATAATGTCACTACATTTTATAGTACAGTACATCCTGGGAAATGCTTTGAAACATCCCAACATAAAATATATCAAGTACAAAAATCAGTTCATCTAATTTAAGAGATTGGACCACGTGGTAGATTGAGATTGAAAACAAGTTATTGTGCAAAGATTCACAGGGTGTAGAGGAAAGTTCATTTACATTCAACATTTATGTAAAATGTAATTATATTGACTAAACTGCACTCTATATATATGAACAATTTCAGCACTGCCTTCAGTTAAAGGATATAAATCATTGCATCAGTTCTACAGCAGATTGGATTTCTATTAAAGGCAAACTGAACTCACCTTTCCCCCATGATTGTGTGTGTCCAGGAGTGTCAAATTCTGGAATGACTCGAACTCCTCTTAAACGAGCATATTCAATGATTTCTTTAACATCAGAGGCTGTATAAATGTGAGTGACAGGATGATATGCACCCTGTAAGGAAGATACAGAGGAAGAGGGGGAAAGAAAGTTACCAATTTTAGGAATTAATGAAAGCACTTGAAAATTTGAACTCAGTCACTGAAGGAATTCACATTCATTGAAAGGTAAGTTTTAAAACTTGAGGCAATATTACTTGCAACCTAAATACGACATTACAAACAATTGTTCCATAGGAAAATCCCTTTCCAAAGTACTATGTATAAATTTTGCACTTACTCGAACAAACCTGGATATGCAAGATTGAGGTGTGTACATATTTATATAAATACAGGACTTCTATAAATTCAACAGGTGAATGCACAAAGCTAAGAATAAAATGAGCACCTGAATAACTGCAAGCTCATTTAATGCATTTTATGTATATGTTCAAAAAGGGCTCTAGGTCAGAAGATTGCAGGTTCAAGTGTCATGCTGGAGACTTGGAGCTCATGGTCTAGTCTTGCACTGCAATGAGGTGTTTGGGGAGCACTATATTATTGGCAGTGCGGGCCTTCAGTTGAGATGTTAAACCAATCCTTACTGCCTGTTCAGGTGGATATTAAAGAACCCACTATTTCAAAACAGAGAAAGTTTCTTCAAGTGTCTTGGCTAACAATTTGCCAGGTAAAATTGGTCATTCATTTTCTGACTGTTTGAGGGACATTGCTGTGGGAAAATTGTCTGCTGCATCGGTCTACAAATACATATTCACAAAAAACTCTGAAGCTCTTTGATTTGTTAGTTTAATACTAAAGCCTACAATAAGCAAATGCCAACCTTAAGCAACAAAATTTGTGTCTGCTTAGAGGTTAAATTCTAAACAGAATTTTATATTTAAAAAATATTTTTGAACACGATTAAATTCTCAATAAACTCTCTGGGGTCCCCAAGCCTTGGCTCTTGCCATCCTGTACCTAATACATTCCAGAATTAATTAAACACGATACATCCCTCCAGGAGAGAGTGCGCATTCCATTCCAACAATCTATCTCTGGAATTTTTATGTGTAGCTGGGATGCAAGGAATTCTCAGTTGGGTTGGATACTCTTAAGCATGGTGATGGGTTTCTATGGGTATCAGACAACCAGCGGCCCAAAAAGCTCATGGTCATTTTACTCCTAGCTTTGTGCAATAATAATGCTGGTAGAACAAAGTGCCCATATGGTTTCAACACTGACCTGCTGACTCAGTTCGGGAAACGTAATACTCTGATAAGGGAATGATTGGTCATCCACAATGTGCCAGTGCAAAACATTAAATTTATTGAAAGACATGGCATCCTGAAATAAAAAGTAAAAATTAAGAGTTATACGACATGTAGGATACGCAAAAGGCACTTTTACGCAGCTAATGACCCTGAATTCAGGAGCCCATTTTAGCCTATCTTAAAACATTATGGCAAATTTAATTTTTGAAAGAACTACTGACGGCACAATGCAAAGAATTTTAGTTGACAGGCTTGTTTTTTTTTTGCTGTGCAACTTGCCTGTCAAAAGCCCACTGACCACAAAAGATAGAGCTGAAAGAATGATCATACATGATCAGAAAGCCAAAAGATTTAAAAAACACTTTCAACAGTTAGTAAAGATTTTATTCTGCAATTGTCAACCCAAGATTCTTAGTTTTCAAATTGCTTCAATAACATTATTATTATTCAGTTAAAACAGCTACTTACCAACGTTTGAAGAATTACTTCTACAGGTAGGTAGTGTCGTGAAGAATCGATGAGGATTCCTCTGTGAGTAAATCTTGGGAAATCAATAATATCCGTTTTATTAATGAGATGCTGAAAAAACAGAACATTTAGAGAGATCCATCAGTATTTACGATATTGGCAAAAATCTAACTGAAACTTGATATGAAGTTTAAAATCACAGTGATTTAAACATTCAAAGAAAAATTCTTTACGTTGTTAAAAATGCATCAGTAATTTGGCAAATTACGTAGAGTCCTGTAGCTCAGTGGTTAGAGCACTTGCTTTGCCTTCAGCCCCTAGGCTCTGGAACTCCATCCCCCAGTGCCTTCGCCTTGCTTCCTCCCTTTCCTCCTTCAAGGCCGGTCTCAAGACCTTTTTCTTCGACCGTGCCTTCAGCTCCCCTCTGGACTCTCTACCCCCTCCTCCCTCGCCCCCTCCTTTCCTCCCCTCACCCTGACCATTTCCCCCAATGCTCGGGTCCCGACCCAACTGTCCAGCGCCTTTGGACGTCCTCCCGACGTGAAAGGCGCTCTATAAATGAAATCTTGTTGTTGCTTGCAAGTGAGACCTGGGTTCGATTCCCAGCAGGGTGAAACCTTGGGCAAGTTTTCTAACTCCACATGCCTGATAATATTCCCTCAAGAAAATAAAACAATAATAAATTGGTCACTTCAAACCAAGACTGTTTATGGGACACTGCCGTGCGCAATTGGCTGCCGGGTTTCGCCCCCAAATATACAGTTAATTCACTTTACAGTCTATTCTGTGAAGTGCTTTGAGAAGTCTAGATGACGTGAAAAGCACTATATCAAATGCATTATTAATGGAATAATAACTGGATTATTATTATTATAAAACAAAACTAAATTTTAAGGTGATAGTTTTGGACTTAAATTTATATAAATGTATTGAAGTAAAAAATGGGAAAAATTATGTACATCAGAACACTATTTAGACAATTTAATCAGTTATGTGACAGCCATTATTAAAACAAGTTTGGGCCCATGGAAAGTAAATTTCTCCTCTCCCCCATTTCAATTTTTTGGTTTTGTTAAGACTATTTAATTCCTTTCATAAGAGAAGTCAGAGACAGAACACATGACTAATTAATGGGACGCTCACACATAGAAAGCAGAATTTTTTGTAAACTTTTAATACATTACCTTTTGCAGACTACAGTTAGTTTATTTGATTACATGTAAAGCACCTTTCTAGATTACAAAATTTGAATTACACACATAATCTAATGTAAATTACAATATATAATAATTCTTACATTTGATATAGAGTCTCATGTCGTCAAGACCTCTCAAAACTCATCATAGGATATACTATAATTGAGGGTATTATTACAATGTTCTATGGGTTAACTATACAAGCCATCACTGCAGCAATATAAATGGATTATAGATTCGGTGCAACAAAGTTACATATTCTGCCACCACAAGTAGGGAACTTGGGTGAAGCCCTAATAAACAATAATCCTTGTTTTTGATATAGCACCTTATCAGGTCTTCAAGACGTTTCAAAGCACGTCACAGAATATACTGTGAAGTGAATTGACTTACATTTTGTGGGTGAAACGCACAAGACTATTCTGTCTTGTGCGTTTAGAAATCCCCTGTTTTACTAACTACATTATGTTTGCCCCCTCCTCTCGCCCCCCCGCTCCCCAACACACACATACCTTTCTTTCTCTTGTTTTTGGACACAAAAACACAAAACCCGTGAAGCTAAACATAAACAAGTAATCCCTGATAACAATAAACTGCAAGTCAGCATATGCTCATCAGCAAGTTCTTTTAGTAAAGGAGAGAATTACGATATAGAGTTAAGCAAAGAATGGACCTTTTTGTCCCATAAACAAAGAGATGGATACATCAGTTCTCTTGTTGCTACAAATTGTGTTACATTCAGCAACAATTGGTAGTTTGTAGCATACATAAATATTTTTACAGGCATTAATTGCTGTGAAAATCACGAAACACTACAGTATAAGCAAAAACAAATCTTGTAATAATTTAAAGCAAAAAACCTTACCTGTGAGCACAGCAGCGGCTGGACAAGCATGTTCCAGGCTCATGAAAACAATTCAAACTGTTATTGTGAGGCTGGCACACAAGTAAGGTTTTTTTTAAGCTTAATGTGGGCCATCTGCGAAAATTTGCCCACGCAAATGTTTGATGCGCGAAAATAAATTTGTATACTGTAACTTGATAGAGTGATCCCAAAACACAGCAGAAATTTATTTAAAAATCCATTTAATAAAAAACAAAACCAGTCACAAAACAATATGACAATATTCAACTTCATAACTGAGACATTCCAAACAAAAAACTTACAGTATCATAATCATCTTCATAAACCAATTGGCTAAATGTCTCTAATCCTGAAACAAAAAAATATTTATCGCAAGTTATGTTAGCAAAATAGTGGTTTTAGAAAATTTCTTCTGGCGATAAACTATTTATTTTACAAATGATCCTGAAAGACTACAATAAAAAAATGCATTTTGGAGAAGTTCATTTTCTAATTCAGATACATTCATGTAAAAAAAACTGGAAAACTAATATACTAAACAAGTTTCAACAAAATCATGATAATTGTTTGCACTATGTATTGTTGTCTAATTACTTTTTTAAAAAAAAATCCGATCATTTCCATCATTTGCTCCATTTCCTCGATCAAGGCACATCTCAAAACATACCTCTGACTGCGCTTTCGGTCATCTTTCCCTCCCCACCCTTGCATTTGGATCCCATAATCCTTGCATTTGGCTCCAATCGACAGCTTGGGTGCCCATTCAAGTATTGTCAAACACTTTGATGCATCCTTCCAATTTGAAAGGCACTCTATAAATGTAAATTGTATTGCTATCTAAAAATGTCTGCTAACGTGTGCCAGGAGTCGTTGATACAACACCTTACCACGTCTCCGAGACATCTCAAAGTGCTTCACAGAATATACTGTAAAGTGCAGTGATTGTATTTTGTGGGAAAAACACAGCAGTCAACTGCACACAGCAGTGTCCCACAAACAGTAGTAGATTGAGCCTGGTTACCACCCCCCTTTCCCAGGCTCAGCATCAAGCTCTGCCACTGTTAAGTGGTCAAGACTCTTGAGATGCTATCCAGTTTAAAGGGCACTATATAAATGAAAGTTGGTGTAACCTTAGTACTAGTCTTTTTTTCTCTTCCACCAATTCCATTTTTTAAATGCATGTATATATACACACAGCAAGACCAAGACCATTGAATTCACATCTAAACAATTATCTATCTACATAAAGTGTATTTTCTACTGAGCTGCACAAATGAAACCAATTTGCCAGAGTATGAAGCTACATACCTCGTAGGGCACCCCATACCGTCTCTGCTTTCAGGGTAGCCCTAAGTTTCGAAACATGGATTTCATCTGCAAGGCAAATCTAAATTAATCAGGGAAGTCTGCTAAATAATAATAATAATCCTTGCATTTGATATAGAGCTTTTCCCGCCTTCTAGACGTCTCAAAGCGCTTCACAGAATATACTACAAAGTGAATTGACTGTATATTTGTGGGCGAAATGCGGCAGCCAAATTGCACACAGCAGCGTCCCACAAACAGTCGTGCCTTGAAGTGACCAATTTATTATTATTTTTCTTGAGGCATTATTATTAGGTGTGTGGAATAAGGAAACCTGCTTAAGGTTTTGCCCCCTGCTGGGAATCAAACCCAGGTCTCTCGCTTGAGAGGCGAGTGCTCTAACCACTGAGCTACAGGGCTCCAAATAAGGAACATTACCCACTTCCCCTTCTCGCCCCTTGTGTCACGTAGCGACCAATGTGACAGCCAAATCAATCTGATTCTGGGCAAAAATCCCCCCCCCCAAAAAAAAATGAATAGTCAAACACTCTATGCCCTAGTATTTAGGAAAGCTTAGTATACGTTATGTTTTTTTTAAGGAGGTTTCAGACCGGCTCCGGTGACAGCAGTCTCATCTCAGAGTCAGAAGGCTCACATCAGGATGTTTAAATTCAGTCTAACGTGACAGTCCGATGCAGCGCTGGGGCAGGGAGGGCGAAGAGTTATATTGCCTTCAGACAATACATCAACTCAAAGTCCCCGTCTGCTCGTTCAGGTGGACGATAAAATGATGATGATAATAATAATAATAATAATCCTTGCAGGTGATATCGCACCTGATCACTTGATTGAGACCGTTCCAAAGCGCTTCACTATATATATAATATACAATATATATATTATATATATAATATAATATATATATTGTAAAGTGGATCCACTGCCTGTTTTGTGGGCGAAACACGGCGCCGACAGCACACAGCGGTGCCCCACAAACAGCCAACGGCCCTGTGGATTGGATGACCAGATTTTTTGTGTGTATATTAAAAAAAAGGGATTTATTTGCCCTGGAAAGTGATCCACCAACTGATTAACAACCGGGTTCCCATTCACTGCGGGAAAACGGGAGTGGGGGGGGAGGGAGGGGAGTAAAAACAGGAAACTCGCCCGAGGTTTGGTTCCGCCGGAGAACCGACCCTCTCTGTCTCTGTCTCTCTCACCGCGCTACAGGACACCATGACAGGTACCCACAGGGCGACTCCGAAAACGAAGAGATCTCTCTCTCTCTCTCTCGAGGAGCACTTCACAATAAATCCGATCCAGCGCTCGGAGACGTCCTCCCTCCCGAGTGAGAGGGAGTCGGAGCGAGTGGAAGGAGCGCTGTTGTGCAGCAGCGCTCAGCCGAAAGGGAAAGACATGGCGCTGCGGGGCCGCCGGGGCCGGGGTCCCCCCCCCCCCTCCCGGGGTCCCCCCCCTCCCGGGGTCCCCCCCCCCTCCCGGGGTCCCCCCCCCCTCCCGGGGCCGGGTCCCCCCCCCCTCCCGGGGTCCCCCCCCCCTCCCGGGGTCCCCCCCCCCCTCCCGGGGGCCGGGGTCCCCCCCCCTCCCGGGGCCGGGGTCCCCCCCCCTCCCGGGGTCGGTACTCACACGCCTCGTTGGAGGTGACGCTCGGGTACTTGTCACACTCGGGGTCCTTCCAGGTGACGGTGACCTGCAGCTGAAGCATTTCGGGCACGGGGGCGGACTTCTCCTTATCCTCGGGGCCGCTCGAGACTGGGCGGCGGTGGGTTGTCCGGTAGGACGAGCTGAAGATGTAACCGAAATACCGGCGGAAGGCGTCGTCCAGGATGCCGCAGCCGACGGTCGCCGTCGACGTGCTCGAGTGAAGGATCTGGAAGCGGCCTTGGTTCAGGCGGTAGCACTCGCCGTCAAAGCGAACCGTCTGGGGCAGCGGCCAGAGGGAGCCGTAGGGCGAGTCCGTGTCCTCCTTCGGGACGGTCCACTCGGGCGGCTCCGTCGTTTTCCGAGCGGCGGCCGTTGGGAGGCACAGCACGAGCCCGAGCAGGAGCAGGGCCGAGCCCAGCGCGCGGACAACCACCGGCGGCGTCATTCCCCGCGCGGACAAACTCTGAAGGCGCCCCCGCCACCCGCTCGCGCCGCCTCGCCTTAAACCGAAGGACATGTAGGTCACGTGAGCCGTGTTCACGTGATCAGTTTTTTTTTTGAGCTTTCCCCGCCGGGTCCTAGAACCCGATTCTCTACACGCCTCAAACACGCATGCGCCAAGATCCCCATTGTTGTGTGACACGGGGGGGGCGGAGACAGCAAGTGACTCAGTCAATAACGCTCTGACCTCTGCAGCAGCAACGACAACAACCACCTCCATAGCGCCTTTCACATCAGGAGGACATCGCAGGGATTGCACCCAACAACAACTTGCGTTTATGTAGCACCCCTCATGCGGGGTAGAGTCCCAGAGCATCTGACAGTGTCGGAGCGCAACACCGACCGGGGGGGGGGAGGTGACTGTAGACACGGTGAAAGAGGAAGGTCTTCAGGCGCGACCTGAAGGTGGTGAAGGATATCGCATGGATGGAGGAAGTGTGTTTCAGAGTTTCAGGGCGTAGTGGCTGAAAGCACGTTCACCGATGGTGGAACAGAGGGCATGAGGGACAAGCAAGAGGCTGGAACCAGTCGAGCAGAAGCAGTGAGTAGTGGGTTGGGGAATGAGCAGGTTGGAGATGCAGGGACGTGTTAGGGAATGAAGACGAGTGAACATCTTGAAGTCAATCTGTTCTGTCATGTGGAGCCTGGAGTGATGGGAGTACAGAGTACAGAGTACACTTGAATATGCAGGCGGTGAAGTTTTATATTAACAGGATTTTGTGGATACTGGAGCTGGGGAGACTGTTGAGGAATTTGAATAGTTGAGATGGGAGGTGGGAGCTGAGGGTTGGATTGAGGAGGGTTGAAGGCAGGAAGATGACCGAAGGTGGAGTCAACAAGGAAAGTCTTGAGAGCTTGAAGGAGATGAAGGAAGGGCCAAGGCGAAGGGACTTTTCTGTCCCCACTCCAGAGAGTGGGGACAGAAAGGCTGAAGGCCACATCAGCACTCTGAACTCAGATAGTCTAGGCTGAAACTCCAATTAAGTGCTGCATTGTTGAAGGTGCCATCCTTCAGATGAGATGGTATACTGAGGTTTTACTGAAGGCAGTCTATCCTAGTGTCTTGGCCAACAATCAGTCACGTAAAAATGGTTATTCACCTCATGTCTTTTAGTAGGACATTCCTATGTGCAAATTGGCTACTACACAGTCACTGCACAGTAAAATCCTTCTGACGAAGGGTCGTGGACCCAAAACGTTGACTCACTTTCCTTTCTCTATAGATGCTGCCTGACCTGCTGAGTTTTCCCAGCTCTCTCTGTTTTTGTTACAGTAAAATCCTTTTTTGGTCAACCAGGTTTCTGACACATGTAGAAAACAATTACTATGCTTAAGACTAACCAACCCAGATTGAGTTTCACCAACAGTGGAAATTCTAGTATCCAGAATGAAATACTTGCTTTCTACCCAGAGGGATTGATCCTGCTTATCTAATTCTCCCCAACTGGGACCTTAAGACCTATCCATTCAACTGCATTTTTGGTCATCTTCTCCCTCGCCAGACAGTTGAGGCTCCCAGTCAGATGCTTGAAGCACTGTGTGGGATGTCCTCCTGCCTGAAAGGTGCTACATAAGTGTAATTATTTATTAAATAATGTATTCAGCCCATTCAAACTAATAAGTCTTTAAAATTATGAGGGTTTTTGATAAGAGTCAACAGGTAGAAATTCGTTCCACTCACACACCTGTGCTGGTGTGGCATCAATTTAAGATGTAGTCAATCCTGTTCAACAACAACAACAACTTGGATTTATATAGCGGCGTCTCAGAGCACTTTACAGTAATGGATCCCGGGGCCGAGCCAGGGGGAGGGGGAGGAAGGTGACCAAAGGCGAGGTCGAAAAGAAAGGTCTTCAGCAGAGACCTGAAAATGGGAAGGGAGGGAGCGAGACAAAGGGAGTGAGGAAGGGAGTTCCAGAGCCTCGGGGCATAGTGGCTGAACGCACGGCCACCGAGGGTGGAGCGGAGGACTCGGCGGATGAGGAGGAGGCCAGACCCGGAGGAACGAAGGCAACGGGTACTGGTTTGAGGAGAGAGAGGAGGTCAGAGAGGTAGGGGAGTGCAGAGGAGTGCAGGGACTTGTATACAAGGGTGAGGATCTTGAAATCGATCCTCTCTGGTATAGGCAGCCAGTGCAGTCCGGCAAGGACTGGGGTGATTGGGGAATGGAGTTTCATACGGGTGAGAATGCGGGCGGTAGAGTTTTGAATGATTTGGATTTTATGGATGGTAGTGGATGGGAGACCGGCGAGGAGGACGTTAGAATAGTCCAGCCGAGAGGTGACAAAAGCTTAGACCAGGGTTTCAGCGGCTTTTGGGGAGAGGTATTGGCGGATACGGGTGATGCGTCGGAGGTGGTAGAAGGCGGTGCTGGTGAGGGACCGGATGTGGGGGAGGAAGGATAATTGGGGGTCAAACTTGATGCCTAGGTTGCATACGGGTTCGGAGAGTTTTAGGGGGAGGGCGGGTAGGTGGAGGAGGTGAGAGCCATGAGATTTTAGATGTTGACGAGAGCCAAAGAGTATGGCTTCCGTCTTGTCAAAGTTCAGCTGAAGGAAATTTGCACTCATCCAGCCCCTGAGAGCTGACAGGCAGACTGACAGAACATCAGGGGACTGGGGGTCGCAAAGAGAGGTGGAAAAATATAAATAGAGTTGGGTGTCGTCTGCGTACATGTGGAAGTGTACCCCATGTCTGCGGACGACATCCCCAAGAGGGAGCATATAGATCAGAAAGAGGAAGGGGCCAAGGATGGATCCTTGGGGTACCCCAGGTGACCAGGTGAGAGCGGGAGGAGAAGCCGTTTGTGCAGATGTACTGCTGGCGGTTTATGCGGTAGGACTAGGCAAGTGCGGTCCCACTGAGGTGGATGACGGAGGAAAGGCGGTGGAGGAGGATGGCGTGATCAACTGTGTCGGAACGCAGCGGAGAAGTCCAGGAGGATGAGGCACAGGGAGCCCTGGTCACAGCTAGAGAGGATGTCGTTTGTGACTTTCACAAGTGCAGTCTCTGTGCTGTGGGCAGGGCGGAAACCGGACTGGAGGGGCTCGAAGAGGGAGTGGGAGGAGAGGTGTGCGTGAAGTTGGTTGGCAACGATGCGTTCTAGAAATTCAAACAGCCATCTCTATTCAGTAACTATCCCCTGTTAACAATCACTCTGGAAAAGCCTGGACAGCCTGGATCACACAACGACAAACTCTTACGTATAAAGGTCACTTTGGCTCAGTCCTCTGAGTAGTTTTTGAAGACAGTTTTGACTGTAGTTGGTAAATGAACAACTGCGGAGATTACAGGAATTTTTTCATGTGCAGAATAGATAAGATATGAAGTATTCTGCTAGGAGTGGTGATTGAGAGAGAAGCCATATTGATCTTCAAGCGATAACTAGACAGATAACTGAAGCGTCAGCTACAGGAGTACGTGAAAGAGGCAGGTAAATGGGACTGAAAGGTGCAAGTAACAACAACAAACAACAACAAAATGACATTTGTATAACCCCTTTCATGTCGGGAGGACAGACAGAGTTCCGGACCCGAGCTGAGGGTCGGGGTAGGGGAGAGTGGAGGGCAGGGGGGAAGCAGGGAGATTGAAAGTACAGTAGAAGAGGAGGGTCTTGAGGTGGGTCTTGAAGGAGGGGGCGAGACGGAGGCACTGCAGGATGAAGTTCCAGAGAGTGGGTGCAGAGTGGCGGAAGGCCCGCCCGCCAATAATTGTTTGGCGAGCAAGGCGGGGGATGTGAAGCAGGCCGGAGCCCGCTGAGCGGAGGGAGCGAACAGGTTGGTAGGGGATTAGGTCGCAGAGGTAGGGGGGAGCAAGACCGTGGAGGGCTTTGAAGGTGAGAACCAGGATCTTGAACTGTATCTTCTATGTGATGGGAAGCCAGTGGAGTTGGGTAAGGATGGGGTTGATAGGATCTTGGAGCCTAGTGCGGGAGAGGACACGGGCTGCAGAGTTCTGGATGATCTGCAGCCTGTGGAGGGAGGAGTTGGGGAGGCCAACAAGCAATGAGTTTGCATAGTCAAGCCTCGATGTAATGAAGGCATGAATGAGGGTTTCAGCGGCCTGCGGTGTGAGACAGTGGCGGAGCCGGGCACATACACGATGGGCCAAATGACCTTTTTCTGTGCCATAAATTTCTATGGTTCTAGAATTGGATAAGTACCCATTTCTTCTTAAGACACCTGTTAAAAATACTAAACAACAACAAATTACATTTGTATATACATTAGGAAATATTCTTTGGTACATTTCAATGCTTTAGCTATAATAATAATAATCATTGCTTTTGATATACGCTTTTCAGATTTCATTAATTATACATATTAGACATATTAGACCTGATTAACATCACTCCGGCCCTCAAAATAAAGCAGGAATTACTTTAAACGGAAAGTTCTTTGTATTTTCCTTCCCCTTTAATGACATTCACAGTGCACCAGAAATGATAGGTGTGGCCTTAAGAGCAGTGCAATAGCACTCACAAGACTGGTCATGTGCCTAAACCAAACTTCCTTACTCAAACATTACAGAATCGAAAACACAGAAAGCTGAAATATACAAACTCAGCATCATCGAAGGTGGACTTCAGCACTTGGAGACATGAAGGCAAAATGGAGTCCTGCAGCTCAGTGGTTAGAGCACTCGCTTTGCAAGCGAGAGACCTGAGTTCAATTCCAGGCAGGTCAGGGCGAAACCTTGGGCAAGTTTTCTTACTCCACACAGAGCCTAATAATAATCCCTCCAAAACAAAACAATAATAAATTGGTCATTTTCAATCTACGACTGTTTGTGGGACACTGCTGTGCGCAATTGGCTGCCGCGTTCGCCCACAAATATACAGTCAATTCACTTTACAGTGTGTTCTGTGAAGCACTTAGGGACGTCCTCCCGACGTGAAAGGCACTATATCAAATGCAAGGATTATTATTATTATTGAAATTCTTCAAAAATAGAAGTCTTTGTGT